TGCAGAAGGAAAACATGAGATTCTTTTAAGGTAAAATATTATGTTTTATAGGTTATAATTCAAACATACTGCCTGGGTGAGAGGTTTTTTCTTTTTTTACTACTAGGGCTGAACGATTTTGCAAAAAAAAAAATAAAAAATTTATATATATATATATATAATTACGGTTTTATTTAGATTTTCCTTTGCAATAACCCCAAGCTTGCTCTTCCCAGGCTTTTAATTTTAAAAGCATGCTTGCCCAAAGTCCATTGTTGCAGAACTTTACTATAATCTTTATGGTAAAAAGGTGCTTACTCCTACTATCATCAATGGGTCTAATGCTAGTTGCAATTCTCTTTACCGTTCTGTGTGGCAACAAACCCACTTCAAGGGTTTTACAGCCACCTAAAGACCTGGAGTGATAAATTTAGTGCCTCACACTTGTTAAACATAGTGTGATTGTTTGAATTGTTGAAAGTTGTGTTTTGATTTATTTAATTCTATTAAGGATTCTTGTCTGGAAAAGAGGCCAGACTCCAATAGACTCAATGTTTACTCAACATTTTACTGTTTCTGTCCACCTCTGTAACTTATTCAGATTAACTGCATGTAGGGACCTTCATAGCTCTTTGCAGACTTTAAGTCAGTTAGAAAAACTGTTTCTAGAGTAGAACATGGAGCCGTGAAGGCTGTTATGATTATCTTGTTCTTGTTTATGCAGAGACAAATAAAGTTCCAACTGGTTAATTGCCATAGATCTCCTTTCATCTAACTGGTTTTCATAGTTTAATACTTTTCCCCACATAGCACTACCTTTTACTAGCCTGTAGAAATCCTGAATTCATGTCTGATAGGCTGATGTCGGGTTATACTGAAAAAAATCATTCATAATTTAGTATTGTGTTATCCTAAGACAATGCAATCTAATAGGTAGATTATTTTAAAGTGTTATAAAGCAAAATGTTGTTTCTTAATTTCAATAAAAGACTATTCAAGGCACCAGAGGCAAAAGTAAACAGCGACATATTTACTGGATAGAATTTACACATTAATTTTCTTAAAAGTCCTGCTGGCCCGTTGTAGCTACCAGCCAAAGTTAGTTATCTGGAATGTAGACATTATGTATAACTTACTAATATATTTGCCATCATGTTTCTGTTCCAGCTCTGTTGGAGATGCTGCAGCTATGAGGGACACTTGACTGAGCCCTCCAGGGTCTTCTGCCTCTGCCTTTATTTTCTCAGACATCCTTAGTCAGTAGCTCTGTAACGTCCCTTAAAGAGACTGAACGAGGATCAATAAATGAACTTTCAAAACCTTAAACCTTTAAAAACAAAAAAGGATATTTCTCGTCTCTCAGCTGCTTTAGCTCCACGGCTAACACAACATTCGGTCTGCTAATGTAGGCTAATTATACAGTCTGTATCGCAAACCCCAATAGGAATCATTTTAGTGGCTCAAAACAAACAGGTTAGAGCGCCGCCTTCACGAAGCTGGACGACGAAAGAGTACAAGGCATCAAATTTAATCTTAATGAATATAAACATTTGGACGTTTTTCCTAGCGGGACCTGCCTAGCTAACGGCTAACAGTTCTACATCCGGTTTCTTCCTCCTCGCTGACCAATCACCGACAACTACAGCTCAGCTGTGCAAAAACGAACTTCCGCTTTTTTAACTTCTAGATTTCCAGAATAAATATATAGATGGGTAGATTACAAAGTTATGTATAAGTATGTATATTTGTGTTTGTTTGTGTGTATATAGTTTTTTTTGTTGTTTGGTTTTTTTTTTGTTTTGTTTTTTTTTTTTTATTTACAAACCACACTCCATAACAGTAGGTTATGGAGTTACTTGTAAATCCAACAAGTAGAAAAAGAAGAAGAAATAAATGTACAGGTTAAATGAACAGTGTTTGTTTATATCAGAGCAGACTTCAAATAATGCACATCTGTTTTATTGTTGGCTGATGTAAGGGCTCTGCTATTAGCTATAAATAAGCTGCTTACATTAGTTTGGGTAGAATAATTACCTTTATGCATCACCCCAGAAGTAAACAAACTAATTCAGTCCTTCATTTTGGCTATCCCCCATATCATTACGAATAAAAACTCATAATGTTAAAAAAAAAAGGATGTTATGAGGGTAAAACTTTACCTATTAATTTATTATGCTTAACTTTAAAAAACCTTTGTTTAAACCTTTACTGTACCACAAGGGAAATTGTGGTGTTAAAGCACCTGAAGGGAATAACTCCTAGCAAGCAGAACCAAATATTTCCATATAACATTAAAGTCATAATGTAAAAAAAAAAAAAAGGATGTTATGAGGGTAAAACTTTACCTATTAATTTATTATGCTTAACTTTTAAACTCTTTGTTTAAGAATAGAATAGAAAATCCCTTTACTCTACCACAGTGGGGAAATTGTGGTGTTACAGCAGCAAAATATTTTGAAAAGTGGTCACAGAAATGTGGACCTCAAAAAGTATGAAAAAAACAGAATAAGTGACAGAATTAAAACACATAAACAAATAAAATACTGTACTGTACTATAAAAACACAGCTGAATGGAGTAACTCCTAGCAAGCAGAACCAAATATATCCATATCTGGTCTCCAGCCTTTACTCTGCACAATTGTCTTATTAACAAAATAAGACAAGTATTAGGAACTGTGCTTGATTTAGCATTTTAATGACTTCTTTCAGAGTTGAGTTTGATTAAATTCCCCAGCCTCTACAATGGGTTCTATGCACAACTCCTATACTCTGAATTTAAGAAGGTTGTTTTGCTTCCTGTCTTTCCCTACTAGATCAACAGATTCATCCATGTGTGCTTGACCTCAGAAACCATTGCCAGACAAACCTGTATTAGTCAGTTCATTCAGTAATGGAACACAGGAAACAAAAGAGCTGCCTTAAGTTTAGGAAGTAGTGGAGTTGTGCACAGAGCCCATTGTTTAATTTTTTTTTAAAAGAGCTCATACCAAGCTACAAAGCATAGCGGTTTGTTTTTCTGAAAAAAAGCCTGATAGGAGGGTGATAAATTTGAAATCTCAATTATTCTTTAGGGTGGGAGTTTGCTGTAGTTAGGAGCTGAACTTTCTCATTCACAAGAGCAATACTGCATAATGTGATCAAACTAAAAAAAACAAAAAAAAAAACATAGCACCAGTTTAAACCTTTCACACATAACCCTAATATAAATTTGATAAATGATTAAAAAACCCAAACAAAAACAACTGATTAAAAACAATCAAAACCGAACAGGCAGACCTGAAAATGTCGTCTGTGTGGTTCGGTTATCATAAGTATCGAAAGTATCGACTCATGAACACTATATGTCAGACTCCATAACCTGCCCATGCCATTTACACTGCTGTATTGCACACTGCACTATTTGCACTACCTTGTACATTTTACTTTATATATATATATATATATATATATATATATATATATATTTTTTTTTTTATTTATCCATATTTTTATCCTAAGTGTATATATTAGTATATTTTTTGCATGCCTTATACCCCAGTGTTTTTAGAGATTTTTATAATTTTATTTACCTATTTCATATTATATGTTTCATGTTGCACGATTGTACCATAAAAAATTCCTAGTTGTGAACTCCTTCACTAACATTGGCAATAAACCCGATTCTGATTCTGAAACTTTAAAAAGTATCAATACTCAAACACTAATTTGTCATAGTATTGATATTAAATGCTGGTGTTGTTTGCATATTTTTGTTATTGTTAATTTTAGATTTCTAGATTATTTGCACATTAAAAGAGGCAAACTTGAGACGCCCCTACTATAGTACTTTATATTATAGCACCTACATTTTCATACAACATCCATGCTTATAAAGGTGTTGAATTTTGGCACTCATTGAGACAGTGATTACGAAGAAAAAATGGTGGGCAAAGAGAGCTGTAGCATCCAGATAATCAAAGACAATTTCACTGTTTGACAAGTAAGACTGCTTTAATAGTTTTGTTTTATTTAAATTCTTAATTATTCTGACCTGATTTTTGAAAGAAAAAAAAAAAGCAAAACCACAACTAATTCACAGTAGAATGTTGTGTAGTTTGTACAAATGTTTGGAACAAATAATAGTTATATAAATAATACAAAATAAAATAATAATAAAGTGTTAAAGCAGAAACAAAGAAAGCAATAATTCATTATTTAGCACATCCTTACAAAAAACTGTTCTATGTCAAAAGGTTCCCACTAATTAAAGTTCTTTGCATGCAGGGATTTATATTTCAACAGAAGCAGAATCATTTCAGTAGGAATCAACAGTACGAAATACATATAAAAAGGCTAATAATGCTCTATGATATAGAAGTGTGCAAAAAAATATCAATAAAAAATGTTTTTCTAACTGACCGTTTATTTTACCAGCATAATAAACAAGCTTTTTTTAAATCTCAATGAAATCTTTAGAGAGCTCGGGATGTGAGCAGATGCAGCATCACAACTGTTCCCCTCGCACATCCGAGTTTAGCAGCAAAATCTACAGATTCATTGCTAAATGAAGGAGTCAAGCACCTCATACATTTATCCCTGACTTGTGCTTTAAAAGCTATTGCAATTAGAATGACAGCAGCGTTCTGGAGGAAAAAGTTTGGTTGTACAACAGCTAACATGATAGCCTGTATGAAGGAGCAACATTTAGGGCTGGTTGCTAAATTAACGGTAATTAACAACCCACCTTTAGCACCAGCCATTAGTAAAACATATGCTACAGCCTGGTTACAGAAGCACTGTGGCAATTGTCTTGGTTACAGCTTTTCAACCAGAACGTTTTTGGTTTTTGAAATTTATTAGCTTTAGGTAAAAGTATTGAATCCCTTCTGAGCTGTAGCCACATAATTTGCATACACTTGTTGATGCTAATAATTTCTGTTGCTTCTTTGTGTATGTAAGAATTTATATATAGATTACAAAAATCATAATTATGAATGAGCATTTAGAAGGGAGTGAAATATAAGCATGACACCTGGGATCTAAATTCCCCAACCCAGTATTTACAGAACAAACCGTCTGTAAGAATAGTTGATATGTGAGTGAGTCCCACATTAAATGCACATATTTTTCAGAGCAGTATATCTTGCTGTTGAATGAACAGATCTACCTATTTTGCCGGAAAATGATGGGGTATAGTTTGCACCAGACTACATTTCTAAAACATTTTGACCTTGTCAACACTTGTTTAGTTACTATGGAGGTTGAAACAGTTTTGTTTCCAAGTAACAAGATTTTCGTGTTTGGCTAAATAAACTTTTATTAAATATAATTTCAAATCTTTGTGTTGCAGCTGTTTTTTTGAATCAGTCATGCTTTCAAGCAAGGAATGATTTATTTTTTTTTAAGAAAGGACATTACACCTACAACATTGGGTGTGATGTTACTTCCCTTTATTTTTGCAACATTAGATGGGGTGTCGTCCGGGATTTGAAACCATGACCTCTCGAACAGACTGTTTAAATCATCAGAACTCCAACCTTGTAAGTGTTTGTTGGACATAATTAAAACCCTGTTTGAACACAGCATAACATGTCGAGGCTAACAGTAAAATAAAAGAAAGGTAAACAACCCATTGTACCTTGATATACACTAGTACTTTTTAATGATCAAGTAATGGTATTAAGATTTGATTTTGTGTAACTCATCATTCATTTTAGATACCATACAATTTTTTGAAAATTATTTTAAATATTATTTTTAGGGAAAACATTTTATACCAATCTGTAGACTGGAGGTCAACTATTCCAGTCCCAAAGAGCTGCAGTCCTACAACCTTTTGTTATATCCATTCTCCTCAATACCCAAAACAGAAAAATCAGCACATCATTCAGATTCAGGTGAGTTTGGGCAGGTGAGCATCTAAACAAATGTAGGACAGTAGCTTCCAAGAAGACTGCTGGAAAAGTAATGATAGAAAAGAAAACAATCAAAAATGATCATGAGTTGCAGGCCTCATGAACACCCATGTGTCTCTTTAGATTTCCGTGCTGTGAAAAAGCTTTATTGCAGACATTGCACACAAACGGTTTTTCCCTTGTGTGAATACGCATATGCCTCTTTAGATTCTCTTGTAATGTAAACCCTTTGCTACAAACATCACAAATAAACGGTTTCTCTCCTGAATGGACTCTCATATGCTTTTTAAGGTGACATTTATGATTAAATCGACTTTTACACACATTACAAGCAAATGGTCTCTCCTCTATGTGAACTCTCGCGTGTCGCTCCAACTGCAGTTTGTCAACAAAATGTTTACTACAGTCGCTACAACTAAACGGCGCAGTGTGAAAATTCATATGTTTCTTCAGACCTCCAGGATTTGAAAATTCTTTACCACAGACAGAACAGCTAAAGGGTTTCTCTCCTGTGTGAACACGCATGTGTCTCTTCAGATCTAAATGTTGCGAAAATCCTTTACTGCAAACGCTACAAACCAAAGGTTTCTCTCCTGTGTGAACAAGCATGTGTCTTTTTAGATTGTGTTGCAGTGAAAATCCTTTACTGCAGAAACTACAGATGAATGATTTCTCCCCTGTGTGAATACGCATATGACCCTTTAGATGATCTTGTTTCAAAAACCCTTTACTACAAACACTACAAACAAACGGTCTCTGTGAAGTGTGGGTCCACATGTGCTTTTTCAGACTTTCCTTTCTTTTAAATACTGTGCAACAAACATCACAAGGAAAAGTTTCGTCCAAATGGACTTTCATGTGACTGTTAAGAATATTCTTTGCATGAAACCTTTTGCCACAATCATTACAGGCAAAAGGTTTCTCTCCAGTGTGGACTCTCACATGAGTCTGCAGAGAATGGTCGTCTTGAAATCCTTTTCCACAAAAGTCACAGTTATGATCTCTCTTTGCAGTGTGAGTCTTCATGTGAAACTCGACATGAATCTTACATTTGAATCTTTTGCCACAGACACTGCAACCAAATGGCCTTTCTCCAATCTGAGTATTTCGCTTAAAACTCATTTTAGATCCTTTACCTCTCTTGAAAGTAGTAATCTTACTTTGTTGGGAAGAAAACTCTGGATCAGGGTTGCTCCCTGGTTCTGCCCCCCCACAGTCATCTCTGTTAGTTTCTATTTCTTTCTCCACTGCTGAGCTGCTTGTTGGAGCTTCTGTCTCTCTCTCATATTCTGTTTTGATGTCACAAAGTTTTGATAACTGAGGTTTCTCTTCTTCTTCAATCTTCACAACAGGCCGATCTTCCTTCAGGCTGATACAGTGTTCCTCCTCCTCCTCCTTTACATCAAGGGGCTCTGGGTCCTGCTGGTCTGAGTTGGAGCTCCATAGATCATGACGTTCTTCTTTAACAACCACAATGTGAAGGTCAGGGAACACTGAGGAAAACATAAACAATAATGTTTTATGGCAAATTACATCAGGAAATAATGATTTTAAAAAGTGAACACTGCTTTTGATAAGACATTTAACAAGAGCAGCATTGAAATGAATATATATTTAGAGATTCCCATGTTTTACCTAAAAATAGAAATACTAATTGTGTGAAAATTAATTTAGTATCGACAAATTAACATAACAATGTTGGTCAGGGAAATATGTCAGCCTTATCAATAACTGACAGGTGTTTTAAGGTAACAATACACCTTCAATGTTCATTTTTATTGAGAAATACTGAGAAGTACCCACAAAACAATACAATTAAAGAAACATTTAGAGAATTGAGGTGACAGTGGCTAATTTTCATATCTTTGCAAAGGTAGATAACATTGGAGGATAAGACAAGGTTTTGCATGTAAGTATAAATCAAACCCCCAAAAATATCTATTGGCTGATTGATCAGTGCACCCCTAATACTACCACTACTAGACTAGTTCAAACTCCAGGGTGTACTCTTAGGCCCCGTCCACACGAAGTCAAAACGAACACGAAACGCAAATATTTTCCAGAACGTTTGTCTTAAAGACGGAGACGTAAAATAAATGTGATCGTCCACACGAATGCATGAAAACGCTGCAAAATGTATGCCAGGCCTGTAAGTGGCGCCGTGGTGCCAAAGCAAAAATAGGCGATGAAATGTTGGGCATGCGCACTAATATTTATACATGGTTGCCCTGCGGGTCCATTTTCGTGGTTCAGTCAAATTCAGGTGCTGAACTATGTCGTCGATATTGCTCTGTTCTTCCTGGAGATATTCCAGAAGAAGAAGATTCTGTTGTAAGCCTGACAGCAGGGTGAGTAGCATGATCAGCAACCATTCAACAGAGTACGGCGCCATTGTTGTTGTGATACTGTGTCGCGCATGCGTGTTTAGAGGCGACGCTATGACGCATGCGTGTAAGAAAAAAAATGCGGTTAGAGCTTAAAGATGGAAACGCGAAAATGGCGTTTCAAAATCTTCCCACTCTGAAGGCTGAATAAAAAAAAGATCGTTTACAGAACCCCGAAACGACGGCTTCGTATGGATGAGAGGCTGGTTTGGTGAAAAATTTGTGCGTTTAGGCCAGGGTTTGGCTTCGTGTGGACGGGGCCTTAACTGCAACAACCTCAAAGTTATTTACCACTTGTGGGTACTGATTCAAGGATTTTTCTTTTCTTTTTTATTTACTTAAGCCCACACTTTGGTGCAAACCCTGGTGCTATTATGTTTTGCATTTTTATCATATAATGGAAGCTGTGAGTCTCTGTGAATAACCTTGTGGGTTTAAAATAACAATAAAGGTTCTAGATTAACACAAACAAATAAGCCACCTACTGAGATCTTGATTGTCTTGTTTATCCTCCAGTTCTGATGAGGATGTTGCAAGTAAGGGGGACACCAAACTGAGCCCTCCAGGGTTGTCAGCCTCCATGATTTCAGAGATTCTGGCTCCACTTGAGCTTCTCCTGGTTCATAACCTTCACATGCTTAAGTAACATCTTTCCCTACAAAAAAATAATAATAAATCTTAAGAGAACATGTAAAGTGTGATACTGGGTCAGAACTTCTGTCCATTAATGATCTCAATCTTTGATTCCACGGCTAAACAAGACATGTCCACAGTCGCCGTCATCTTCCCCGCAGTCTCACAGACTCCAAGTGTGATCTCGTAACACTAAAACACACTTCTGAAAGCTTCAACGTCTGAAACATTGATTAGTGTCTGACGTTAGCTGCTTTAGCTCCACTGTGGCTAACAGTCCATTCACTTTGATACTGAAAGCAACAACCTTTTGTAAAGCAAGCTTCGGTTCAATTAATGAGGTTTGACGTAAATATCGAGAAGTCTAAGACATAAATTATAAATTTTTCTTATTCAAAATAAGATATTTTTTCTATTGGGATTTAGCTAGTCAAGCTAATTTGATAACAACCAGTCACATCCGGTGAAAAATCTACTTCCTGTTTGGAACGTAGGCATTTCACAATAAAAGAAGAAAATACAAACTTCAACAAACGTTTATAGCGATATATTTATAATATATCGCTATAAACTATAAATATATAATATTTAATTTACTTTTTTAAAGTTATTATTTGTCATTTATAGAGTGGTTTAATTTAATTTTTACCTAAGAAATTTATTTAATTGAGCTATTAAATCCCCATGAAAAAAAACCAAAACAAAACAAGAATATGGCTCTTTTATTTGCCATTTTACAAATGCTCCACAGCCGCTGTATTTTTATTTTTGAATTTAACAAACACTCCCAAGAGGGCTAAACTGTGCGAATATTCAGTGAATGCAAGAAAATAGGAAATAATGCCTTAAAAATATATAACAGTCATTCTTAATAACAGGATTTTTATCCAGGATATTTTAGAGCATGTATATACAGAGATAAAACATGTCTGGTTGTACTTCACAATACATATGCTCAAAATTGTATAATTCAGGGGGAAAAAATACAACATTTTATGTACATTAGAAACAAATTGTGGACATAATCCAAACATGTAGTTAAAACCTTAATATGTTTTTGGCAGGAGTTTTTATAACTTTATAATAATCTGCATAAAGCTGGTAACTGGCCGCTAAGCAATTTAAAGGAAAACCCTCTATAAACAAAGACCACACAAAATGGATCAAGTACTTAACCTTGGGGTGGGCCTACTCCAATTTGTTCTTCAAAGATGACTTTTTCTCATTGAATTTGACAACAGGGACGTGGCTAGACCTATTTTAGGGTGGCTGAAGTCATCCCTTCGTTGGTATTAGCCACCCCATAATTATTTTGCGATTTTTATTGTTATTTTTTTATTTATTGATTTTTTTTCCATATAACCCCAAACAATTGCAGTAAAGCACTGAAAACGAGCCACCAAGAAGGCAAGTTAATCTGAAGATAAGTTCCTGTTAGTTTATTTACAAACACAATTATTTATACAATTATTAATATCGTTAGGATATTCATTTCCTTCATTGGCTCCGCGTCCAGCGTCACGTCACGTGGTACACGGCCATCAACTGGACCATAGCAGCTGTGCAGTGCAGCAACAGCGCGCCCTTTGAATCTTCACACAGTCATCGAGCTTGATTAGGAAAGTTATGGTTGCGTGCAGATACATACGGTGAGTTTGCCATTTGATGTCAGCGGTTTACATTTTCTTCACTTTACCTGGAGTGAGGAAAGAGACAATATAGGCCTAATAGCTTGTCTGATTCAGTAGGAATTACGTTACCATGGTGAACAAAGTCAGTGGTGTGGGAAAACACGATGTTGTTGTAGCCTACTAGCATCATTATAATAGTTTTGTCACAGGAGCAGTGATGGGCAGTAGCGCCGCTACATGTAGCGAAGCTATTAGTTTAACTACATTTTCAAGTAGCTTGACCGTAGCGTCGCTGCTTTATTTATCAAGTAACTTTCCTGTAGCGACGTTATTGTTTTGATCAAGTAGCGACGTAGCGTCCACAAACGCTACAAAATCCAGGGCAAAACTAAGAAATGAAACCAGGTTTTCTATTTCTAAACAACAATCAGCCACAAAACTACTGTAAATAGCAGTTTCAGCTGACGCTTTATAAGTGGCGTAGTAGCACAGGCACACTCGTAGGGTTAAACAAGCGCACCTTTTCCGAGGCTGTCGTTCTATTGGCTGGAAAGGTTGCTAGGCAACGATCCAACTGCAGTCTGAGAGAGCAAAACAAATCCGCAAGCAGAGCGTAACTGAGACCCGTGCAGAGCGGAGATGGAGGCAAGCGAGAGGAAAAAATATCTGTGATAATATAGAAAATATCTGTTTAAATCTGAGAGAAGAAACAAAGATTTTTGAGAGAAGAGAAAATATTTGAGAGAGAGCGCATGTTTTGAGTGTGAGCATTATAAGTTTTGAGTGCAAGAAGATGAAATTCTTTTCTCTAATTGAAGTTATGTGCTCTTGCATTATGGCAGGATAATTCTCCCATATCTATGTGCCACCAGTCTGATAGGGCGACACTGTGTGATATGGTAGTGCTTCCTTGGGTTGACTATAGTTCTAAGTTGTACGTTTCATATACTGTTGATTTTGTGTTTTCATTAATACATTGTACTTAAAAATACTTCCTTTATTTGCATTAAAACTTTGTCAGACTGATGTGAAAAAGTCTCAAGGATATCCTTCTTTGCAATGATGCTATTGCCTATTGCCTACTGTCCATTTATGCAACTTGTATTTTGTGGTTAAACTTTAGATTAAGCAGAAATCTATCAAAGATAATGCTGCATTTATTGTTAAGTTCCTCACATATATGTGTTTCTCTCTGTGCCAGGTGTAGAGAAAGACATGCCAAAGTCCAGGTCACACACACACACCAAGCACACACACAGAAACAGGGTTATTGCAAAGCAGACAGGGGTTCCTGACAGGTTGTGGGTGCAGGGGAGATGGGGAAAGATGAATGGCCAGGTTAAGGGTTTATGAAGATGTTGGGAGTCTGTTGGTTAGACAACTGTCTTCTGTAGAAGGTTTCCATTATGATGAGTGGCGAACCACTTGCCTTCTTCCATTTATGCAGTAATGCATGGCACCTACCATTTACTCTTTGTAATTTAGCACATTTTAACTGGTGTAGTTTAGTTGGTGAAGTAGCATTAGTGAGGGAAGTGTTTCCCAGGTATGTTGCTCTTAAAATAATGAATTTATAGACAGCGCCTTAGAAAGTGCACTGAAAAAATTTCAATATCTTACCTAGGGGCTAAGCCACCCATGTCTCTCAAACCTAGTGACGGACCTGTTTGACAACCTGGTCTCTAATCAGATGTATGGATCAAAAACAATCCATAATGTTCTTTAGAAAATTAAAGGCAGTGCAAAAGGCATTAGGTCATAAACCACAGTTACCACCCCCATCCAGGAACCTCTTAATGGTTTCAATAAAAGGAAAAATGGTAACTTCTATTCAGTACTTTGTGCTTAACCTAATCTGTAGTGTAGAATCTGATTTTTCCAGACCATGGTCAATTTATTGTGTTAATAGAATCTCTTCTAGTATCATGAAAAACAAACAGGAAAGAAAAAAAATAAAACACAGATGCAAGGATGCGGATATGTGGTTTAACTGGAGGACCCTGGTTTGAATCACAGTTGCATCAGAAAGGGGAAAGGAAAGGAGCAGCCTAAAGGACATCAACGTTGGATTTTTCTACCATTTGGTCGCTGACCACAATACTGGCATTACTTCTCTGCTTAGGATTAAGAAAACAAAAACAATTGCATCACTATCTATTTAGGGTGCACCCTAAAAATAATAGAACATTTTTCACAATTTCCTGCTTCAAATATTATTAGTAATTTACTTTTTAAAGTTCTTTTGGAAATGTAATGGTCCTTACAGATGTATTAATAATGAGCCAGGGTGTGTTTATATTTCTTTATTTCAACATCAGTCATCTAATTACAATGTTTATGCAAATCATTCATTTTTAAAAATTGTTTTCAAACATAATTTTTAGGACGACAATCATGTTGCATCATGCTGACATCTTTACATCAATCAGAAGTATCAGAAGTACTGTTTTTCACAACAGAATATTGTTGTTTTTTTAAATAGCTTTAAAAAAGCGTTTGTTTATTTAAAAAATAACATTAGAAAGCAGTAGTTAAATATTTCTAGCAATTTAATAATTTACTGAACATTAAATTTAACCACAATCATACAATACCTTTCATTAATATAGACGTCCAAACTCCCAGTGACTGGACATCTCTCAACAAAGGATTAACATCCAAGTATCCTCTATAACTGCTATTTCAGCATGTCTCTGAATAAAGATACTATACACAAAAAGCAATCAACTACTACTACTACTACTACAACTACTACGAAAACCATTATTATTCTTTTGTAGAGAAAAACATTACAAAGATTAAAAACGACAAACGATTATTAGCAAATAATTTAGCTTAACTCAGGTTTGCTAACTCATTTGATGAAAAAAAGAGAATGACTAATACCACTTTGAAAATAATGCACTTCTTTTGATCAGGTTGTATTTCAAATAATCAGAGCTTATTCAAAACAGTTTTATGAAAACTTTTCTTCCAACAGGTAAAAAATTATCCAGTCTTTCTGCATCCTTAAAGGCATCATTTAAAGCTCAAAGGGCAGAGAATTTGGCGTTCTGAATTTAATATAAACAATTTACTACAAGCAACAGAACCTGTACTTTATGATAAATCTCTAGCCGTGGTGACAGAAACAGTTATTGAATAAAACAACCATCCTCATCCTATTTTATGAAATATCTAATTAGTACTTCACCAGGAAAAATTATCATCTATATAACCTTTTGTAAACAACATATTTATTTTGTTTTTATGCAATCATAAGGATTCTCCCATGTGAACACACATGTGCCTCTTCAGGTCTAAATGTTGTAAAAATCTTTTACTACACACACTACAAATATAAGGTTTCTCCCCTGTATGGACAAACATGTGTCTCTTTAGATTCCAGTGCTGTGAAAACTGTTTGCTACAAATGCTACAAATGTAGGGTTTCTCTCCGGTGTGAACCCGCATGTGCTTCGTTAGTTTAACTTTCTGTGAAAATCTTTTACTACAAACAACACAAGTGAAAGGTTTCTCTCCCGTGTGAACAAGCATGTGCAGTTTTAGACGGAATGCGAGTGAAAATCCTTTAGCACAAATGCAACAAATAAAGGGTTTCTCTCCTGTGTGAACTCGCATGTGACACTTTAAACTGTGTGAAAATGAAAACCCTTTGCTACAAATACCACAAATAAATGGTTTCTGTCCTGTGTGAGCATGCATATGCTTCTTTAGATTTTGCTGTTGTGCAAACTCTTTGCTACAAATAGAACAAACTAGTTTTTTTTGTCTGGAGTGAATACTCATGTGCTTTTTAAGGGATGTCTTAAGTGTGTATCTTGAACCACAAACGTGACAGGAAAATGGCCTCTCCCCAGTATGGACTCTCATGTGTGTCTGAAGAGAATGCTTTTCCAAAAATTCTTTAGAACAGATATCACATCTATGTTCTTTCTTTCCGCTGTGAATCATCATATGTAATTTCACAGAGTGTTTGAGTTTAAATCTTTTGCCACAAAGATTGCAACCAAATGGTTTCTCTTCATGGTGGCCTTCACTCTGAGTTGTAAGGTTAGCACTTAGTTTAAATGTTTCAGCTCTTTTGTGAACCATTATCTTACTGTGTTGGTAAGAATATAATGACACAGGGTTCCTGTCTGGTTCTGGTCCTCCACAGTCCTCTCCAACAGATTCAGCTGAATGGCTGGTTGAAACTTCCGTCTCTATGTTCTCTTCAGTTTTGATTGGTTGAATCTTTGATGACGGAGGTTGCTCTTCAAGCTGCTTTTCCTCCTGATTGATCCCCAGCTCCTCCTTTTCCTGCTTTATTTCAGGGACTTCTTGCTCCTGCTGGTCCACACTGGAGCTCCCATCAATGAGATCTTCTTCTTTAATCACCAATATCTGATGGACTAGAAACCAAAATGTTTTTAAAAATAAAAAAAACACAACATAAAGACATTACACTGGAAAAACACTCTAGAAGTAAGTAAAAAAAATCTTAAATTAAGTGTATTTACCCTTAATTTGAGTAGGTAAATGAGATGATTTGCCAATGGAATGAGCATTTTTATTCTTAGATAAAATGCACTTGAAATAAAGACAATGCAATTGTGTTTTCTTTTTTTAAATGTAAATTGTCTTTTTCGATTGGCAAAATGTCTCTTTTACTGTACCTTCTCAAACTAAGAACAAATGCACTTATTTGAAGAAAAAATACTGATCTAGATTTTGATTTTGAATTTTTCCAGTGTAGACATTCAATTAAATGGAAGACTTTCTTATGAGATCAAAAAACTATTTGGTTCAAGTTTGAGAAAATCTAATTAGTGACAAACTGACAAATGACGAATAATTGATGTGGCGGCAATCTTTGAAGATATTCATTACTTAACAAAACAGCAATAATGCTGACAACACATTATTGGCAGTCCCATAGAGTCCTTGCAAAACTACTCAATAAATTAACTTGCTGAATAAACGCAATAAGTAATTTATTTATAAATAAGGTAGTCTTGGGGAATTCTAAAAGAAACTTATAATATTAACAATCGTGATGAAGCTAAACATGACGCCATTAAATTAATGTGTTGAACCAGAGACCCATCTAAAAGTTTTAAGACTGCAGGGACTGGAGTTTGAGTCCACTGGTCTAATCTAATTTATCATTTGTAGTAGGGCTGCACACTATTAGGAAATCTTGCAAAATCTGTGTTGTCTATTTATGCTGTTTTGTTTTATTTTCTCTCTTTTCACGCATCATTTCCTGTCTCCTTATCCCTCTCTCTCTCTTAAGCTCTTATCCTCTATTTCTTTCTCACATCCCTTTCTGTGTCCGTTGTATATGATTTTACTCCTAAAATAAAGTTAAATAAAGTTTAATATACAGGTATCAAGCAGAACCTTATGGCAACAGCCATACTGGTCTGCTTGTGAAAGAAAAGCTTTTGGGCTATCAGCTAGCCCTGGGACATTGATTCCCATAGCTATATTGGCTATACAGGACACACACACACACACACACAAAAAGGAAATCTTACAATGACATTGGTAAATAGTCTGTACTAATATAGTACTTTTCTTAAGTCAGGAGACTTGACCAAAACATTTTACACTACATTCACTCATTCACCTATTCACATAAACACTGATGGTGGCAAGTTATATTGCAGCCACAGCTGCCCTGGGGCTCACTGACAGAAACAAGGCTGCCGTACACTGGCGCCACCTCTGACCACCTCAGTAGGAAACGAGGGTGAGGTGTCTGGTCCAAGGAAACAACAACACTGAAAGGCAGAGACGGGGCTTCACCCAAAAACCCTTCGGTTGCCGAGCAAACTCCTGCATCCAAAGTCACTGTCGCCCCATTAAACCACATTAAAGTTGTGTCATCCGGGTCATGGCAACCACTAAACAGGCTTATATCAGAGGCAAACCGATATTTGTTTCAAAAAAACTGAGCAAAAGTCTGGTTTGCCCTTAAATAAGCCTGTTTTGTGGCATTAATATTGCAATACTGATATTGTTCACTATGTATGCTTATGTTTTGCTTTCCCCTCTTTTGCATCAGTGCTTGCATCTCCATCAGTGTCTAATGCAATCTTCCAGGGTTCTCGCCAGGACATTTCATTACTCTGAAAATTGTCCAAATTACATTGAATTTAGGCCGTTATTCTGAGTTTTAATGAGGGCAACAGACATTCAAACTGTTTTTTTTTTTAACACATTCACATCATTATTTGCACATACACATACGAAGTTTGTCTATTTGTGGATCCGAGGTCAGTGCTATGAAAACGTGGGTCTACCTCCGCTGTTCAGTCCATCTTCGACTCAGACTCACAATAAGTGAACTTGTAGGCAAGTGAACCTATATACAAGCAAGGGTGTAGTGTCTCCAAAACAGCTGTTCTGTCAAGTGTAACCAGCCAATGGTCAGTGTTTTTTTTCCTGCCAAATAAAGTGAGGCATCACAACACCTTGGTGAGCTAATCTGAAAGTTTGCATATTAAGAGCATGTCACCTCAGAGTATGAAAAGGGAGAATAGAATAAAGAAATGGGAAAGGGCATAATTAGCGAAGAGGCAAAAATCTAAGATGTGGGTGCCACAGATTGTTTCTCTTTAGCACCCTTCCACTAGCCTGGGTGCCAGTGCGAACTTAGTCCCGCCCACAAGGTTTGAGTTCGGGGAAGTTCGGTCTGGCTCTGCTCCATAGTAGCGTGAGTATGATCGCCCACCCTCTGGCGATCCAATCAAATTGTCAGGGCGGGCTTTATGCGATGACGGACAGATGATCAACAGTAACGTAATCAACCACGTGACCAAAGCGCGCTTGGGTGACAACAACAATGGCTGCCACTGGAGGGTTGAGGTGAGTAGATTCTGCTATTAGGTCTGTTCTAGAAGATATCGACAGCAAATTAATTTTAAAAGAGGAACAGAGAAACGCGATCAAGGCTCATCTTCTTATTCTAGGCGTGCAATTGCACGCTTTGATTTTTGTGGACAACAACTATGCTTCGCTTAACATACGTCACGCACTCCGTTGCTCTTATTGGTTGTAGGTCTATCCAATTGAGTGCAGAGGCATTTTTTTTCCTGGTTCGTTCGAAACACGCCCCATAATCACAGCTCTATGGAGCAGTATCAGACTCATATTCTGACTAGAATTGAGTAGGACTATGTCAGGCTACCCTTCCACCACCCTGTTACACTCATAAAAATCCTGTTGAGAACTCTGTCTTCTGCTGCCCTGATATTCTGTTCAAACAGCTTCTTATTATTTTAGCCTGAAATGTGTAATCGAACAATTACTGCACTCAAAAAAAACACCCATGCATTTAGGGCTGCAACTATTGATTAATTAAATAATCGCTTAAAAGTTGATTTTTATTAATTGGGACAATGCAAATTGACTTCATTCCAAAGCAGATTATTTGGACTGACAGAACAAATAAATGCACAAAACAGATTGCTGTTTAACTGCTCTATTACAATACAAATAAATGATAGTGCTACAAACTATGTATGTTGCAATATACAAATAAAATAATCAATTCTCCACATGACTTCTTCCCCTGCTACAGATGTTTGGCTTTAAATTAGCGGATGTGGTTGAGTTAACTAAGAGAAGCAATGGAATAACTGCTGGGATATTTACAAATATGATTTTCACTCCCACAGTCTAGCAGAGTTTATACGTGTCCCAGAAGAACTTTATTTACTCCTTTTCATAAAACATATATGTTTATCACTTACTGAGATCTTTGCAATCTTGTGCCTGCTCCAGTTGTGATGCGGATGCTGCCAAACTGAGCCCCCCAGGATCATCTGTCTCAACCTTCATAATTTTAGACATCCTCGCTCCATTTAAATCCTCATTTCTTAATCCCAGTTTGCAGGCTTCATATGTCAGAGTAGATCAGGGTTTCAGCCATTCAGTCTCTATATTCTTTTTTTCAGGTTCCTGAAACCAGAGTCAGACAAAAATAAGCGTATCAACAGAAAATGTAAATAAAGCATAGAGATGCACCAGAAATGGAAACATATGCTTGATGGTGGTCAGCTAATAACAATCAAAAGAAAGTTTTGATATATATTAATATCTTCTGAAAATTACGCAAAGTAGTTTAAGTATAAAATGCATCAGAAGCTACTTTTACTGCATCTAAGAACAAATATGATGGGCCTATATTTATTCTGATATAATTATAAATTATGGTTTGTTTGTTATAAAAGAACACTGATTTCTATGGTCATTCGTGCTGCTTTCTGCAGCATGTATGGATGAATCTAACTAAACCACAGTGCTTGATGTCTGAAACCTTTCAGAGACGTTTGCTGTCCACTGTGCATCTGTCCCTGGTGTTTCAGTCCTCAGCTTAACAAGAATTAGGGAAGATATCAACAGACAAAGTGGTCAAAACTACATAGATTCCCTCTTAAAACACTGAACCAAGAACATTTATCTTAAATATATATGATAAAATAGTGGCTAAATACTTCTGGCAATTTAATAATTCACTGAACTTTACATCTAGCCACAATCATACAATACCTTTAATCAATACAGATGTCCAAACTCCCACTAATTGGACAGCTCTCCACAAAGGATCAACTTCCAAGTTTCCTCCATAACTGCTATTTCAGCATATCTCTGAATAAAAGATACTCTACACAAAAAAAAAAAAACAGTCAGCTACTGAGAAAACCATTATTATTCTTTTGTAGAGAGAAACATTACAAAGATTAAAAACGACAAATGATTATTAGCACATAATGTAGCATAAGTCCCGGCTTGCTAACTCATTTGATCAAATAAGAGACTGACATATACTTTTAAAAGTAAAAAAAAAAATCCGTAGATTACCTCTTAAAACACCGAACCAAGAACCTTAAGAGCTTTTACGTAGATAACCCTGACTAGTCTCTGCTGTTATCTGAATTAGCTCCACGTAGAATAACGGTTCAGTCATTTAGCTTGGTTCTAAAAACGGTCCGTGATTCATGCTCTCATTGAAATTATCACAGCGGTTAAACACAAGGTTAAATCGTAAACGCGACATTAATTGTACCCTCCTAAGAATATAAATAAATGTTTATTTCTGGCGAGACTGAGCAATTAATAATAACAACAACACCGTCACATCCGGGTATTTCGTCGTCTTCCACCAATGAAAGGCTGTGATTCTTGTTTTTCTTCTTCTTCTTGGGTTTTTTGGCGGTTGGCAAACACTGAAGTTGCGCACTACCGCCAATGAGGAGTGTGGCTAGTCTTGTCTTGTTGCGTTTAATGCTGGTTGGCAAACAACTTTTCGGTGTGCATTACCGCCACCCACTGGTGAGGAGTGTGAATCAGAATGGCCCTATTTATAAAGATACTTATATTTATTTATTTATCTATATATCTATAATGTTACTTTACAAATTCTAAATCCTCCTAATTATTCCTATTATTATTAAATATTTAAATAAATATTGATGAGTGTGGTTCATGATTGATTATATTAATTATATAGCAGTAAAATTATGTAAAATGTATAATTTTTTAATGATTTTTATTAGTAGACCTCCTACGTTTTTTTTGTGTGTAAAATATCTATTATATGTAATATTTATTTAATGTGCTTTAAATTTCTCCTGATGAATTTCCTTCCTATTCCATATTTTTGACAAGCTAATATAACATGTTCTGTCATTTCATCTTCCCCCCAATGGTCATATTTTCCTGTATTATGTTTTTTTTTTCTTAAAAAGCTTACTATTCACTCCTGTGTGTCCAAATCATAACTTTGTTATTATCCTTTCCTCCCTTCTGATCCTTCTTCCATTTCTTAATTCTCCAAATTATTTTTTGATCTTCTAAAACCATCTCCATTTACTTTCTGTATCCCATCTTTCTGCAATTCTTTCTTCAATTTTTGTTTGATGATTTTTATTTTCCACTTCTTCTTGTTTTTTCCTCAGACAGATTCCACACTAGTTGTTGGATTGCTGCCTGTCCCTGGCGCAGACAGTGTGCTACATTACTCTAATGAAAGTATAAGATAAAGTCTTCCCATCAAAAAATTTATTTCATAAAGCTAGGCGTTGCTCGCATCTTTCTGGTATATTTATGCTTAAAGTAAGGTTTTAGTTTACACTGATTTAAATCCCACAGAGAAAATCCCTGACACCAGGTATTTTCTATGCCATTTAAAAGATAACCAGTAAGATGGAGATCAGAGGCCAGTCCAACGTGTCCTAGTCATAGCTTGCAATAAGTCTTTTACACGATTTATTCAGGTAACCTCTTCCCAACTTATACAAACTGAAGAGCTACCTTAACATGTCTCCTGTCAAGAGGCATCTGCCCATTTCAACCAGAAAGGATGGTGTTTTTTATATGATTCAGAGGAGAGTGGGAGAAATGAGTATGCAGGAAGGAAGGGAAGAGAAGAAACAGTTACATTAAGACTTAGATTTGTACAGAAGAGGATTAGGGCCACTGAAAAAATAAAAAAGTTAACTAATTAAAAAAAAAAAAAAAAAGTCAGAATTCTGAGTTAAAGTCGGAATCCTGAGAAAAAAGTCAGAATTCTGAGTTAAAGTCGGAATCCTGAGAAAAAAGTCAGAATTCTGAGTTAAAGTCAGAATCCTGAGAAAAAAGTCAGAATTCTGAGATTAAAGTCAGAATTCTGAGATCAAAGACAAAATTCTGACTTTTTTACCATATTAAACTAAAATAAAATTGGAAAATGAGTTAACTTTTTTTTTTTTTCAGTGGCCCTATTCGTCTTCCGTAGATTTGGGCATACAGGATTAAACAGTACTTTATTCAAAATAGGTAAACATATCACCGGTAGCTGTGAATACTGTGAGCAACAAGAAACAATGAGCATGTTATGGTACACTGTAAGAAGTATGGAAGGAAAAGGAGGGAATAGTTTAAAAATATTAATAAAGAAAGAATACACTTTAATTTAATAGAAAACCTTAGAAAGAACTAAAGAGATAAGTGTTATGTAATTGTTTTATCATTATGTTAGATTAATCAGTGTAATTAAGAGGATTTGAATCTTATTTTGGTTTTGTTGGTTTTGTTTTGTTCAGTATAAGTAGGTAGTAGCCATTCAGATCCACCCTCCATACCACTTGATGGCGGTAATGCACCATTTCTTTGCGTGCCAGCTACCAAAAAAAAAAAGAAGTAACCTGGATGTAAAAAAAAAAAAAAAAAAAAAAAAAAAAACGTTAGCTTGTGTTGCTAATTTGGGATAGTAAATGGATGTCTCTCTCATTGGACAGACTCTGTAAGAATGTTCTTTCTATCTAATTGTTTTGAACCACGAAGACAATTTTATACTGGTTGGAGCAGAACAGGATCGTATTTGTTTTGATCAGTAAATTGTATGCATTGTTAGCCACCGATGAGCTAAAGCAGCTAACGTGAGGAAAAAAAGAAGGCTTTAAAAGTTAATGATTTAATGCTATAACGCCAGTCTTCTCTCTGACTTTGCGAGGTCTGGATGGGGAGACTAAGTCGACTGTGAATGTCTTCTCCACCTCTTGTCTTTCACCAAATGATTTGAGGAAATTACATCAGAACCAGAACTTCTGTCCAAAGCATCAGACTCTTAACTCTGCATCATCGCTTCTGCTCTGCTACTGTTTACATTTTCTATAGGGTTAGATGATGATCACAAAGAAGATAGGAGTTATATTGCCTTGAAGGTGCAGACTGGGATTGTGAAAAGGAGAATCCCTGGTAAAGGATGTCTGACATGGTGAAGACTGAAGCAGAAGAGCCTGGAGGGCCAGGTTATGTTCCCCTCTTAGCTGAACCTTTTCCATTAAAGATGGAGCACATGCAAGACAGAAAAGACCTCGGTGAGTGACATGTTTCTTTCTGATTTAAAGTAAAAAATAGAAGCTGTGGTAGGGGGCTAACTTTTCATTTTAACAATGATTCGATTCATATCAGGATGCATGGATTCAGTAAATCTTTAACCAAAAATATAACAAGTGTGACTGTGAAATAAATACCTGCATACTGGACAAAGCAGGTAACATCTCCTACTTCTTTACTGTATCTTTTAAAATAACTGTAAATAATTAGATAAATATAGGCATAAATAAACATGTAGTAAATATATAATGGAAAATACACTCCAGATTAAATCAATACCACTTTGTGGTATTATTTTCAATAAGAATTTTTTTTTTATTAAAGTGCACAACGTGCAATTCTTATTTAACAACAGGTTTACCTGCTGTTTCCAATGCTATTGTATTCTACTTCAGAATATTACAACTTTAATATAAAAGTAAACTGCAACATCTATTCAGGTTTTATCAAAAGTAGATTTACCTGCTCAATAAAAATTAAAACTGGCCCCTAAGTTTGCATATGGGAAGAGAAACTAAATTGTAAAACCAACACGTGAAATACGGAAGATTGTAATGTTTGTTTACATCTCAAGTCTTAAAGGAATAGTACACCCAAAACATGATTAGCCTTCATTTTCTACTCACCCCCATGCTGAACAACACCCTGGAGTACCTTTTTGATATCTCAAATGCATCTGGAGATCTGGGAGGCTTCTTGCTGTCTGCTGACATTCAAATAATGGAGGTCTATGGTGCCCGAGGTCCATAAAAGTCCACAAAAAACGTGTCAATATTCCTCCATACTGCTCGTCCAATGTATTCCAAGTGTCCTGAGTGGGTAGCATCCAGAATTTACTCGAAACAAAGTCATTTAGAATGTTTTTAGAGCATAAACAGTAGTGTATAGGATTTCCTGAAAGCGTGCACATGCGCGATCACGACGCTACGGAAGCCGGCAGACCTAACCAGATGAAAGTGCGCATTCAGCGTCTGCTCTTCCAATAATGCCGGCGTAGAAGAAGAAATGTGCCGTTTACCTGTGCAAAGAAAGAAACAACGAAAGAAAAATGTCTGAGGACTTCAGTGTTGAGGAAGAGCATGAGTTCTTTGGCGAGCTGAATGCGTTGGTTTGGTCTGCCGGCTTCCGTAGCGTCGTGATCGCGCATGTGCGCGCTTTCAGGAAATCCTATACACTACTGTTTATGCTCTAAAAACATTCTAAATGACTTTGTTTCGAGTAAATTCTGGATGCTACCCACTCAGGAAACTTGGAATACATTGGACGAGCAGTATGGAGGAATATTGACACGTTTTTTGTGGACTTTTATGGACCTTTCTGCCTCGGGCACCATAGCCCTCCATTATTTGAATGTCAGCAGACAGCAAGAAGCCTCCCAGATCTCCAGATGCATTTGAGATATCAAAAAAGTACTCCAGAGTGTTGTTCAGCATGGGGGTGAGTAGAAAATGAAGGCTAATCATGTTTTGGGTGTACTATTCCTTTAACTCTCTAACTGATTCAGTAAGGCTGCTTATTTCTTGTATAAAACTAAAAACCTGCCTTAAAAATAAATCTTCCATCTCTTGTCACCTGTAATAAAGTGGTCTAGATTAACTGCCTTCCCAATAAGAATCTGAGCTTGTCTATGTTATTTCCAATATTTCCAGCTCATCAGATGCTGGTGATTAAAGAAGAGGATACACATGGCTGTTCCCCCAGTTTGGACCAGCAGGACCAAGAACCTTCTCGCATAAAGGAGGAAGAGGAGGAACTATGGCTCAGCGAGGGGGAAGAGAAGCTTACTGTGAAGAGTGCAGAAGAAGTGAAACCTCAATTATTAGAACTTCATCAAATCAAAAGTGAAGACAACAGAGAGACAGAAAATCCAACCCTCAGTTCAGCTGATCCGATGGAAAAACAACCTAACGGAGGATACTGTGGAGGTCCAGAACTAGACTTCGACTCAGATCCAGTGTGTTCCTATCAGAAAAGTAAGATGACAGTTCACAGAAGGGGTAAAGGATCTAAACTACGCATCAAGCTGAATGCCCAGGGCCAAATCCATAAAGGAGAGAAATCATTTGGTTGCAATATTTGTGGCAAAAGATTCAAACGTGAGGCTAACTTCAAATTACACATTGTGATTCACAATGAAAAGAGAGAACATATTTGTAATCTTTGTAGTAAAGGATTTAAGATAAAGCGCGCTCTTCAGACACACATGAGACGGCACACAGGAGAGAGACCGTTTGCCTGTGAAAATTGCGGTAAAAGGTTCCATGCAAAGAGTAATCTCACGAGTCACTTAAAAGTCCACTCAGAAGAAAAAACATTTTCTTGTGATGTTTGTGGTACTAGGTTTATAAGAAATGAAAACCTTAAAAGGCACATGTGGATCCACACCACAGAGAAGCCATTTGTTTGTAGTGTTTGCAATAAGGGATTTTCACTGCAGCAGAGGCTGGAAACTCACATGCATGCTCACAAGGGAGAGAAACTCTTTATGTGTACTGTTTGTAGTAAAGGATTTTCCAGACATGAGAATCTTAAAAGGCACATGCGTGTCCACACAGGAGAGAAACCATTCGCCTGCAGTTTTTGCAGTAAAGGATTTTCACTACAAGAGACGCTAAAGAGTCACATGCGTGTTCATACGGGAGAGAAGCCATTTATTTGTAGCATTTGTAGCCAAGGATTTTCTCTGCAACAGAATCTAAAGAGCCACATGTATGTTCACACAGGAGAAAAACCCTTTATTTGTAGTGTTTGTAATAAAGGATTTTCCCGGCAGGTATATCTAAAAAGTCATATAAAGGTTCATACAGCACCTTTTAGCTGTAGCAGTTGTAGTAAATGTTTTATGAATGAAGAACAGCTACAGAGACATGTGAGGTTTCACTCGGAGGACAGGCCGTTTAGTTGTGAGGTCTGTAAAAGTAGATTCAATCAAAAGATTCATCTTGAAAGTCACATGCGGGTTCATTCAGGAGAGAAACCTTTTGTTTGTAGTGTTTGCAGTAAAGCATTTTCACGACCAGGGGATCTGAACAGACACATGGGTATTCACAAGGGCTACAGCTAATGATTGATTGACAGCTAATTTTTCAATATGATTTTAGGCAATTAAATTATTATATTAATCAGGGGCTGAAATTCACTGCTAAAAAGTGGGAATAGCAAATTATCTGATCCGCAAATCCATTTTTTTTATAATGTGGGAAATTCCCCCTTAAAAAAAAAATCATGGGAATGTGTAGCTACTAATGTTGATGTTTTCAGATTTAGACAAAGAAGAAAATCTCCGCTACTGACTGTTCTTCTTTTCTTTTCTTTTTTTTTTTTTCTTATTCTACTCTTAGAGCCCAAGGTTTTGGCTAGCAAACCAATGGTCATCATACTTAATATCTTTAACCTTTAAAATATATTTCAAATATGGATCGCTGGCTAAAAAGCAAATATTTCGTCCTATCAACAGAGGACCCAACTTCTAAAAAAAAAACACAAATCAAAAGGTCAGATACGTTTCAGCCTAAATGGCTAGACTTGCATCCCTGGTGACATGAGCTGCTCCATCTGCAAAAATGTATGGTCCTGTACCTCATACCAGCCAAAACTGTAAAACCTCAACTTTGTGCCGCCACTCTGACAATGTTTCTCTCACACTGCAGCAGTGAAAAAACAAAACGTGAGGCAGATTCAGCTAAAAATGTAATGCTCCATGATGCACAAGTGCAGCATGAAGATGAAAGAAATGGGCTTCTTAAAACTGCTGACTGTGTTGCAGAAAATGAAATGGCCAAAGCAAACGTTGAATATATATAGGCATGGATCTGATTTTAGATTATATTAATCTGTGTAGGTAACCTTGCAAGGTTTTCCATCCTAAAAAAATATTCTTCCTTTAACACCACAGTTAAGTGAGAAAAAGAGACCATGCAAGGGAAAGGGCAAGAGAGAGCAGCTGAAACAACCACCCCCCCTATTTCAAAAGTGATTTTCAGGCACTATTAATTCATCCTGCCCTCAGGGGGAGCATCATATTTCAAATCACTACACAATATTTTGTGAACCATTCATTTAAAAATATGATTTGCTACTTTTTGGAGCTCTAGGTTAAGATAAAGAATAATTAAAACTTGGTTTGAGCACTGATTGTTATAGAAACTTAGAAGTCAAACTGTTAATCTTAGCAATGGGTTTTGTCTTATCTGACTGTTGTGCATGAATGTTACCACAAGGTGGCAACGATGCATTTGCAAAGCTCCAGCAGGACCTATAGATGCTAATTTGCTAAATTGTAAAAGTTTGAAAGCTTATGCAATCATCAATCATTTTAGGGCAAGGTTAATTTATGTATGTGTGTTTAGGTGTGTGTGTATATATATATATATGTATGCATGTGTGTATATATGTATGTATTTATATGTGTATATGTATATGAATTCTAGACATATAATTTAATATTTATTTCCTATTCTAATAATAAAAAAATAAATGTACACATGTAAAACTGTACTTGATCAACATGTCCTTAATGGAACCCAGGTTTTACTTAAGTTGTCTGTTAGAGAGGAGCTCTGCACGATTGTGTTGTATATTTTAATTCAGTCTGTGTAAATACTTGAAAATAAGGAATACTTTTTATTTATTTATTCATTAATTTATTTGGCTAATTGCCCAGTATAAAATACCTGTTGACAGGGTGTTTTTTTCCCATCTTCTTTTTATACATATTTTTTTTAATTAAAGTTCCAAGAATTAAAGGGTGAAAATTGACCATTTTTTATATATTTCTGCCAGTCAGCATAGTTAGTTAGATACAATGTCTGCAGGCTAGTTTTCTTACATAGAGCTACAAATGTTAAACTTTTTTTTTTCACTCTTTAAACCCGTTATATATTTATGTAACTAACCTGTCTTTGAACTTGCTGCAAAATTTGAAACTGAGCAATGATGAACATAATCAGAATTGTGAATTAAAACACCCTTGGAAAACATTTCATATTATTTGATGAAGTTTGTTTGGAAAAAATTAAAATGACTTGGTTTTAACTGCAAAATGTCCTTGAATTATTTTATTAATCTGTGATCATTTTAATAAACTGTTTCTTTTCTTTTTACCTATACATATATTTTCTTTACTTATATTTTCATTTTAGCATAACTTGAACTGAGGTCCAATACTGCTGCGAGGTAAAACGACAATACTGTTATTACCTTTAATACTTGCTGCTTTCAATTCTACTTCAAATGTATTTTTCTTTCATGTCTTCATTAAAAAAATAGAATTGATGTAAAAAGATGTTATTCTGGAAAACATGTAGCTTATTGTTGTAAAAGAAAAACATTTTTTAGATGATACTGGAATTTTAAAGTATGATAGAGATTAGATCAGTTTACTAGTCTAGTACCTCAAGGTCTACGTTTACAATGCAGGTCTTATGCTCAAATACATGTCTATTTTTTTCAGGAATCTGATTTTATTTTTTTTATTTTTTTTTGGTTGTCCAAATTACTTTTAAAATTCTGCCTGTACCTGACTTTAGTGTGGACTGTTTGACTCCAAACTGACCCCCATGTGCATAAAAACAAAGCATTGTCACATAGAGCACAACAGTAAACACAGAGAAATTGGTGATCTGTGCACAACAGAATCAATTTACTGTTTCAGTGGATGCCGTGTCTGAAATGCATCAAAAAAGGAGGGGAAAACTTTTTATTTTGGCATTTAAGGGAGATTTGATGTCATTTCAGCACAGAAAAGATCTGGATATAAAGACACATCAAGTAACAGTTGATGCATCATTAATAATTGTCTTTGAGGCACCTTAAAGTTACCTGTTGGGTTTCCATCCCATATAATAGAAGCAGATCATCGCATGCTCACATCCTCTGAAGGGTTCTATACAAAAGTCATAATGCAAACAATTGTGCACTTCCTGTTAGTTCCTATAAGCCTTTTCATTAGCCCTGAATTATGTTTTAACTATCAATTAACAAGCTCTAAGGCCTTGCCAACTCTCAAGTACATCACTGAACTGAAATAAGAGTAAGTCAATGTTCCCTAAAATATGTGTATTTTCCCTTGATTTGAGCAGATAAACTCATCTACCTGGTTAAATTAAGAGGAAATTGATTTCTCTTCAGAATAATTGTTCACATATACATATATATATATATATATATATCCTCACCCTCTGCGGTGGTCTCCCTTTTTTTTCTCCAAGCTGGGGTCCTCTAGCAGAGGCCTGGGAGCTTGAGGGTTCTGCGCAGTATCTTTGCTGTTCCTAGAACTCCACTCTTCTGGACTGAGATGCCTGATCTATATCCATGGATCTGCTGTAACTCCTCCTCCAGTTTGGGGGTCACTGCCATGAGGGCCTCAATGACCACAGGCACCACTGATGCCGTGACCTTCCAGCTCTTCTCTGAGCCCCTGGTATTTCTCTAGTTTCTCATGTTCCTTTTTCCTGATGTTGCAGTCTCTTGGTATTGCTATGTGAACCAAAATGGCTTTCCTCTGCTTTTTGTCTCCCACCACAATGTCTGCTTGGTTTGCCATTACAATTCGGTCCGTCTGTATCAGGAAGTCCCTCAGAATCTTGGCTCGGTCATTCTCTACCATCTTTAGAGGTGTTTCCCACTTTGACCTTGGGGTTTTTAGTCCAAACTCTGCAAAGATGTTCCTGTACACTATTCCAGCCACTTAGTTTTTTTGGAATTCTGAGAAAAAAGTCAGAATTCTGAGAAAAAAATCAGAATTCTGGAAAAAAAAAAAAAAAAAAAAAGATTTCTGAGAAAAAAGTCTGAATTCTGAGGAAAAAAAGTCAGAATTCTGGAAAAAAAAAAAAATAAGATTTCTGAGAAAAAAGTCTGAATTCTGAGGAAAAAAAGTCAGAATTCTGAGGAAAAAAGTCCGAATTCTGAGAAAAAAATTCAGAATTCTGAGAAAAAATTGGAATTCTGGGAAAAACAGTCAGAATTCTGATATTAAAGTCAGAATTCTGACTTTTTTTCTTAAATTATACTGGAATAAAATTGAAAAATCAGTAAAAAAAAAAAATTCAGAGGCCCTAATCCTCTTCCGAAGTAAATTAAAGGCCATATAAACTTCTTTTTTTTTTTTTTTTATAGCACACAAGAGGGAATGTAAGAGAAAATAAATGACAGAGGTGCGTCTGATCGATGACTTTACAGTGAAACGCAAACTGTTGTCATGAAAAGCTAACATTTGAAAGCGGAAGTAGTTTCATACAATCAGAGCTTTACTCGACATCCATTGGTTGGAAACACAACAGTTAGCTTAACGGTTCATTGGCTAATTCCTGCATGAAGAATAACTTCACATCCTTGAAGTTTGTATGAAACAGGTATCTGTCTTTCTAATTGAAGGTCTTCGCGAGGATATGTATTTTACTTATTTATTTATTTTTTTACATATTTGCTTTGAACCGCTGTGACCATAGCTAACCGGTTTGCAGTGGAATGCACTGTTAGCCACAGTGGAGCTAAAGCAGCTAACAGCAGCTAAAGGAGAGACCTAATCAGAGTTTCTTACGTCTAGATTTTAAAGTTCGTGGTTTAGTGAATTGTCTATTATCTCTCCTTTGAAGAGGACGGTGTTTTCTATGGACCCCTCCCCTTAAAGCCTTGTTTACCTGTGAACAACGACAGTGGAGACAGCCTGAGAGACACAGAGCTGAGGAAGGTATCAGACTCTCCCCTATGCAGCATCGCTTCACCTCTGCTGCAGCTTACATTCTCTGATAAAACACTTGATTTAATCAGGTTAATTTGTGTCTGATTCCAGTTTAAGGGAGAAGAAATAAGGAGATACGGTTTACAGGCGATAATTGTAAAAAGGAGAATCATAAATGGAGCCAGGATGTCTGAAGTGATGAAAATAAAGATGGAAAACCCTGAAGGGGTCAGCTTGGAGTCTCCCATGGATCAGAACCAAGACAGCAAAGATTTGGGTAAGTGACACAAACCACTAACTAATTGGTCCAGTTCTTATACATACAGGAAATCCTTATTCTGGCTGTTTTGTTTAAACACAGGCGTCTTAGAAATAACAAAGATGTCCAGACAAAAATTAAAACAAGCAAGGCGTGGAAAATTAAATGAGTTTACATGGTAAGAGAGAAGACATTTGTTCAACATTATTAATATGCTGATTACATATTGGAGATGTAGAAAAGCAGCAGAAAAGGGAGCAGAATTGACAGACAATTTTCTAAACCAATGCAACTAATTCTTATATGATATATAAGTACAACTAATAAATTTTAAGTGTTTTAGGATGGTAGACATAATTTAAAAAAATATATATATATTTATATATGAAACAAACAACCTTCTGGTTTGGTGATCTGTATGTTTAATATTGATAATCATTGTTTAATGTTAATTGGAAGCATCAATGCAGTTTTACTTCCTATATTAGATGCCCTTTTTCCTGGAGGAACAGGGACATTCGATGAAAATTACTTTAGGAGTTAACTTTTAGTGCAATTCCCACCATTTTAATAGGATAACTGCTTTTTAAGACAATTTTTGAAAAATACTACCAGTGGTCAACGGTTAGATACTGTGAGGAGAGGGGCAAAGTGTGAGAATAACCCCAGTGTCCTACTGAACATGTTAACACCCCGGAGTGTCAGCACAGCATCCTCTATAGTCAATCAGATTAGTTCCATCCAGCGCACTGCATAGCGTCCCAGAAGCGCAGTCTGCTTGAAGCTTCTGTAAAATTCATAGCTGTTCTATTTTTCATCAATACCTTGTCTAAAAGTTAGGAAAAACTATAAAGTGAATTCAAAATGGCTTCCCATATGCCAAGTATTACTGTAAAAAAAAATTTTTAGTTTAGCATATAAATGCTTTTATTTATAAAGTTGTCAGCAATATTAACTGTCTGTGTGTAATTCATTATCTCCAGTCCATCAGATGTTTGTGACTGAAGAAGAGTCTACCCCTGACTGGAGCCCCAGTTTGGACCAACAGGATCAAGAACACTCGCACATAAAGAAGGAAGAGGAGGAACAGCAGATCAGTTGGGAGGAAGAGCAGCTTCCTGTAAAAATAGAAGATGAAGGGAAACCTCAGTCAACAGAGCTTCATCAAGGTGTTCCTAAAGAAAACAGAAGGACAGAGGTTCCAACTTGTAGTTCAGCTCAACCTATTGGAGAGAACGGCACAGAACCAGAAGTGCACATAGATCCAGCATGTCCTTCCCAACAAAGTAAGATGGCAGTCCAAAAAAGGTGTAAAAAACTATGTTCCAAATCTAGAACCCAGATTGTAGTCCAGGGTGGTGAGAAACTATTCAGGTGTAGTACTTGTGGCAAAATATTTAAATATAAGCGTTCTGTTAAGTTACACATGATACTTCATACTGGAATGGGAAAACATAAGTGTGATCTTTGTGGTAAAGGATATATAGAAAAGCGTTCTCTTGAGGCGCATATGAGAGCCCATACTGGGGAGAGACCATTTTCATGCAATGTTTGTTTTAGAAGGTTTAGTACAAAGGGAAGTCTTAGAATACACACAAAGCTCCATTTAGAAGAAAAACCTTATTCTTGTGATCTTTGTGGCAAAAGATTTTGGTTAAAAGCCGTCCTTAAAAAACACAAACAGATCCACAGCACAAAGAAACCATTTGGCTGTAGTGTTTGTGATAAGAGGTTTTTACGACAAGGAAATCTAAAGTCTCACATGTATACTCACACAGGAATTAAACCATTTATTTGTGGTTTTTGTAGTAAAAGTTTTACCCATTCAGGTAGTCTTAAGAGTCACATGTATATTCACACAGGAGAAAAACCTTTTATTTGTCGGGTTTGTGGTAAAACATTTCCACGACAAAAGAATCTAAAAAGACACATGTATGTTCATACAGGAGAGAAACCGTTTGTTTGTGGAGTGTGCAGTAAAAGATTTCCACGACCAGAGAATCTAAAGAGGCACATGCGTGTTCATACAGGAGAAAAACCATTTATTTGTGTTGTTTGTAATCAAGGATTTTCACAACAACATATTCTAAAAAGTCACATGCATAGTCACACAGGAGAGAAACCATTTATCTGTGGTGTTTGTTGTCAAGGATTTTTACAAAAAAGAAACCTGCAGAGTCACATGCGTGTTCATACGGGAGAGAAACCATTTACTTGTGATGTTTGTCATCAAGGATTTTCTCGACAAGATGCTCTAAAAAGTCACTTGCGTGTTCACACAGGAGAGAAACCATTCGTTTGTGATATTTGTAGTCAAGCATTTTCACGACAAGATGGTTTGAAAAGTCACATGCATGGTCACACAGGAGAGAAACCGTTTACTTGTGGTGTTTGTAGTAAAGGGTTTTCCCAAAAGGGGAATCTAAATAGTCACATGCGTGTTCACACCAGAGAAAAACCTTTTGCTTGTGTTGTTTGTTGTAAAGCATTTTCACATTCAGTTAGTTTAAAGAGACACATGGGTTTGCACACAAGAGAAACTATATGTTTGTAGCAGTAGAGGGGAAGCCTTTTCATGCTGCGACAATTCATAAAAAGTGTGGATGGTCACAGTGTGTGTTTGAAGCACCAGGGTCTGTTCAGATTAGAAGAGTCCTTCATATGCAGCCAATAAATTTTAGCCTCGTGAGACCATCCTGATCTCGCGAGCTTTCAAGGTTTCACTCGCAGATCAGTCTGGAGACTCTCCGTTAAAGAAAATTTGGAACCGTTCACCAAACGAACGTCCAATCAGCGTTGGCTTTGAGGCGGGTTGAGGTGTGACGCAACGAGAAGTGCGACAGTTCAGTCTAAAGAACATGGCGGCTTCAGCCCGATGAAACTAGCGTTAGCGTGGCTATCGAGCAAGTTTTATCGGAATTACAGAGTATTTCTTTACTGAAAGAAGAGCAGAACACTGCTCTGGAGGCTTTTCTCAGAGGAAAAGATGTTTTTGCTCTTCTCCTGACTGGTTTCGGCAAGAGTTTGATCTATCAATTGGCTCCTCTTCGTCGTCGCTCTGTTACGTCATATGCTTCGTTGATCTGATTGGTTTATTTGGCCCGTCTATCACCAACATAGGCCAATCAGCTAACCAGTATTTTCGCCCCTTCCCAAAATTACTTCAACGGAAGGTTTCCAGATGGATATGCAGAGCAAATCCATCTGGCGGAGTCAGGTTTAATAAATTTAGCCTTTTTGCTCGGTTGGAAGGCCAGGCACACTGTATACTTCGTAGTTCAGGGTATCCGGTTACTCATTGCGAGTCCAAGCAAGCCAGCTGTTCCGTGCTTAGAGGTAAAAGGGCAAAGCCGACAAACGGTGGTGAATATTGTAAGTAAGGCTGCAAATAACGATTATTTTTGCAAATGGGTAAATCTGTAAATAATTTTTTCGATTAATTATTGGATAGCAGAAGGTTCCTATTAGAAGGCTTTTTGAGAAATTAAACCTGGTGAAACGTTTCTGCTTGAGGAGTTCTGGATGGAGCATATTAACAGACGAAAAAGATTTTATGTGGTAAATTTTCACATATTTTGTTTTACAATTTTGGTATAAATGCTGCAGAAGGTCGGTTGCTCTGTCACGTTTTAGAGTCTCTACACTCCAGTTAACGATTAAGCGATTACTAAATTAGTTGATGATTATTTCAATAAAAGATTCAGTATTTCAAGTATTTCAACCGTAATTGTAAGTACAGTTTAATTTTATACAAGTATGTTTTATCTCACATCAATGAAAAAAGTTCATTTAAATGGTTATTGAGTCAGATAGGCTGCGGATAATTTTTGGTTTATTGAAATGTTTTATCTGTCATTAAACGGTTTGACTGACGTTTAAGCTCAGATTCCAATATCTCTGCGGTGTGGGGACTATAAATCTGATCTGCTGCTGAAGCTCCTCAAAAATGAAATTAGAACACAGAATAGTGGTGAGAAGTTCGGCATCCATTCTTTGCCAGCTTTGTGCATCAACTGTCACAGTTGCTAGGCGACAGAACTTACGCTGAGTTAGGGGCGGAGAATCTGTAGCAGATCTCTTCCGGCCTCCTTATATTTACTGCCTTTGAAGGTCTGAGTCCAGGTTGACTATGTCCTTCAGAACGCACTGAGAGCGTGTATGTAATTATCTAATATAGAGAAACCTTCCGCATCTTCCCAGTCCTATATTCTATAAAAGGACAGAAAACAGAACGCTGCTTGGTTTAGTTCAATCTGCTCAGCTTTGTACAACTATAAAAGGATCCAGATTTTTGGACAGAGAGTAATGGAAGTAAGACATGATCATTGTTGAATAGTAAAATGTTTGAAAGATTGTCGCTGGGCGATTTTTATCACAAGCTATGTACGATCTGGTAAGGATAGCGAGTAAGTATTCTATTTAATGCTTTCTCTCCCCTGCTCTGTCTCCTTTCTCATGCACTGCTCCATTGAAAATAGTGCATCAATTTGGTGCAACATATAATGCTGCGTTCACACTGGACGCAGCAGGCACGACAGAAGCAACAAGTTTACATGCAAAGTCAATGGTTGACGCGTGTCAAGGCGCAGCAAAAGGTCCCGCAGCGCGTTTTGAGCAGCAGGCGCAGCACGTCGGGCACGTTTAAGCATCTGACGCGCAGCAAACGCGCTGCTACTCGAGATGGAAAAATGTTACTTTGCTGCTCGACGCACCGCGTCAACCAATCAGAGAAGCTGATCTGGCAGCTGGCAGGGAGAGAGACACAGCGCTGATGATACAGAGCGCTAAGATCACTCCTCTGAAGCAGTTTATTGACGCATAAATTAACTTAAAATGCAGAAATCTGCCGGCAGAATATGTTCGCTTTTATTATTCTGGTGCCTGCAGATTGGATTATTTACATGAAAAACACCTACCAGCTGCCGCGGTGAGCCGCGAGGAGGCGACCCGGCCAGAGGCTGCTGTTGAAGGGATTCCTACTGTCGGCGCACCGCTGGTAGTGTATGTGGGGGGGTCTGAGCGGCTCTGACAGAAATAACATTGGAAGGCAGGATTGTAATCTGGATGAACTGACTGCACTGATTACGTTTTCAGGTGGATTTTCTCACTTAAAAACATATTAAAACTACTTTATTCCCACTGATCACAGCAAATATAGCTGCATGCAAAGACAGGATAGTGAAGCTCCGCCCAACGCGCGTCAGACACACTTTTGCACCGCGCAGCCAGAGCAGCAAAACTGCTTCAGCCGCACGTCAGAAATAACTGGTACAAGCAGCAAAAATGAAGCAGCAGACACGATTTTGTTGCTCTTGCTGCGTCCGGTGTGAACGTAGCATAAATGTTTGGGGTTTTAAGGAGCTCCCAGATAATATGGTGATAAAACGCTCCATTACAATAATCGGTAATGAAATGGCCAAAGGACTGTGTAGTACAAATACAAAACACATGTAACATATATGTAATCTATCAGGAGGCTTGAATCATTATGATGGTAAATGGTAAAAATAATTAAGAAATAAAATGTAGCAGTAAGCCTTTGAGTAATTGGAACCTTCTTATTTCCCTTTGGGATTAATCACGTATTTTTTAATTGAGTGATGGTAGTACAGTGTATGTAAACTGCTTTTTCTGTTTATTTTTTATTGTTGTGATGGTGTTTTATATATATATTTTTTTTATTGTCACTGACTCTTTGGAGTATGGTTTGTCTTTATTATATTGCTGCATTGTTCTTCTCTTCTTACTAAAAAAAACAAATAAAGGATATTATCTCGATCCAGTGCAATTTATTTATCAATTACACTTTAAAAAATACTCAAGCGAAGTGCTCGACATATCAACAGAAAAAGTATATAGTAAAATTAACAATGGTAATAAAAGAGGATATACCTAAAATAAAACGCACAACCGACTCATTAGATAAAAGAACACAACTCGAGGATTGTTAAAATCCAGGGGGGAAAAAGGTGAGTCTTGAGAAGCAGCCCGTCTAACATTCAGCTACGCCTTTTTCCAAAACAGATGGGCTCTTATAACAAAGGCCTCGCCTCTAAGCTTCAGCCTCACCCTTGGAACGGCCAGGAACAAATGATCAGCTGACCTTGAAGACCGTCGATTTTATCCTATACTAATATATCTTCGACACAGCCAGAGGCTGAGAAATTACCATTGTGCCTTAAGAAATTGATACCAAAAGATATTTTAAACTGAATGTTCAAGGTATAGTGGAGGACACTGTTTTTCCAAGTGGATCATCAAAATAAGTGGTCCTCCTAATTGTCAATCATTCTGGTTTGTTTACGTAAGGCCGTCCTACGTGCTCATCTTCTTTTTCACTTACTGGTGTTGAGTCTGACATAGTGGAAAAATTGCAAATCTCTTGGAAAATAAGCTTGTATGAGCAATGCAAACAGCAACTTTTTAAATAGCATGCAGGATGAGAAATGGGCTTGTGCATGCTCTTGCATGCTTTTAATAGACGTTCCCTCTCGGCAGCAGGTACAGCGTTGTGCATCTGCTTTTTTTATCTAAAAGTAGAAAGAGCGCGTCTTAAAAAAATTTGGAAAAATCCTCCATTATACCTTTAACATGTCCATATTAAAAAATAATAGCAATTAATATCAATAAGTTTCCTGATAAATGTTGGACAGAAAATGAAGATAAAAAGGCAACATGTCCAAATTCAAACAAATACCCTGGTATAAAACACATTAAATGTTTCTTTAAACTTCCTTTTCCTTTTATGTTAATGAGCATCAGCAAAATTCCTGTTAAATTCTAATTTGATTAAATCTAAATCCTATCTGCAACTTGCAGGTGTAAAAGGTTAATGATGAAGAAAATCTAAATCATTTGATTATTCTAATTGCTCTACTGAGGCTTAGCTGTTTCTGAGTAAAACGTACAACACAGTGAAAACACTGTATATTAATATCACTGAAATATTTAAAGATAACTAATAAAGACTGAAGTCACTGAAGCGAAACCCAAGAAGGAAAGAGTAGTCTGGAGATCAGAAAAAAATAAACATAAAAGCCAGTAAATCCCTACAAAGTTATTTGTAGGTATTTTAAAATGATTTAATATGTTGGAAATGAAGAAAGAAATATAATGATAAAGCAATTGTAATTATACTTTATACAAAGTAAATGCCTTTCATGTTTTTAACAAAGACATTTCCTTTTTTTTTATTGGTACACCTTAAGTTTATTGGTTTATTTATTGGACGCATTTTATATTTCCACTTTTATTCGTAATTCTTCAGTTTTATTCACCCCCCTTTAGAGGTATACAGAACTTAAGTAGGGATGTCCTGATATGTTTTTATTTCCTATACGACTCTGATATTGCAGTTTTGGTTATGAACCGATACCAACAATAACCCGATGCAATATCCGCACTAATACTATACTTTTATGACTAATTTTCTAAGGTGGATTGGTAAAAGAGGCAACTGGACTTTTTCTGAAGACGTGTCAAGACCTATCCAGGAATCTTTGCTGAGAGAATTCACAAAGCCTCTTATTAATCAAAATATTGTTAAAATCTGTATGTACTAGGGATTTGTATACAGCATCCTGGACTGTTTCTGGATCTGCAGTTGGTACTGTGGCATAAGTAAGACAATGGTCAGACATTCCCAGATGCAGCTGAGCAGTGGCAATGTGAGCTTCCCTCTCGTTGGCCTACAGGAGGTCTTAAAGGGGTCACTGTGGAGACCAGTGTCACATGGTTCAAATCACTAAGAGAAGCGAATGATTACATCTGGGTGCTTAGAGTAAAAAATGTCATATGCTCTATTATAACCCCAAAATCAACTATCTTTCCCTAAAAAAATTGTGCATGTGAATGTCTGTACATCCGTACTGAACACAGTTGTGGTTTTATTCTTTGCAAATTGAACAAATATTGAATGATTTCTGTTCATTGTAAAACAATCTTGAAGACCAAAATGTGAATACCTTAAGGAGCCGTTTTGGCTCCACTATTATATAGATTTATAATAAATTATTTTCTTTTAAGTTACCCACAAAATCCCCTGCCGGATTTATATAGATGATGTGATGTTATAGCTAAAACAAATGATTATGATGATGTATTACAGCTGCTGAGATAGAGAATCTGCGATCCAGTGAACATTACAGAAGGAGCTCTGCAGTTCAGCAACAGCATCCAGGATGGGAGACATTGTCCAACAATGATGTTAGTTTGTTATATCCCAGAACAGTGGAAGCTCTCCCAGTGAGATGTAATATAACCTGAAATAATATTTTTAATTGCTTTAGTGAAAAATCATAACTGATTGAAATAAAGGGTTAAAAATCAGTCTGTATATTTTTACTGAAGTAAAATAACTCTTTAATGATATTTTGATTTATTAAATTATCTGAAAATTTACAAGTTAAGTTCTGGAGAAAAACAGCTGCTACTGGGAAAATAAAACTGAACATTGCAGGCAGGTCCTGGAGAAGAATTTTGGTTTTCAAGGCAAAAATAAAAACCAAAATGTCTGAGAATTTAATATTTATGCATATTTAGAAAATAATTTGTATAAAAAGGATGGAAACAATTATTGCACAAGATAATTTTTACAGGGTTGGATAAATACAATTGAATACATTTTAAATAACTATTCTACAAGATCGGACTAATTTATACTAATTGAAACAGCTAGACTGTCAGATTTAATGACAGCTTTGTCTGTGTTTCCATTTTTTTTAATGAAACAACCAATAGAGCTAATGCAACAGCCCCAACTTTAAAGAGTACAGAGTGCACAAATTTGATGTTCTTATTTTGCAGGATGTTTACTACTTTTTCCTGTGCTGCCTGTTTCACTCTTTAGAACCATCAGTGCATAATTTGATGCTATGCCCACATCTTTAAAAATAAATATGAACTATAACTCATTCTGGAAAATTACTTATTTTTCAGAACCTGCTTTCATTTAAGTTCAAACACTGCTCTGACAAATATCCATTGGCTAATGGATGCTGTTCTCTGTCATCCAGTTCACAGTCATTCCAAAAAAGAAAATTAAAAACAATCCAATGGACTTTGTTTCCAAGTTTGAAGACATTTCGCTTCCCATCCAGGAAGCTTTTTCCATTCAAAATGTCAGGAATAGTGTTGAGTTCCATGTTTTATACAGTAGCCCAACAACACCTTGTTTTTGTTTTGAAAACACGTTTGACTCAAAACTTTTCACATGCAGCACATCAGTAAACAGGAAGAAATGGATGCTATGCGCAGAACAGTAATTTCCCTCTGGGATTATTTAGGTATTTCTGATTCTGATTCTGAACAGAAACCATTTATTGTGCGAGTGGATGCCGTGTATGAAATGCATGAGGAAATGAGGCAAATATACATTGAATATATATATGTATTGAAAGTGTCATCAAAGTCACATGTCATCTACATTCATTGCATTATGGACTCTATATGAATGTAGCTCTAATTTAATGAAAAAAAGTCACATACCAGCCAGATCTAAGCATTTCACATAAAAATTCAGAATTGGGACAAATTTTTATGCTCCATGAAGAAGGCCAAGAGGACTTTTTAATGTAACTTGGTGCTCCATGCAAGACAAACCTATATGTTAGATAAAGATTAGAGCACAATTACATTTTCTCCTTAAAAGTAATACTATGGTCTGGATAAAAGAAAAAAAAAAACATTTAGTGAGTACCACTGCTGTAACCTAGCAACTACACAATTGTTGATGCCATGATGTGAAAGTACTGTTGAAATGTGTGAGAAATAAAGTCCAATTATATATATATTTTTTTTTTATGAAAATCTTAGTGAAGGAGAAAAACAATACAATATACCCCTCTAAAAAGATATTTAGTTTTACAGTTGATTTTAGCCTTAAACACTGATTCAAATATTGTTTTTAAATGTTAGTCACGTGCTTTTGAACAACTTGAACTCCAGACCCCTCCATAAGAAGTGGGACCGGAGTGTTCCAACTACATGATCACACTTCTCACCCTCCTCAAAAGAATTATGCTGGCGAGGAGAGTCCGGCTTATTGCCAAACCTCTGCTTCAGTAGGAACAGTTGGGTTTATTTAAAGGGTCTACATTTACTTTTTAGCCCCAATCAAAACCTATGGTAGTTTTTACAGAAGGATTGTAGAAATTGCAAAACAATGCAAATATCTGCCACATTCTGCAGCCTTTTAGTCTAACTAATGAAATGAACGTGTGGAATATATTGTACACTTTATATTAATCTGTTAGTATTTTGCAAAACCATCGATTTACATTTAGAATTCATCATTAGCGTCGCCGAAATGATTGGTTGTTGATTTGATTTTTAAACTAATGAATTTAGACCTTAATTTAACTGCAGGTTAAAGGCAAATTAAACTTTATTTTCTACACAACCACAGACCAACTCTGCCATATGTAGAAATAAATACAGAAATAATTAAACTCTCAATAAATAAATGAGCACATAATTTATTTATATTTATAAAAACAATATACAAATAAATGTGGGTAGAAAATTCTGTATGCATACAGAAATGTAAAAATGAAAGGCAGAAATAAATAGTGTTGATAAAATAAAGAGCGTAAAAAAATACAAACGAAGAATAAAACAGACAAAAATATAACATGCACATACTTAATACTTAATAAATAAGTAATAAATAAATAAAGTTGAAGATTATAATGGACAATAAATAAATAAGGTAATTATTACAAAAGCGAGAAAAAACAAAAAGCTAATTAAAAGAGATATCTAAATGTATGTCTCACTGTGTAATTTAATTTATACCTAAATTTATTTGTTTATTGTATTTTGGGGGGTAATTAAATGTATGCTTATTTATTTATTGAGCATTTATTTTTCAAATATGGCAGAGTTGGTCTTCCATACACAACAGGGAATGCAAGAGAAAATAAATGACAGAACTGCCTCTGATCGATGACGTTACAGTGAAACGCAAACTGTTGTCATAAAAAGCTAACATTTTGTTTTGATGATTTTGTGTTGTTCAGTAGGTAGTAGCCGTTCGGATCCACCCTCCATACCAGTTGGGGGCGGTAATGCACCATGTTCGTTGCTTGTCAACCGCCAATAAAATCTCATAAAGAAGAAGAAGAAACGCTAAGCGGAAGTAGAGCTTTACTCGGCATCCATTGGTTGGAAACACAACAGTTAGCTTAACGGTTCATGGGCTAATTCCTGCATGAAGAATAACTTCACATCCTTGAAGTTTGTATGAAACAGGTATCGTTGTTTTTTCTGACTTTCTAATTGACGTTCGTCGTGAGGATATGTATATATTTTTTTAGATATTTGCTTTGAACCGCTGTGACCATAGCTAACAAGTTTGCAGTGGAATGCACTGTTAGCCACTGTGGAGCTAAAGAAACTAACAGCAGCTAAAGCAGAGACCTAATCAGAGTTTCTTACGTCTAGATTTTAAAGTTCGTGGTTTAGTGAATGGTCTATTATCTCCCCTGTGAAGAGGACGTCGTTGTCTATGGACCCCTCCCCCTAAAGCCTTGTTTACCTGTGAACAACGACAGTGGAGACAGCCTGAGAGACACAGAGCTGAGGAAGGTATCAGACTCTCCCCTATGCAGCATCGCTTCACCTCTGCTGCAGCTTACATTCTCCGATAAAACACTTGATTTAATCAGGTTAATTTGTGTCTGATTCCAGTTTAAGGGAGAAGAAATAAGGAGATACAGTTTACAGGCGATAATTGTAAAAAGGAGAATCTTAAATGGAGCCAGGATGTCTGAAGTGATGAAAATCAAGATGGAAAACCCTGGAGGAGTCAGCTTGGAGTCTCCCATACCTGCAGCATCCAGAGCAGAAATGGATCAGAACCAAGACAGCAAAGATTTCGGTAAGTGACACAAACCACTAACTAACTGATCCAGTTCTTATACATACAGGAATGAAGCCTTATGCATAGCGTCCCAGAACCTTAGTCTGCTTGGTGCTTCTCTAAAATTCGTAGCTGTTCTTTTTTTCATCAACACCTTGTGTATATATATATATATATATATATATATATATATATATATATATATATATATATATATATATATATATGTGTATGTATATATATATATTTTTTTTTTTTTTTCTCCTGTGAGATACTATTTGAATATTATATTTGTAAATGAAATGCAGCATTTATGCTGGTATCCGATTTTTTTTTTTTTTCAAGATTTCAAGAAATGGAATGGCTCTGTAAGTTTAGCATATAAATTATATGATTTATAAAGTTGTCAGCAATATTCACTGTCTGTGTGTAATTCATTATCTCCAGTCCATCAGAAGTTTGTGACTGAAGAAGAGTCTACCCCTGACTGGAGCCCCAGTTTGGACCAACAGGATCAAGAGCACTCGCACATAAAGAAGGAAGAGGAGGAACAACAGATCAGTTGGGAGGAAGAGCAGCTTCCTGTAAAGATAGAAGATGAAGGGAAACATCAGTCAACAGAGCTTCATCAAGGTGTTCCTAAAGAAAACAGAAGGACAGAGGTTCCAACTTGTAGTTCAGCTCAACCTATTGGAGAGAACTGCACAGAACCAGAACCAGAAGTGCACATAGACCCAGATCCAGCATGTCCTTCCCAACAAAGTAAAATGGGAGTTCAAAAAAGGTGTAAAAAACTATGTTTCAAATCTAGAACCCAGATTGTAGTCCAGGGTGGTGAGAAAATATTCAGGTGTAGTACTTGTGGCAAAATATTTAAACATAAGCGTTCTGTTAAGTTACACATGATAATTCATACTGGAATGCGAAAACATAAGTGTGATCTTTGTGGTAAAGGATATATAGAAAAGCGTTCTCTTCAGACACATAAGAGAGCCCATACTGGGGAGAGACCATTTTCATGCAATGTTTGTTTTAGAAGGTTTAGTACAAAGGGAAGTCTTAGAACACACACAAAGCTCCATTTAGAAGAAAAACCTTATTCTTGTGATCTTTGTGGCTCAAGATTTTGGTTAAAAGAAGTCCTTAAAAAACACAAACAGATCCACAGCACAGAGAAACCATTTGGCTGTAGTGTTTGTGGTAAGACGTTTTTACGACAAGGAAATCTAAAGTCTCACATGTATACTCACACAGGAGTGAAATCATTTATTTGTGGTTTATGTGGTAAAAGTTTTGCCCATTCAAATAGCTTTAAGAGTCACATGTATATTCACACAGGAGAAAAGCCTTTTATTTGTCGGGTTTGTAGTAAAACATTTCCACGACAAAAGAATCTAAAAAGACACATGTATGTTCATACAGGAGAGAAACCGTTTGCTTGTGGAGTGTGCAGTAAAGGATTTAGTCAAGCAGAGAATCTAAAGAGGCACATGCGTGTTCATACTGGAGAAAAAATGTTTATTTGTGTTGTTTGTAGTCAAGGATTTTCCCAACAATATCTTCTAAAAAGTCACATGCACACTCACACAGGAGAGAAACCATTTAGCTGTGGTGTCTGTTATCTAGGATTTTTACAAAAAAGAAATCTGCAGAGTCACATGCGTGTTCATACAGGAGAGAAAGCATTTACTTGTGATGTTTGTCATAAAAGATTTTCTCGAAGAGATACTCTAAAAATTCACTCGCGTGTTCATACAGGAGAGAAACCATTCATTTGTGATATTTGTAGTCAAGCATTTTCACGACAAGAGGCTCTGAAAAGTCACATGCATGGTCACACAGGAGAGAAACCGTTTACTTGTGGTGTTTGTTGTCAAGGATTTTTACAAAAAAGAAACCTGCAAAGTCACATGCATGTTCATACGGGAGAGAAACCATTTACTTGTGATGTTTGTCATCGAGGATTTTCTCGACGAGATGCTCTAAAAAGTCACTCGCGTGTTCACACAGGAGAGAAACCATTTGTTTGTGATATTTGTAGTCAAGCATTTTCACATTCAGTTAGTTTAAAGAGACACATGGGTTTGCACGCAAGATAAATTAGTTGTTTGTAGTGGTAGAAGGGAAGCCTTTTCATGCTGCGACAATTTATAAAAAGGGTGGATGGTTACAGAGTGTGTGTTTGAATCCACCATGGACTGTCTCTGGATATGCGGTTGGAACTGTGGCGTAAGCAAGACAATGGTCAGACATTCCCAGATGGAGCTGCGCAGTGGCAATGTGAGCTTCCCTCACGTTGGCCTACAGGAGGTCTAATATCCCCTTCTTCCTGGTGGAAGCTAATGATTACATCTGAGTGCTTGGAGTAAAAATGTCATGCTCTCTTATAACCCCAAAGTCAACTTTTTTCCCCCCCAATAAATTGTGCATGTGAATTATCTGTACATCTGTACTGAACAAAGTTGTGATTTTATTCTTCACAAATAAAAGAAATATTGTTCAGCATAAAATATTGTTTATGCAGTTCAGCAACAGCATCCAGGATGGGAGACATTGTCTAACAATGATGTTAGTTTGTTATATCCCAGAACAGTGGAAGCTCTCCTAGTGAGATGTAATGAAACCTGAAATGTTTTCAAATGCTTTAGTGAAAAATCTTAACTGATTGAAATAAAGGGTTAAAAATCAGTCTCTGTGTCTTTTTACTGAAATAAAATTACTTTTTAATGATATTTTAATTTATTAAATGATCTGAAAAACATACGAGTTAAGTTCTGGAGGAAAAACAGCTGCCACTGGGCATATAAAACTGGACATGGAAGGCAGGTCCTGGAGATCCTTTGAGACCTTTGGTTTACAAGGAAAAAATAAAAACCAAAATGTCTTAGAACAGGCATTCCCAAACTCGGTCCTCAAGGCGCCCTGTCCTGCAGGTTTTAGAGGTTTCCTTGCTCCAGCACAGCTGATTTTAATTGAAAGCTGATTACCAGGCTTTTGGTCTACTGCAATCATTATAACCAGCTGTGCTGAAGCAGAGAAACCTCTAAAAACCTGCAGGACAGGGGGCCTTGAGGACCGAGTTTGGGGATGCCTGTCTTAGAATTTAATCTTTATGCATATTTAGACAATAATTTGTGCACAAAATGATTTTTATAGGGTTGGATAAAAACAATTGAATACATTTTAAATACCTTCTAAAATATTTGGCTAATTTATACTAATTAAAACACACTGTCAGATTTAATGACAGCTCTGTCTGTGTTTCTAACATCATTATGAAGCAACCAATTGAGCTAATTCAACAGCCCCCACTTTAAACAGTACAGAGTGCACAAATCTGATTTTCTTATTTTTATAGTACAGGATGTTTACTACTGCTCCTGTGCTGCCTGCCTGCTCATTAGATCCATCAGTGCATATTTTGATGCTATCCCCATGTCTTTAAAAATGAATATGAACTATAATTCTGGAATATTACTACTTGTTTTTCAGAGCTTACTTTCATTTTATATCAACCACTGCTCTGACAAATATCTATTGGCTAATCATAGATGAAAAAATGGAACTAGGATGGAAAAGTGTGAGCTATGAAAAATATGCTGTAAATTAGAAAGTGAGGGAGCCTACCCATCATGTAGATATAAGACATTCGTTAACTTTAGGCAAATGCAAATGCTTGATCACCTCTGAGCTTTAGCCTTATTGTGAGAATAAGTTGAGAAAGAGAAACATTTAGAATCATTATTTTAGTGCTGCATGCATTTAAGTTGAGATTTTGTTCACCAGATATTTATTTATCCAGATTGTATGACATTTAACTGAAATAGACAAGTTAAAAGTAATCCATCTACGCAGAAAAAAACATCACTTTAAACTCACTTCTATTTTATTGTTTCTTTTATATTACAGTGAGGAGTCAACTTCATTCCAAAATAACGACAAGGACCATCTAAGATTTATCATCTTAATGAGTCCAATTAAATCAAAAGACAAACTGTACATCCTTTATTAAAAGCACAAATAAACAAATGGGATAAATACAATCTTAAAACCTGTTTATTTAACAGAAAATACAGAGGGGAAACTGCTTCCGCTTTGCTGGTTTTCTGTGGCTAATTCAGATAAAAAGGGTGCATAAAAAATAGCTTACAGCAGCACAATACTTCTCCTTAATCAAAAATCAGTCTGCCTCAGCATTAGCATTAGATAATGCAGTCAGAACAACAGAAAATGCAAATATATAAAATTAGACACATTCATTATAGGTACTGCTAATAAATACAAAGAGTGAAGTGAATAAATAGATGTTTAAAACTGCTGCAAAAATGTTACAAGTATCCCTTTTTTATTTAGAGCAAAACATCAGTCCATCTAACGTCTGGAAAATTAATTTGATAAGTTTAGAAGGGTTGCTAATTAGTTGTTTTAATACTGCATATGCTAAGTGCAGATCGTTGAGTTACATTTTGAGAAATGCAAATAAAATTTACATATACACATAGTAAATTACACCAATGTACAACTCTGATTAAAGGAAAATCAGATTTTAAGTCAGTGAAAAAAATTACTACTGCCACGTTCAATCTAAATACATTTAAAATTGCCTTTCGCTGCTTAACAGTTAGATATACATCTGATCAAAGCAGAAAAATCCTCCTTCACAGGGTAATTTTAATTTTGGTGCTACTCACCCCATGTAAAAATGTAACCCAGAGCCTCTCCAGACACATTTTTAAAAAAATGCAAACAAAGTGGTCTGTGCCAAGAGACTTAAGAGTTGCAGGATATCCCTGAAATTCCACATCCTTCGTATTCTACGCTCTCATACGTCCGGTGTAGCATTTGCACATGATAATCAATGAGATCATTTCCACATTCACCTTTTTTTTTGCTCCGTTTTGTTGGAATCCAGACAGGTCAAGATCCACAATTGCAACTGTATTAAAAAGAAAAGAGAACACTGGGACTATCTGATTTGTAAGATAAAGTAATGACAGATTGGCAACTATAAATTAAAACACCATTTTCATATATCCCCAAAAAATAAAAAAGATTTTAATTCTGAAGGAAAACTGAAGCAGAATTTTAAACTCAATTTAAATATTTTATATTCTGAAAGTCTAAAAATGTCACATCCAGTCACATCAGCTTTCAATAATGCCTCAAGAGCAACTTCTTGTCGCAGAGCGCAACAATTATTTTGCTTATCCATTAATCATTCAATTAATCCATTAATAATCGGATAGTAAAAAGTACCTTAAAGAAATGTTTTTTACAAATTTAAACCAGGTGAAACTAAACCTTTACTTTTTGACTTCTGGATAAAGCATATTGGTAAATGAAAAAGATTTTTTTTATCTTAAATGTGAAATATTTATATATTTTTTAAAATGTTCATATAATTACTACTCTGAGTGGGTCACTGTCAGCTGAAGGCATGTTTTAGTCTATAATCCAGTAACGATGAATTGATTACGAAATTAGTTAACGACTATTTAAATAATCGATTAATCACAATTAATCCAATTGGTTCAGCTCTAGAAGACCACGTAGATTTTGGATGAGAAGAACAAAACAATCAGGTATGATCCAAGGCATCCTCGTTAAAGACACAGGAACGGCAAAGGTTTGGGCAGAAATTGCCTGTGTGCTGGATGAACATGGTAAGTTTGAATAATTTCATTTGAAATTAAGGGTTCATTATCTTGTGTAGTGTTCCTTTGCATTAAATAGTAATTATTAAAAATTCATGCATGCTGTCCTTAAGCTCTAAAGAACTCGGAGCAGAGCAAGATGGGAGAAACCGCTGGAGCTGTAGGCGATGCTTCATGGAGGCGCTCTGGGTGGGACGGAGCAGTTACAAAGGATGTGGAATTTTAGTCTTAGTGTGGGGAAAATGGTGAATGAATGAGCAGAAGGACATAGTTAATGCATAATGCAGAGACGTCAAAAGGGCATTCAAGTTTGCAAAAGAGTTGCTAACTTTTGCTGCAAGCTGAATTTTCACAGTATTTGTGTATTTAAACATGTATTATTTATTCTTCAGAAGAATGCACAATATTTATATTATAAAAACACTATACAGTACAGTATTTTATTTGTATTTTTTATTTTATTTTATTGTTGTTTTTAAAGCCTGCCACTTATTCTGTTATTTTTCTACACTTTTTTAACATCCACATTTGTGTGACCACTTTTACTGTAATGCTTTCGCTGCTGAAACACCATAATTTCCCCATTGTGGGACAATAAAGGGATTTTCTTTTTTTTATGTCCCGCTCCAGCTTAAACCATTCTAGAAAATCCAAAAACGGTTCGGCCATTCACATTACAGAATGATGATTAAAGGCAGGATATATAGCTGTGTTGAAAACAAGAACTGCATAGCCCACAGCCGAACCAAAACAAACATGGCAGCCCAAGAGAACTTGTAGATAGCTGCTTCTATCACTCCTGGTTTGTAAGAATCTACTGTTTCATCTTTGTAAGACGAACACCAAGAGTGTAAAAGTGTAAGTTCTTCTGGTTTGTGATGGTGTCTGCTGCCATTTCATTTGTTACCATGATTGGCTAAGACCAAACCCTGGTAGGCGGGCACTAGGTGTCGCTTTCGGCCAATCAGCATATCCAGATTGATATTAAGTAGAACTAAACCTGAATGCCTCACCTTATCAACATGCCTTACCAGGTTAGAGGGCTGCGGAAAAATATTACTTCATAATTTTCAACCATCAAAAATCATTAATTGCAGTTCTTGTGAACAACCATGTGTCTCTTTAGATTTCCTTGCTGTGAAAACGCTTTACTGCACACAGCACAGACAAATGGTTTCTCACCTGAATGGACTCTCATGTGATTCTCTAGTTGAGCCTTCTGGCTAAATCTGCATTTACAGACAGCGCAGCCAAACGGCCTCTCTGCTGAGTGGACTCTAACATGTCGCTGTAACTGGATTTCTTTCACAAAACGTTTACTACAATTACTACAGCTAAATGAAGCTGTGTGAACCTCCATGTGATTTTTGAGATGATGCCGCTGAGAGAACTCTTTACAGCAAACCCCACAGATAAAGCGCTTCCCCCCCGTGTGAACATGCATGTGTCTCTTCAGATGAATTTGTTGTGAAAAACCTTTACAGCAAAAACTACAAACAAACGGTTTCTCTCCTGTGTGAATGCGCATGTGTCTCTTCAGAGTTTCTTGTTCACAAAATCCTTTACTACAAACACTACAGATGAACAGCTTCTCTCCCGTGTGAACACACATGTGAATCCTTAGATTGTGTGGATAAGAAAACTCTTTACCACAAACACTACACACAAAATGTCTCTCTCTGGTGTGGATCCACATGTGCTTCTTAAGAGTTTCCTTCCTTTTAAATCTTGAACCACAAACATCACAGGAAAAAGGTTTTTCTCCTGAGTGGACTTCCATGTGACGTTTAAGAACTGTCTTGGCATGGAACCTTCTACCACAGTCACTGCAGGAAAAAGGTCTCTCTCCTGTGTGGAGTCTCATATGTGTTTCAAGAAAGCGCTTTGCTTTGAATCCTTTACCACAAAGTTCACAGTTATTTTCAATGTGGCTATTCATGCAGAGCTTAACTTTACTCGCATGTTTGAATTTTTTCCCACAAACATTGAAACTAAACGGATTCTCTCCACTCTGTAATCTACTCTGAGTGATGAGTTGGGAAAACTGTGTAGATGTTTGACCTCTTCTGTCCGTCTTGGTATGTCGGTAGCACCATCCTGGATCTGTGCTGCTGTCCCTCTCTGCTCCTCCAAAGTCATCTCCACTGGATTCTGTTTTAAGCTGATCGGCTGAGCTGCTGACTGGAGCTTCTGTCTCTCTGATGTTTTCACCTTTGGCTTGGTGAAACTCTGAAAGTTCTCTTTTTTTGTCATCATTCCTCTTCAAATTTAGCTGCTCTTCTTCCTGACTGATCCACAGTTCCTCCTCCTCCTCTTTTATGTGGGGGGGCTCTGGGTCCTGCTGGTCTGAACTGGGGCTCCAGTCATCAGGAATCACTTTGATCACCAACATATGATCTACTGGTAATAACACAAACACACAGACATTATTAATTAGCTAAATATGACATAAACACATCAAATCCATTTAGTTTATTGGAACATTTCCCAATTTGACCACTGGCTGATCCTTCAGTTATATCTTTAAGATCCTATTTTGCTCTGTGAGCCTTGTTACTTTGATTTAATTCAGTATAAAGTAGTTGATTCCTTTGATGTATGCATCAAGCTGGTTGAGACACAGTAGGGCAGGGGTGGGCAATTCCAGTTCCTGGGGGCCGGAATCCTGCAACTTTTAGATCCATCCTTGCTCCAACACACCTGAATTACATGGCTCTGTTACCTCCTTAGTATGCAGTCAGTTCCTCCAGAGTTCTCTCAATCATCTAATTATTTGATTCAGGTGTGCTGAACCAAAGACACATCTAAAAGTTGCAGGATAGCGGCCCTCAGGAACTGGAATTGCCCACCGCTGCAGTAGGGGGTGTGCCCCTAAAAATTTGGGAACCACTGGTCTACAACATGCCCTTAGCTGACAGAGCAACTCAATTAGAGCAGTAATCCTAACATAATAGCAAAAAAAAAAAAAAATATATATATATATATATATATATATATATTGCATTTAAGATAAAAAAAAGAAAAAAAAATTTCTGTCGATATTCTCTATCCAGAACTTTTAAAGTGCAAAAGTTTTAGTTTGACACTAGTCCATGCATTTACTAATTCAAGGCAGGACTACTGTAATTCTTTACTATCAGGAAGTCCACAAACTGTAGTTAAAAGCCTTCAGCTGAGTTCTGATGAAAAATAAAAAGATATATTTCTGATATCTTAGCTTCTCTTCATTGGCTTCCTCTTAAATCCAGAATAGAATTTAAAATCCTCCTTCTCACATATAAAGCCTTAAATGGCCAAGCTCCATCTGATATCAGAGATCTGATTGTTCCTTATGTTTATAGCACTTCGCTCTCAGGTTTACTAATGGTTCCTAGAATTTCTAAAAGTAGAATGGGAGGCAGATCTTTTAGTTATCAGGCTCCTCTTCTGTATGATTTGGTGAACTGTAAAGTGCCTTGAGATGACATGGGTTGTGAATTGGAGCTATATAAACTGAATTTAATTTTCCTTTCATAATCAGTCCACTTCTTCTCTTGGAACCAACTGTGTGTCTCTTACTGGGATCTTTGCTGTCTTGTGTCTGCTCCAGTTCTGATAGGGATGCTGCAGGTATGAGCCCTCCAGGGTCTTCCTCTTCAACCTTCATCATCTCAGACGTTATCTCTTGACCTGGTTTTAGTAGAACATGATTTCAGTTATTTCACCTGAGTCCAGCGACTGCTGAAGATGGAAGCAGATCATTAGCTTCTGCTAAAAAAAAACGCAGTAACAGGACATGTAAACCGTAGCTGTGACTCGTGGCTTGATAAGAGGCACCGTGTCCAAAGGCTGAGTTTGGACTCGTCCTTAAGCTCTTATTATTTAAAGTCTAAACGTAGTAAACACTGGTCAGACATTTGCAGTTAGCTGCCTTAGCTTCGCGGTAGCTAAGAGTCCTTCAGTGTGATAATGAAAGGCTAATGACATTATGTACAAAAAACTATGGTAATAAATATGACTGCGGTCGAATCATTCACGTGAGAGCGATGTCCTCGCGAAGACCACTTAATATCAAATCAACCCCAAAAGTAAAAAATATTTTTAAAAACGACGTTTAGGAATCTCGGCGTTTAGCAATTCAGGCTACATTTATAAATTCAGTCGCATCTTCTTCTCAGTCTCGTTCTTCTTCTTCTTTTGTGTTTTGCGGCAGACTGGACCCATTTCTTCTTCTTCTTCTTCTTTGTTTTATTTATTTAGTAGCATTACCGACACTTACTGGTATGGAGTGTGGTTCGTGATGGATTATCTCAAAAGTCAAAAAGCCTTTATTGTCATTATATTCTGCAACGGATACAATGAGATTTAGGACTTCCACATCAGCTACCGTGAAATAAATAAAAATATATAAATATATTAAAAGGAAAAGGAAATGTTAACAGTTAAAAAATATATAAATATATTAAAAGGAAATGTAAACAGTGAAAAGTAAATGTAAACACAATCTGTGCCTGTAAACAGGCACAGATTATGGGGGGGGGGGCTTAGTGCAAAATAGGTGTAAAGTGACCGACAGTGCAGGTCGGAGTTGAGGGGGGAATAATAATAAATAATAAATATAAACATACTAATAAACATATATAAATTCAAAGAAAAAAAATTATATATATATATATATATATATATATATATATATATATATATATATATATATATATATATATATATATGCATTCTTATATATTACTGTATTCTACCTGTCTGTATGATACACACATTCACCCTCTTTATATTCACATTTTATGAAATGATTTAGTTTACTTTAAATATCGAATTACTATTTGTATGTTTACTCCCCAAATTCTTCCTCAAAATATCTTATAAATTAATCTTTTCCTTATTACGTTCAAACTCTCTCCTCATATATCTTCTCTCGTTTTCATATTAATGACATTCCAGTATAACATGTTCTGTTTCATATTTTCCAAAGAAATCACATTTGCCAGTAGTTTGCTTTTGAATTTTGAATAGTGTATAATTCTTAACCTTGTTATCACTCCCTCCTCCTTTCTATTTCGTCTTCCATTTCTTCTTTTTATTGGACCCACTTTGTTTCATTACATCCCCCTGAGCGTAAAATCCATTCCTGCATTTTAATTTGTACTTAAATAGCCTTTCATGTTTAAAAAAACATACCTCTCCACTCACCTTCCTCTTCTTCACTCCACCTCAGCATTTAGATATTGAGGGATTTAATTTAGTCTGCTGAACATTTTTACTTCCCACACCTTTTTAATACCTGCTTCATTGAAGTATTAAGAGTACCAATCTACACCAGGTGCAACAAGATAGCAATATATTCATGTATATGTAATTACTGTGTTGATATTTATTATAAAAGAACAAAAAAAGCTAATTAGATGTTTTAGAACTTAATATTTTTAATGCCAACAAGCTTCAGATGACTATAAAATTGGTAGACCTAAAATAATATAAAGAATTCAAGCACTTTAACAAAAATAATATATATTTTTCAATAGAAATAAACAACGGTCACAGTATTCTACATAAAAAAAAAATAAAACAAAGACTGAACTCCTTGTATTTCAGTGTAAAAATAAAAAATAAAAATGTGGAGGTCAAAATAATTGACTTCCATGTGTTTCACTGATTAAAACACATGGAGATAAATGAAACAAAAACTGATGTTTTCAAGCCTCAAGACGATTTTTACTTACAGCTAAAAAAAAAAAAAAAAACCACTCCCCCTCCTGATAGTCTAACCCTCTAACATAAAGTTCAGATGTGTTTGTTGTTGTTTTCCATTGACAGTTGTTTTAGTAGCTACAGTTTTCACTTTTCTAAGGGTTTTTATCACTGTGGGGGTTTTTTTCTCTTTCTTTTTTTCCCAAGGATTTGTTCAATTCTACGCATAATGATTTCAAATTTCTTTTTCAGTGTTAGCACTTCTCATCTTTAGTAGTAGTAATAGTAGCAATAATAGTAGAGGAAGTAGCAGTAGTTGAATGACTTGCATCTGTTGTAATTTTGTTTTTCTAGTTAATATTTACCTAATCAAAAAACCCTTTTAGTCCTTCCTGTTTCAACTGAGCTACAGCAATTGTTTATTATAGGATAGAAGAAATAAATCCTCCGAGGCCAGTGATTCCATAAGTCAGGGATGTCAAACTGGTTCCAGAAAGGGCCATGTGGCTGCAGGTTTTCTTTCCAACCAAGCAATAGCACACCAGACTCCAGTTCATCCCTGCCATAAGTAGTATGTATTGTAGTATGCTATGTAAGTGATTATTAACTTTTTCTAAAGTGTCCAAAAAAGAAAGAAGTATTATTATTAATAATCCAAACAAATTGTTACATATTTTCACTGAACCACCACATGTAAAGAAAAAACTTCTTGTTCTTGAATAAAAAAAACAATTAAAACCCACTCATTAACAAACAATTTCATATTGTTTGATCAGCAAGGATGCATCAGTTTCAACCAGGAGAAACAGACTAAATATCACTAAGAGGATGAAATTCTGTGTGCAACTAACTTTAAAGACCTGTAGCAGAAGTTCCAGAAAAAGAAAATAAATTAAAAGAAACTGCATCTTTATAATCAAATCAGTTCACTTAAAAATCATGTCTCATAAAAGAAAACTATTACCATCGTTATCAGCATATCTGCAGAGTTACTCTGTGAATAAATTACTTTAAATAAGTTTATATGATATAGGGGTTTAGGAAAAATAAGATCCTTTATTTTAACAATATTGCAAATACTGTGATGTTTTGATATTTGAAGCATGAAGGCTGTCATGGCCTCTGGACAACAGTAGATGTCACTGTTAAGGAGTGAATGAAGCATCAAGTCAGCAGTAGCTGCATTTACAATTGCAAGAGTTCCCCAATCGACTCTAAACCTTGGCTGATCGGAAATTCTTAATCTGTTTACATGGACACTAAATAAAATGATCCAATCACGTTTTTATGGATACACCAAGCATTCGATCAAGATGATTCGATCACGCTGACGTTTTGGAGATTATTTTACTCCAGAGATCTGAATTCGTGTGATCATGGGAAGGGTAATCAGGAAAAAAACATCTTTCGGAATGAAACTCCTTTTTTCGATGGGATTGAAATTATCACTCTGACATGTTTGCATGAAACATTTTTGATCTCATCAGTCTAATTGCTTCATTTGACAGAAACGTGTAGGTGGCAGACAGGAGATTTACAATAAAATTCAATAAAGTAGAGGAATAAGTGTGAAAATTAGAGGTTAACAATAGTAGCATGTACAAACACTGACAGGACAACAAAATGAGGTACAAGTTGAAAATAATGATCTATCACAAACATTTGGGTTGATTTTGCCAGATGAGTTAATTGTGTGAATGATTAATCTCAGCCCTCATGAATGCCCATGTGTCTCTTCAGTTTACATTCCTGTTTAAAAGCTTTACTGCACAAGACACATACAAACAGTTTCTCTACGGAATGAACTCTTGTGTGGTTCTTTAGATGAAATTTATGTTTGAATCTGCTTTTACAGACGTCACAGCCGAAAGGCTTCTCCTCTGAATGGAACCTTGCATGTCTCTGTAGCTGGATTTCATCAACAAAATGTTTACTACAATTACTACAGCTGAAAGGCGCATCGTGAGACTCCATGTGCTCTTTCATGTTTTTTTGTTTAAATGCTTTAAAACAAACACCACAAATAAACTCTTTCTCTCCTGTATGAACACCCAGGTGTCTCCTTAAATGGTCTGGTTTTGAAAATCCCTTACTACAAACAAATAGTTTCTCTCCTGTGTGGATGAGCATGTGGCTTTTTAAATGACTTTGCTGGGAAAATCCTTTGCTGCAAATTGTACACAGAAACGGTTTCTCTCCTGTATGCACACACATGTGCCTCTTAAGTGCAGTTTTCTTTTACTATTTGCTCAAATCTAATGTTTGTGCAACAAACCTGCCACTTTTGGAATAAACTATATTTTAAAGGTTGTTGGAGAGTAAACAATTCTGGTTTCATTTTTCTATTGCTCACGTCGTAAATAGCTTAAAAAAGTCACTTACTGAGTTTTTTTCTGTTTCTTTTCAGCTCCTGTGCGGATGGAGACGCTGCAGGCACCAAACTGAGCCCCACAGGGTTTCCTTTTTCAATCTGCATCATCTCAGACATCCTTAAAACTTTCACAGATCAAGGTTTCAGCCACATGACCTGCATCCTGTTTGCTACCTGGAACTGGAATCAGACACATTTAGAGTTGGATTTTGAAAGTGTAGGAACAGAAAATGTAAACAGTGGAAGAGCAGAGTCTGGTAGCTTGCTCAGAGGTCCTCAGCTTATAAACACCAACAGGTGTTTTTAAACTACGACTTTTTAACAGCTTAAAGGTTGTTGGCTGCTTTAGCTCAGGTGGCTAATAAGCTTTTTATTTAGCTAGTTACTGTTAGATTCAGACAAGAAAACAAAGCCGTGATTTAAAGAAAAAAAGAAAAAAGTCTGTTCTGAGCAGTGTGCTTGCGCTCTGAGAAGGTTGCAAGTACCCAGTTCGAATCCCACTGCCTCGACTGTGGGTTCTGAGTGAGACCCTTAATCTCTTTTTGCTTCCCTGGTGCAGCACAGTGGCAGCCCACCACTTACCAAAAGGATGGGTTAAATGATGCTGAGGTAAATTTCTCTAGTGTGAGTTCAATAAAGTTTCATTATTATTATAAACTAAAAAAGCAATCTGAGTGCACAGATCTCCACCAAGCAGCACATTTTGGCCTATATTCTGACTTACACCTATAGCTAAAACTTGCTCATAATCTTGATCATTGCTGCTTGGCATGAGTTTTTGTAACAATTTCCTAAAAGCCCTTTCATAAATTTATAAATAAGGCACAGCGTCTGGCTGCAGCCTCTGGTGTTTGTCCTGCTCTACTTTCATTCATTCTGCAGTCTTCTTCCTTGTTTGGTCAGCCGAACAAGACTTTGAGCGAGGCATGGCTCACCTTTCCTTCGTCTTCAGTATAATTGAAGAGGAAACCACACCAGTGTTGTTGTACTCGAGAACGGTCTTAGTCTCGAGACCATTTTTTGATGGTCTCGGTCTCGTCTCGGACTTGACAGCATTTGGTCTCGGTACTGTCTCGGTCTCGGGCGCTGAGGACTCGGCATTTTATTTCAAGACCGGTCAAGACCACAACTGTGGAAATAACGCTAATTATCAGAATATTATCAGTTTCTTTAAGATCCTTCTTTTTATTGGATGCTTGGATTCAAATCCAAGCAATAACCTGTCTCATTGGTAAATGCATGTTTTTTTTTATCGCTGTCACGCCCACACCCTTTCACCTGTGCACGGGCTGCAGCACTTCGATTGAAAGTCACAAGTGGTTGTCTGAGAACGGGATAAGATATCGGCCAAATCATCGGTTATAAAATTCGGCTATTTAAATCACAAAGAATATATTTGTAAAGCAACATTGAGAAAATAGCATACAGCGCAATGTAAGTTCTGCAGTGCTTCACTATCAGAGACGGTAGGTATAAAAGTTATATAGTTTTTTTTTGTCTTTTTTTACATATTTAAGTCATTATGTTGTGACAGTATGTTATGAGACCGAGAAGCTGTGAAAATATTGAGCACTTCTGCCTTTTCTCTATGTTCCCAGTACTAACTAGAGAAATACACTGCTTGGTCAAAAAGAAACCATCTAATCCAGCAACAGGGTCTTAGAACTGACAAAAGTCAGTCAGGCTTTTGTGCACGTATTTCAGTGGGTTTGTATTTCTGCAGATGTCAGTAGAAGCTCAGCGAGGAAGTGAAGGAGATAAATCTATTTATTTCAACAACATCTGTCTCATAACATATTTTCACAACTTTGTGACAGATATAGATTTATTTAAGAAAAGTTATATAATATAGCTTTAATCTGTATATGAGAGAGAAACAAGAGAAATTATTGGAATTTTTTCAGTTTTACACATTTGCACATTGTTTTGAAATAGGACATTTAAAAACAACATGAATGTATGTACTGTTCATGAAAGGGAGAAAATACTATTTTGATCGACTTTGATTAATTGTTTGAAATTCTTTGATTACTACGCAGAAGTAAAAAATACAGATGTTTAATCCAGTTCTGTGTGTTAAATATCTAGGTGTTTTTATATGAATGTGGGTCTTTTAGATCAGTTTTAGTGATTTTGATCATGTTTCACATTTTATTGTCACATACTGGCGCTGGTCTTGGTCTTCCCTCGGTCTTGGTCTTGACTTGGTCTCGGACCCTAAAAGTCTTGGTCTTGTCTCGGTCTCGATACACTCTGGTCTTGGTCTTGTCTTTGTCTCGGGTTAGGTGGTCTTGACCACAACACTGAACCACACACAGAAAACAATCGAACACAGAGGTGAAAGAACGGTTTATATCAGAGAAGCGTGGCAATAACATCTTTTTCCTTTTTAGGTAACGAGCTCAGAGCAGGAAACACAGAATTACACACACTATTATCCTTTAAGTGAAAGCAAGATGTATTTGTCTCTATATGTGAGCAGTTATCTTTTTGTGAGGAAACTAAAAAAGAAAGGTTGGAAAAGTGAAGAACCAATGAGGTAATAAACCCATGTGGCACAGTTTAAGCCACATTTAGCACAACTGTGCCAAAATCCCAGATCTGTCTGGCACCTTTTTATGAATATTCTTCAACCAATTCTGTCCAAATTTGCTGCAGTTATAGCCTGGGTGCCATTCCGAACTTAGTCCCGCCCACAAGGTTTGAGGTCGGGAAGTTCGGTCTGGCTCTGCTCCATAGTAGCGCGAGTATGATCGCCCACCCTGTGGCGATCCAATCAAATTGTCAGGGCGGGCTTTATACGATGATGGACAGATGATCAACAGTAACGTAATCAACCACGTGACCAAAGCGCGCTTGGGAGACAACAACAATGGCTGCCGCCGGAGAGTTTAGGTGAGTAGATTCTGCTATTAGGTCTGTTCTAGAAGATATCGACGGCAAATTAATTTTAAAAGAGGAAAAGAGAAACGCAATCACGGCTCATCTTCATATTCTAGGCGCGCAACTGCACGCTTTGATTTTTGTTGACAACAACTATGCGTGGCTTAACATACGTCACGCACTCCGTTGCTCTTATTGGTTGTAGGTCTATCCAATTGAGTGCAGAGGCATTTTTTTTCCTGGTCCGTTCAAAACACGCCCCATAATCACAGCTCTATGGAGCAGTATCAGACTCATATTCTGACTAGAATTGAGTAGGACTACGTCAGGCTACTGCAGTTATGCAGTTTATAGTCATTCCAAAAAAGTTGATAAAGTTAGAAAACAAACCACTGGACTTTGTTTTTCCAAATTTGAAGACGTTTCGCTTCAGCCAGGCCAGCAATGACCCTAACAAGGCCTTTTTGGAGGCCTCCATGCCTCCTTAGTAATCCACATTACTAAGGGGTGGACCTGTTCTTTCGATTTAATTAGCATTTTCTCTAAGTGATAAAAAGTCTTTGTTGTGCTACAAACAACAGCTATGTGGTAATTTCTGTAACTCTGAGTAATGGTCCTCTGAGAAGCCCAGTTTTTTTTTTACTTATATAAATGTACATTATGTTGCCATTTTTTAGCTGAAAAAGCTCAGTATGTGTAAGGAACGGATTTTTCTGTGGCATCTCTAATTTTTTTAACCAACCAGTCTCCTAACTTTTACTGAAACGCTCTGAACACAGTTAGCTGATTCCAACCCCAGTTACTGTTGGCTAAAGTAAATCAGCAGAAAAGGGGGAAAAAAACTTGGACTTGGTGACAAAAAAAAATGGTAATGAATGTGAAGAAACTGGGCTGATATTATCAAATAATTTCATTTTTTTTGCCTGTAAATGTTATTACATTGAATGTTTGTCCAGTTTTAATACACTGGGGAGAATCACTTATTCAGATTTTTGTTTGTGAAACATTTTTTTTACTTTTGGGGTTTCTCTCATTTCCCTTTATTCACTCTGGGAGGCCGTCTTAACATATTTTACAGTTCATCTCAAATGCCTGGATGGAAATTATGGGATATACCTTAAATATCAATAGAACAGATGAGTAAAGCTCATACAGATTTTACTAAATGTTATAAACTCTACAGAAAATGAGATGGTGTGTCACAATCATGGCACATCTTTAAGTCATCAAAATATCTTATTACAGATTTTTAAACCATGTTACATTTGGTCAGTATTACACAGTTTAACATTGTGCAAACTTGTTTAACAGAAAAATGTTACAAATGAAAAAAAAAGTTTAGAAACAGAATAATTTACCGCTTATTACAGCCTGTAAATATGGTAATTTCTCACATTTCTTTAATGTTTACAGTTATAACACCATTCTATGGCTATAAATCATCTGTGAAAGCAGAATTACACAGAGCTGTAGTAAACAGCCTTATTTTTTTTTTACATTTCTCAATTTCAGATTTGAATATTATTTAGGTGTTTTTTATGAATGAATCTTGTGTGAACAGCTCTGCACAGCTTCCTACATTCCCAATACAAAATTAATGTTAAGGACTTATTTCCTAAGGGTCTGTTATAACTAAAAAAAAAAACAAAAAACAAATATAAAGGAATAAATTATGCAGCAACTTTTTTAAATATACAAAAAAGTCTTCAGACTCAATTGTTAAAGAAGGACAAAACCTATACGCTGCAGGTCTGTGCGTTCTGAGGAACAGTGGGTTTTAGCAACAAAAATCTGGAGCTCAATCTATTAGATTCAGCACAGAAAAAAGATCCAGTTGTTCATCAACCCTTTCCTTTTACGTCAAAAATTAAACTGAAACAAGTGTGATAATAATTGCCCTTTTTAGCACTATTAGGGTAAGCTATCATATATATTAATTTCATTCAAAACTCCTACAATTTTATTAATTCTGGAAAAAAAATATCTAATTACAGGCAGATTCCACAATCAAAAGATAAACAAAAAGGTGATCAAGTTTATCACATTTTTCTCACCAACAGATAGTGCTACCTCCTTTAGATGAAAATAAGTTAAATGAGGTGCTTCAGGTTACCGTCTCACAGTGTCTGTCTTCAGTCTGAGAAACCATTTAGCTCCACACTGGGCTGTGAGATGTTTTCTTGCATGTTCTGCCCGTTTCAAGTAATCCAACCGAAATTTTAATAAGACTGAGATGTGAGTTTCTTTTATTCCTCAACACAATCACATTTTATTTTAATTTATTTTTCTATTCGATTGGGGGGTTTTTTTTCAGCTAAAACTGATAGTTACATATCCAAATGTCCATATATGAAAAACCACTCAGGCTGTTGCATTGTAACCATAGCCAAGCATTGGCCACCATGACTAAAAGTCATTCTGCCGTGTGAACAGCTATGTGTTTGTTTAGATGCTCTTGTCGTGAAAACCCTTTACCGCAAACTTTGCAAACATAAGGCCTCTCTCCTGTGTGAACTCTCATGTGTGTTTTCAGGTTGTGCTTAAACCGAAATCTTTCTTTACAAATATTGCAGAGAAATGGTTTTTCTCCTGAGTGTATCCGAGTGTGGACTTTAAGATGCGTCTTTCTGCTGAATCTTTTACCACAAACATCACAGGCAAATGGCCTCTCGCCTGAGTGGACCCTTGTGTGCTGGTTAAGGTTTGCCTTAACGTGAAACTTTCTTCCACATTCGTCACAGGAAAAGGGTTTTTCTCCTGTGTGGCTCCTCCTATGTGCAATGAGTGCAGGTTTTAATATAAATGTTTTCCCACAAATATCGCAGCTATGTCCACTTTCACCACTGTGAAACTGTCTGTGTCTTCGAGCATAGGACATATATTTGAAATTTTTACCACAAATATCACATGCAAACGGTTTCTCTGTAGTGTGAACAGTCATGTGAGTTTTCAGAGTTTGTTCGTGTGAGAAGGCTTTACTACAAACACCACAAACGAATGGCTTCAGCCCAGTGTGAACGCTCATGTGTTTTTTAAGAATATATGGACACTTGAATTGTTTTTCACAGATTGTACAATGAAATGGTTTTTCTACTGAGTGGACTTTCATGTGCACTTTCAAAATCTTCTTTACATGAAAAGTTTTACCGCAAACATCACAACTAAATGGTTTCTCCCCTAAGTGGAGTCTCTTGTGTGCTTGTAAAGTACTGTTTACCATAAAACCTTTACCACAAAAATCACAACTAAAAGGTTTCTCACCTCTGTGAATTCTGAGGTGAACTGTAAGCTGTAAATGGCGTCTAAAGTTTTTACCGCACTCCTCACAGGTGAAGGGTTTTTCTTGTTTGTGAACTAGCATGTGCGTCTCCAGATTTCCCTTTCGGGTAAAATGTTTTCCACAAATATTACAACCAAATTGCTTGTGGCCATCAGGAACTGAATGGAGGTACACTTTTTCTTTGACTCTAACACATTTCTTCTGAGGTAAGCAATTGGAAGAGCTTTTTTCTGTCTGAGGAAATAGCTCAGAGGCCAACAGTTTACCAGACTGTGACTGAGGTTCTGTTCTCTCACTGTTATTAAGGTTTTTTTTAGTTTCTGGTTCACAGCCTGACAAAGGCCCCCGCCAATCATCATTATCATCATCACTAACTTCAGTTGCAGAAGAATCCGTAGCAATTTTATCAGTTTTTAGCTGGAGGCAGTATTTCAAAACAGGTTCTGGTCCCTCACCGTCCCCTCCATCAGGTTTTGTTTCCATCTGTTCAGTTGAGCTGCTGGTTGAAGCGTCTGTCTCTCTGTTATCTTCAGTTTTGATGTGATTAATCTCTGATAAGTGATGTTTTTCTTCATCTTTTCTCTTCAAAAAGGGCTCTCCTATTGGAGTGATCCAAAGTTCTTCCTCTTCTTCTTTAACCAGGAGATGCTCTGGACTCTGCTGGTCAAAACTGCCCAAATTACACTTTCTGTGAAAAGGTAACACTAAGAAGAGAAATAAAACTTCATTAATACTTCCGCTTCATTTATACGTAAAATGTGACAAAATTGTAGTTATTTCTGTGTCTTACAAAAATTATTAAACAAAAAATTGTCAACACTGAAATAAAATGCTATGGTGGGTAATTTATGGATGTCTTTAATTTATGTTTTAAAAAATAACAAAAGGAAACATGTTTAATTGTTAGTTTTGTTAGTTTACGGTGTCTCATTGTACAGACTCATCTATTGTTAAGAGGTACAGTGAGCTTTGAAAGGTTTCATAACATCCTTCTGGTTTGCAGGATCAATAACAGTGTTTTTAAGCTAAAAATCACATTGTGGTGTGTTCTGAAGTCCAGAAGATTTAGGTCTTCCTTGGGTTATCCTAAGTTAAGACTTACTAGTTTATTAAGGTATTGCCATCCAACTAAAAAGGGAGTTTGCATGTCAGTTCCAGTGTGAAACATATCAGGCTCTAAAATTATTAACAGCGTGTTTAGGATTTTAGAGAGAAACGAGCAGCTCATAACCAAACACACTTTAGTATTTAATTAATAACTGACTAATTACTTCTAGAAGAGAGTACGGTGAGGAAAATAAGCATTTAAACACCCTGCCATTTTGCAAGTTCTCCCACTTAGAAAACATGGAGGGGTCTGACATTTTTATCATAGGTACATGTTTACTTTGAGAGACACAATCTAAACAAAAATAATCCAGAAAATATTTTTTTAACCGTTTTATTTGTATGATACAGCTTACAGTGTTTTTCAGTATACCTGGCAGTGCTTTTACATGACGCAATAATAACATACCAGGTTTATAGAAAACTGTTTTTGTTTTGGAAAGAAAAGTTTTAAATTCAACCACTGTGCTCTACCCAAAGCTATCCACCTTGCTTTGCATGAAGCACATATACTTATCTATGTGTAAAGGTTTTACCATAAATATAAGTATGCAAGGAAATGGGATGCATCTGGAGAGATGGGTGCACACACTTCAAAACTAAGGGAAGGATGAACAGAAAAATGTACAGAGACATTCTTGATCAAAATCGGCTGACATCTACCAGGATGATTGAGATAAAAGTGGGTGGACATTTCAGTAAGACAGTGACCCCAAACACACAGCAAAGGAAATGCTCAATTTGTTTCAGAGAAAGAAAATAAAGCTGCAAAATTGGCCCAGCCAATCACCTGATTTAAATCCAATAGAAAATCTATTGGAGGAAACAAAGATCAGAGTTCATAGAAGAGGCCCACGAAATCTTTCCAGATTTGAAGACTGTTTGTGTGAAAGAATAGACCAAAATCACACCAGAGCAATGCATGCAAGTAATTTCTCCATATAGGAGGCGCCTTGAAGCTGTCATTGCCAATAGAGGCTTTTGCACAAAATATTAAATAAATTTATAGTGTGTTCAATACTCTTTCCTTGTACAATTTCTTCTTTATTATACATTACTTAATTTTTGGACATCTATGTTTTGATTTCTTTGTATGTGTTGGGAGGGCCAGCTCTACCATATATGTGTGGATTGCATGGATTGTTACAGATATCAGGTGAAAATATAATGCCAATAGCACCTCTAGAACTATATTTACTGAAAAAAGTGTGTGTGTGTGTATATATATATATATATATGTGTGTGTGTGTGTATGTGTGTGTGTGTGTGTCGGAATAACACATTAAAATAGAAAGTATTTGTGTTTTATACATACTTAATCCTGGTGACAGAATTTATGTCACCACATGTCAGTAAAACCATATGAAAATAATAAAGGATCTTATAAAAAATGTTATGCAAGACATTCGTTACATCTGATTAAAAACACACACCATAATTGTACTGGACTGAACTGGATATGAGCAGTTATGTTTCCTAACGGTTTTTACAGTTGCAGCAGGGTAATGATTTAAAATTTTACTTACTTGGAAATCTCCTTTACGAAAACCTGGTTTGCAACTTTCACACCAGATCCAAATTAACATCAGGGTGCTCGCTCCTAAGTTCTGTGTCTCCACTGTCCAACTGTCCCCAGGCTGTCGGTCCTCAGATGGACAACAGGGTGGGGGTGGTGTGCGCAGAAGCCTTCTTCACAAACTCTGGGCGTAAACTCTCCTTGTTCCCCTCAGACATGAACCCTGTATACCGTTAGCCTCTGTGATGCTTAAGCTAACTGCTAACACTTTGCTAATGGACGCTGACTGCATTCTGGAGAGAAAACTCAAGCTAATATTAATCACAGCGGTTATAAATAGACACGTTGAAACGAAATCCTAATAAATAGAGTCTGATCATTTGTACAGTTTTATATAAACGCCAAGACGAAATAGGCAGCTGTATGGCAACGTCACATCCGGTTACTTCCTCCTCTTCTTCTTCTCTATTCAGGTCGGATCGCAAGCAACTTTAAGGTGCATACCGCCACCTACTGTACATGAGTGTGTAGCAACATTACTTTACATCAAATTCTACTTTTTAATTTTGTATTCTGTAGATAAATAAATAACACTTTCCTTAATCTGTGAATATCCTTTATATTTCCTTATTTCCCAATATTCATTTAAGACTCCATTCTTTGCCTGTCCTTCCAACCATCCTTCTCATGTTCATAAGTTTTAGTTCATCAGTACGTGTTCTACATTTTCTGTTTCTCCGCATCCTTCACATTTATCATTATTTTTCCTCCCTATTAAATATCGGTTACTTTCTCCCTTATCAATGGATGTCGAGTAAAGTTTCAATTTCAAAAGCTTTTCCTTTTTTTGTACAGTAATTCAGAATAAAACTTGCATAAAGTAACTTCAAACAGATATTTACAATGTAATAAATCTGATTTATTTTTTTGGCAATTCGGTGAAATAAATCAGTTAATTAAATTAAATCACTGATTCTTGAAAATGAAAAGTTTCTTCACAGCAAAAATGTGTTTAGCGGAGAAACACAAAATTTTAATGTCTTAATGATTGTTTCAATATCCTTTAAATCCTTTGTTGCTTCATATTATTTTTGTACTTTATAAATAAACTGAACTTGAAATGAAAAACAATCCGGTCGTAACATGGATTGCATACATATTTATTATATGAGTTTCACCACATTTTCACTCCTTGACCAATACAGCGCAACACATTTTAGTATAGATGACATAAAAATAAAAAAATACGCAAAAATAACAATTTTTTCATTTTGACCATGGCACAATGTGGTGTTAAAGTGTCAAACATTTTTTCCAAAAATCAACAGTTAACAATAACGAGACTAAACAGAGAGGTATACATATAAACAACAGACAAAGTTAAAAATCCTTAAATTAAAACCTTTAGAGGATCACATACTGAAGCTTTTAACAATTTCAAAGCCATAAAGAGAAGAGACACAACTTGCTTAAATGATCAGATTTATAAAAGAACTCAGGCACACTTTAGAGTTACAACCAGTACAGTTTAATTTATATTTATCAAAAAAAAAAACCTCTAATTTATAGAGGATGGTTCTGTAAGGATGTGTTCATCTGAATGAAATACCACCAATAAGTCAGGTAACGTACCTTACTTTTATTTATATACAATGAACACTTGTTCTTACCTTCACAGGTAAATATAGGCCTTTTCATCATAATAATAAGCACTAAGGGTCTGGGCAAAAAAATAATAATTTATATATACAAAATATTACAATTAAGAAACTCTAAATAGGCAAAATTTCTTTTGTATTTACAGTGTCAAAGGTTCCTTCAACCCTACCATAAAGCATGGGATAGTATAATTAAAAGAATTGTTCCAATATGAACGGTCCCTAGTGAAGTAGAACTTCCACCAACACATAATAAATTAATGTTTAAGGGTAGCTATGCAATTTAATTCAATAATTTCAGTTTATTTAGAACACATATATTATACCACCACTTAAACTGGAATAAAAATATAACGTAACCTAAACTGAAGGACTCTGCGATTTAAAAATTCCATGGTTCTAAACTGCAATTTTATTACAAATGCAAATTGGTATCAAAGATCTCTTCATGCTCCAAAATAATTTAAAGAAATTGTAATTTTAACATTAGTTTTCTTACAAGGTATGAGCTGTAATATAGGTTTTATCTTTATTTTGAAAGAATATTTCAATTCATGTTTGATAATTTTTACATTTGTTGTGGACATTTCTAGACACATATAAAGACATCCCAGGGAAATACATTTTAGGGTGGAGGGCTTTGTGTCAGGTATATATTAGTAGTGAAAAGAGAGATGGTTTGCACAGAGAAATGATTTGTCAAACATCTGATTCAGCAACGCATAAATAATCACTCGCAGCCCTCATGAACACTCATGTGCCTCTTCAAATTTCCTTGCTGAGAAAATGCTTTACTGCAAACATTACAAGCAAACGGTTTCTCTTTAGTGTGAACACGCATGTGTCTGTTCAGTGAGACTTGCTGCGAAAACGCTTTGCTGCAAACAATACAAACAAACGGTTTTTCTCCCGAATGGCCTTTCATGTGATTCTCAAGATGGCGCTTTTGGTTAAATCTGCTTTTGCAGATGTCGCAACCAAACGGCCTCTCTTCTGTGTGAAATCTAACATGCCGCTTTAACTGAATCTCATCGACAAAAAGTTTACTACATTCACTGCAGCTGAATGGTGCGGTGTGAACCATAACATGTTTTCTCAGATACACTAGTCGTGAAAATCCTTTATTACAAACGCTACAAATAAACGGTTTCTCCCCAGTATGTACACGCATGTGACCCTTAAGGCTCTCTTTTCGTGAAAAACCTTTGCTGCAAACACTACAGATAAATGGTTTCTCTCCCGTGTGAACACGCATGTGACTTTTTAGAGTCTCTTGTAGGGAAAACCTTTTATTGCAAACATCACAAACAAACGGTCTATCCGTTGTGTGGATCCTCATGTGCTTTTTAAGGCATTCCTTTATCTTAAATCTAGTACCACAAACATCACAGGAAAAAGGTTTTTCCTCAGAATGGACGACAAGATGGGTTTTAAGAAATTTTCTTGCATGAAACCTTCTGTCACAAACATGGCAGGCAAATGGCTTCTCTCCAGTGTGCAGTCTCATATGCGTCTGAAGAAAACGTTTTTCCTTAAATCCTTTCCCACAGAGATCACAGCAATGTTCTCTAATTCCCGTGTGAGTCATCATGTGTAATTTAACTGATGTTTTATGTTTGAATCGTGTTCCACAAAAAACGCAAGCATATGGCTTTTCTCCTTCATGGACTTCAACCTGAGCCATGAGGCCAGAACACAGCTTAGACATTTTATCTCGTCTATGTGCCGTCATGTCACTTTGCTGAAAGGAATAAAAGGAATCTGGGGTCCAGTCTGCATCTGGTCCTCTACACTGCTCTCCATTAGCTTCTGTTTCCAGCTGTTCTGCAGAGCTGCTGGTTGGAGCTTCAGCTTCTCTGCCGTCTCCAGTGTCAGTTTGATCAGGTTCAAAAAACTGAGATTTTTTTTCATCTTCTATCTTCACATCCTCTTGGCTGATCCACAGTTCCTCCTCCTCCTCCTTTATATCAAAGGGCTCGTGGTCTTGCTGTTCAGAGCTGGAGCTCCAGTCTCGGACAAATTCTTCTTTAATTACCACCGTCTGGACTGGGAATGAAGAAACACATTGGATTAATGCTTTCAAACATGTGCTTAAACCTTGTGTGAGAAACAAAAATTTATGATCAATCTGTTTTACAATCACTTTAAAACCTGAGGTTTTATATCACATGTTGGGTTTCAACAATGTTTACCTTCAAAATAAAATAATTTATCAGACTCATTTAATGTCTGGAGCAAATGTCTGCAACCTTCACAATCCTAAGGGCCTTTTTTGCCGTCAGTGCAGCAAAACAAAACCTAGAGCTGCAAATATTATAAGTTTCTTAGTAAAATAAATAAAATTGTTGAAAAATATCTATGCGAGAACATTTATTTTCATTTACAAAGAAAAGCGGTTCTGTTTTCAGGTTTAAAAAAAGAAATAAAAACATGTTTAGCTTGTTTTCTTTTATGGGGTGTTTATATTTGTGTAAAACAAAAATTTTTTTTTTAATTAATTATTTTTACTATTTAAGAGCATGAAAATCTAAAACTAAAGTGGTGCACTGACTGATCAGCATATCAGGAGGCCCTGCTTCACTTAATATTTGAAGATACAGAGATGTTAACCGATCTGTATTTTGACAAAGATCTTGCAGATATAACAGGTTATATTATTTCATAGGCATTGTAAAATAAAGATTGAAGCATTGGAAGGTGTATTGCCACCTTCTGGCAACGGTTATGAAAAGAATTAGCATGCAAGGCTTTTTAAATATCAGTGATCTGCCAGAAAACTGCAGTCAGTGCACTCCTTCATTAAACCTTGTTCAATTTAACTCCTATATACTGTCTTCCAAGCTTGTTGGTTATTATTTGTTTGGCTAGTGGCTAAGCCAGGTATCCCAACAAACCGAATGAAAAGTTGCTTTCTAAACCTTCTGTTCCACTAAATGTGGAAGTGGTGCAGAATCACTGTTCTGCACCTTTGTAGCTGATCGTAGCAACTCTGGTCAATCAGAGCGCTTCCACCTGATGCACCACGGTCCGTTTCTGAATCGTTCCACATGTGCTGATGCTCGTAACACTGACTCTGTGTCAATCTGGAGCAGAGTGGAGAGTTCAGGCAGGAAGTCAGCTGATCAAAAGCACCAAACCAAAGTGGATCCAGTAGAGTTTAAATATAAAAGACCACATGTAAAGACTGATGCCTTTTTTTTTACTTTTATGTGATAAAAAATGCTGCTTATATAGTTTATCAACAGCAATAAAGAGTATGAGCATTGGATGAAAAAAAAAAAATCACTGAAAGATTAAATATTTGAACTCACACATAATAGATCCAAAGAAAACAAGGTAAGGTGATCAGTTAAAGAACAGGCCAAATAACCACTTTACTGCTTTATTGTTCTATTTTAAGCCTAAAAGTACACCATGTGCATCATTCTGAAACACTACTGCAGGTATGTGGTAGAAAGTCCGGCTCTTCCACAGTGAAAACGACGGGGGATTAGCAACCCCATAAGTTTCTGTTTTACCGTTTTTATCGTTATTGATGTCTTTAAAATCCAAGATCGGCTTCGATGCAAAACAAATACTAATCAGATTGGTTAGATCTGGACTAGGTTATCATACTTTAAGTAAATATTTGTTAAGTTTTTCTTTATTTATTTTGTTAGGAAGCAGACAAAAACTTCAATAATTTGTCATTTAAACTGGACTCAGAAAAAAGTATTCCTCTTGTTTAGAGCCCATGATGTAGATACTATGATCTAAATGTGCCATCACTGGGTTTTTTGTGCAGCAAATCAAAGATAAAGGGGGTTATATAAACTTTAATAGAAGCACAAAGTTATTTATTTTGCAGATCTTAATACTAACCTAACAAAATAAAAAAAAGGCTTGAAAATAAAACTTTTTTAGTTGTGTTCTGGAACCAAACTTGAGCCTTGATTCGTACAACATACAACAACTGTTATCTGAAATGTTATCCCTGTCTTAAAACAAGACAAGGTTAAATTTAGTAAATCTAAAACAAACGTTTTCAGGGTTTTTTTAGCTAACAGAGATATTTAAGTCACCCTATCTACACCCCCACCCCCAATGAATGAATTTATTGTGATTATCCACATAAGTTGCATTGAAAAGTTTCAGTAGCCACACCCAGGCCTGATTACTGCCAGACCTGTGGGATAAAGAAAAACCTGTTTGACGACTCAATGTAGGCTAAAACATAAAAAAAAAAAACATCTATCATTCTGGAAACCATTAAAATGCTTCTTCTGAGGCTTTGGGACTGCAGGGAACCACACTGAGAAGCATTATCCACACATAAAGAAAGTATTTAGCAGTGGTAAACCTTCGCCAGAGTGACCAGGCTGCCATAACTGTTCCAAGAACACAGTGATGACTCATCTGTGAAGCTATAAAAGAAGCCAGAAAAAAAAATCTAAAGCATTGAAGCCCTTAATTGCTCCAGCTAAGGTCGGTGCTGAGCAAAAAAAAAAAAAAAAAAGAAAAAAGAAAGCTTATACAATACCTTCTGAAGATTTTGAGGATGGGCTTCATGCTGTGCTGTGAAGAAATGTTTACCCCCTTGGGTTTTGAAACAAATGCAAACTTTAGGGCTCCTTATACATAGTAATATCAGACATAAATAATAATTAAAAACAGAAAGTGGTTAAGAACTGCTGATTACATTTTCCAGAAATGAAAAAGCTATTATAACCATCTAGCTCCAAGTCAAAAAATAACTGCCAGCGTGAACCTATAACTGGTTGTTCCACATTTGGAACAGCAGCTAATATCAAGCATTTATGATCCTCTTTAACGGCAGTTAGTCTTCTACAGGATGAACTGAATCACTTGAACACATTCAAAAACGTTCTACTTTGGCTCATCAGTCTAAACATTGTTCTCCAAAAGCACATGGAGATCATTGAAATAATTGGAACTCTGTCATGGATGTAATTTCTTCCCAGTTCCTCTTTCTTATGGTTTAATCATGAACACTGACCTAAACTGAAGTAAGAAAGCTGGGCTTTAATCTAAATGTCTTTTTCTGCGTTCAATCATGCCCTCCTGGATCAATAATCAATGTGATCTTGAAATAATTATGGAAGCCTGGTTTCTAAAGGTTAACCACTGCTCTGTGTCGTCTCCATATGTGGACAACAGCGCTGCAGTTTACTACGGCTCTCTAAGCCAAAGTAAAACCTTTCCTTCAGATGGCAGTGACTTTGGGTCTAATTGGTTACTTAATTGAACTGAAGACTGGGACATGATGGATCTTTTGAGATTTTTGCATGAGATTTCACAATCATACAGTTCTGGTAGTAATCAGGCATTTTTGTGTGAAACTGAACTCTTTGTTCCGGGTTAGTCATATTTAGGAGGGGAAGCTTTTTTTTTTTTTTTTATTAATACTTTTTTCTTTTGATAAATAAAATAAGTTGAAAGCTGACCATTGTTTATACTCAAGTTATCTCTGATGTTTCTTGATAACCTGAAACACTTAGGTGTCACAACAAAAAAGGCAACTGAAAAAAAAACACAAATGGTCTCCAAATGAACAAACTAATATATATTTAAACCAATCATTTCGACAGATAAATTGCATACATAGCTTTAGACAAAGGGCTTTATTCAAATACGCAACTGATTGAGTTGATTTTCTCTAGTCCAGTCAAACTACTATCACTTATTGATATATATATTTTTTTATTAAGCCATTGACATTTACATGGAAAAATACTCTCAGACAGGATGGCTACAGTGTACATGAACAGATGAAGATTAATTACAAATGAAAAAAAAACAACAAAGTAAAACAAATAGCGGGGGATTTATCTAAATAAACATTTAAATCAAACATAGAAAGCCATAGAAATATGAAAAACAAAAAAGGTGGATGCAATTAGAAAAGGAGATGTTGGGAGAATTCAAGACTGAATTTTTTTTGGCATATTTGTCTTTTTATGAGAAGAAAAAAAAGGTTTTTAATTTATTAATAAACCAATGAAATGAAGATTTGGCATTTCACCATTTGGCACAGTGGATATGATATTTAACCAAAAGCAGGATGATATCAATAGTAACAGAAACAGGCTGGAGGAAGATGGTCCATTTAAAAAAAGACATCATTTAGGGCAAATGGGGAAACATCGTTAATTTTCCAATCTTTCATTATTATTATTACAACAAAAAAAAACATTGATCCACCTCATAACCAAATCTTTTTATTAAAAATTCTGCGACAGCATAAATTTTGTGTATAACTTTAAAATGTGTTTCTTTGACTTTAGGTAGACACATTTTAAGAATGCTTTATCAACTGTATCTGAACTAACAGCAATATCTCTCTTCCAAGTAAATCTATCATAATCATGAATTTTTCTGGCATTCATAAAACTGCTGATGAATTTATTATTGCATTTGTTTTACTTACTGAGATCTTTGCTGCCTTGTGTCTGCTCCAGTTCTGATGTAGATCCCGCAGGGATGGGAGGGCCCAAGCTTCGCCCTCTGGGGTTCTCCACTTCCACCTTCATCATCTCAGACATCCTCCATCCAAAGGGAAGCTCTTTTTCTTAATCCCTGTTTGCAACCTTTACATCTTCCAGTAGGTGAAGGTTTCAGCCATAAAGCATGTAATCTTTATTTTTTGTAGAGTTTTCCTTTTCTGTTCTCTGAAGCTGCAATCAGCAAGAACTCAGCATCTGATCAAATTAGTTATATGAGAAAACGTAGGAGAGCTGAGAGCAAAGATTTATAAATCAGTAAGAAGTTCTGCTTTTTCTCTTGTCTTCACCAATATTTCACTCCTCAGCTAAACTTCAAGGTTAGAGTAGGTATCTAAAGACAACTGTCCCCCCAATGTCAGTCTCAGGGTGTGGACTCATATCATAGCACTGAAACATTTAACCTTTTTAAACAATTACCCCAGAAAGACATAATATATCGCTGTTAGCTGATTTAGCTCCAGTTGCTAGCTGTCTGTTCACTTTATTACAGGCTAATTACATTCTGTACAGCAAACCTCGGCCCTACAAATTAAACTAAAAACCCGCCGACGTATTGTCATTACGAAGAGTCCCATGAATAGACTGTTAGAGACTCCGTAACACGGTATTTTTATGGGTTGGGTAGGTTGAGCTACCCAGTCAAGCTAACTTTGTTACGTTCGATAACTTCCTGCTTTCTAACCAATCAGTGACGAGTAAAGTTCTAACTCGGAAATACAATTTTCAACCAGTAGATTTTCACAATAAAGCAGTTGAAATAATTTAACAGATAGGGTATTTTTCATTTTAGATTAGGTTGTTATGTTATAGTACAGACTTATGAAATTAGCACAGTGTTTATTTCTAAAAACAGGGAAAAAGGGAAAGTCTTTTAAAACAGTTAAACAGGTGTAGTACTCATCCTGTTTATCCTTATAACGCCATGAGGTCTTATGTCCATCTCCTATGTTATGTCTCAATGTTTGGGAATATTTTTTACGCAAACTTATTCAAAAATCTGAAACAAAAAACAAAACAAAAAAAAAAAGTGACCAGATTTACACATTTCCTGGGATGCAACAATAATTACTACTCCAGTGTTTCATCATCTTTTATATGATATTGCAGGAGCCTAAATTCACTTAAAAGGGATTACTGGCAATTTACAATATTTACCATAAAGTAAAAAGGTTTTCATGATTAAACTTGGACAACTTTCATCATTTTGTATATATATAGTGTATGCAAAATGAAATTTGCAGCAGTGATCAACTGTAAGCTCATGTGTAAGGATATGCAATATCTCCAATTGTATTGAAGTTATTTTGGAAATGTGAATGTTTTATTGCTTATTAGTTTCTGGATTTTTAGGGATGTGGCTTCTGCTTCAAGGTTAGTCTGGTAATTTGAATAGAGCCTCAGTTTTTTTTTTTTTTACTTCATTCACATTTCTCCTAATCTTTTATTTTTTTATGGATATTTCATACCCGTATTTTTTAATCTTTTAAAGCAAAAAGTTTAACCTAATGGAGAGGACACAGTTTGATTTTTGTCCATTAAGTATATTACATAGGGGATGAGCGTTATTGTTTTATTACACATGAATTTGTATATTTTAATTTTTTTTAATAAACTGCTTTCTTTTTATTCTAATACAATCTTTACCAAACATTTAGAATCTGTAGAGATCTGAAATGACTTTACCCAGCTAAAAATAAATAACAATCCTGGTCATTAATGTAAATTAATTATGGAGTTTTAAAACATGGACTTCCTAGTCAGGCTTTCCTTTTTTTGAGTTTGTTTAATGATGGCCACCTACTGGACTGAAGGTGTAGCACATTTAACTTCAGAGCTTTTCCATATTAGATGAGGATAACTACATGATTTTCTCTTCTATTCAGAACAATGGCAGACATATTTCCCATGATTCTTTTTATCAAGGTATAACAAACCCTTGGGCTTTCAGGGAAAGGAAGCTAGTTAAAACATTCCAATTTTAACTCTACTAGAGTCAAAACCTCTTCAGTAATGATAAAATGAACATAGATGGTTTCAGGTGGTAGATTTAATAATTGTTCTATAGTACAATTAGTAGAAAAACAAACCGAGCAGAAGATAAATGTCATCTGTGAACCAAGTCTTTGTCTGGGCAGGAAAATCATTTCCGTTTAAGGCCTTTTCTTCCTCCTCTCTGCCCCATTTTTCCAGCCTTCTTGGTCGGTTTGCTTTGAGCTTTTGAGACTTTCTTTACAGCAGCAGGTTTGGCTGCTTTCTGCATTGGCTTCTTCCTAGTTGGCTTCTAGAAAGAAACAAATATATATAATTTGAGATTGTTCAAAAACAGCTTGCAAAGAAGTTATGACTAGAATCTCCAGTGGATGTGTAAGTACTAACCTCAAGTTTGGGTTTTTTGTTAGGTGTTTGTATGGGAACAAGCTGTGGGATTTCTTCTTCCTCTTCCTCCTGCTGCTTTGTGGTCAAAGTCACATCCTTTTCTTTTTTATTGGCTGCTTTGTTCTTCTTCTCCTCCTTTTTAATTGGAGCTTTCTGAAAACAATCACCTGAGCTGGTTAATTTGCAAATGATTTGAGAAAATATATTAATATTGTTTCAGTTCCCACCTTGCGTTTTGCGTCTTCCAGCACACTGAGATGGCTCAGGTCTGAGGTGTAGATGGGCAGGGCCACTGAAGTTTGACTCTTTAAATGGATCAGCTTCATTATGGGCCCCTTCTAGGATCCATAAAGTTAGAAAGAATATATGGTTAATAAAAAGGGAAAACATTAGAACCAAAATGAAAACTCTAAATGTTCTTAATTGATTTTACCAAATTCATTTCCCATTATAGTGAATATATACCTAACATGGCCTACAGAGCACTGCAGCTTAAATATGCCCTAATGACTGGGACGACTTGATTTGAAATGAACCCCTAACTTACCGTTTTCAGCTTGTCCAGTACCATTTGGACCGCAGCTTCGATGTTTTCAGTCACCTCATCTGCAGTCATGTCAGAATGGGCGATTCTCGCCATGCTGCAATGGAAGCCAACATGTCACTTGGGAGTCATGGAAACAGACATGAAAGTTTGAACTAAATATTAACATATATTGTACATATAAGCAAAGACATTCTCACTACCTGATATTAAAATAAACTGAACTGCAGAGCGTTTCTAAACGTGTGAAATAGTGAGTCGCTCTCAGGACCTCAACGAGGTATTTAGGATGTGATGCTGTAATAAGTCCAATTGAGTAATCCCCTCACTCCTAAATATTCCACCAGATCATCAATGGTATAACAAGCTGGAAGCTATTAAGAACGATAGCATCTCTGGGACTGTGGAGGAGTTGCTGATGAAGTGGGGGGAGGAGATGCTGCGCAGAGGTCACCAACTTTCTGCAGTCAATCACTACACACCTTCAAACTTCATCCAGCCTTCAGGTCAGCTCAAGAACAGTCAGTAGAGAGCTTCATGGAATGGTTTTCCATTTTCACCAAAACCAAGACAAATAACCACATCCAAGCCTTAAGCTCTGAACTGTGTCGTAAGAGGTTGTGGCGCTTAGGACTCATGAGAGTGAATGTGGATGAACATACCAGACCAGATTTTCTGCAGGGAGCTTTCATAGCTCTGACTGAGATACACCCCAGTTCCATTTTAGTCAGACCTCTGCTCTCCAGCTTGGACCCACAGAGAATGGTTTTATCAAATGTGGTGGGGGAGCGTAAACAAACAGCATGTGATGTGAGCAGTGGATAACTTGTTGGGATCACAGAGTTGGACTATTAGACTATTGTTGTCGTTTGTGCAAAAAAGACATGCGACTAGCCGGTGTACTACACTACTACACTACTTCTAGTACACAACTTTTCTGAAGTTCAAATCGACCGTGGTCAGTGGTAGAAAGATTACAGAAAGTTGGAGTGAACGTTTCGATTACACCGGGGAAATCCAATCGAGTCTGTCGAGCTTGTAAAACGCTGTTGAATAGACTGGAAAGATCTGCAAATTTATTGAAGGTGAAATGAAAACAAGGTCAAAGCAGGTGCCCCCTGAGAACAAACAGCTGCTGAAAAGAGAGCTTGGGAGCCTACTCCCTCGAAAACACAGAGATTTTAAGAATCTCCGCCACAACACAGACAAGCCAAGGATCTTCTGCAGAATATAGCCGAGGTAAGCTGACATTATCAGTATATAACAACGACCTGTGACGGCAAACCTATCTGCCTAATTTGTTAACAAAGTTGTGCACTGTAGCTTTAGTTAGCCTTGAAGTGCTTTCTCCAGCATTGCGCAACCTTGTCGTCACGCCCTCAAAACCCCGCCCGCTTGGCATCCAAAAATTCCAAACACATCTTTGCATTGTGATTGGCCCACCAGTTCTAGGGCCTGGTGTATTGATCGACGCTAGACCCACTCCCCGCCCAAAATTATTTTGGCCACTGGCAGGTGGGGCTAGTTTACTAGGCTAGGTGTTTACTGCATCAAAGCTGTAGAGACAGGCTCCATTTGATAAAGAGGACCATCTGGATTCACTTCGAGTCTCTCTGGCACCAGTATGACCCACGCCAAACGGAACCAATCGGCGGGGTTTTACAGAGGTGCTGATGACTCTTCTAAATGTAGCAGTCTATGAATAGATTATTTGCTTTCTGACTAAAATGCAGCAGAATCAGGAAATATTGGAAAAATGAAAGCGGAACTGACCAGCAGCAGCCTTTTTTGGTGACCGTCAGACTGGTTCCGTTGATGACCCTCTGGATGTCTCTGGCCAGATGTTTGCTCTGAAGGTTTACAGAGAGCGGAGTTCTGGAAAACACACAAAGACAAAGTGAAATGGATTTAAACTATGTCTTTACATAACAGACAGCTCATATCTCAGTCCTATGTTAACATTTGATCAGTTCCGCACTTTGACCAAGTCATACTAACATTAAACGTGTGTATTATTTCATTACTTTTTTCTCTCGTAGAAGTGTTTCCCGATGTGGGATGGCAGCAGGCGGCGGATCCGGTCATCAGAGAGGAACAAGTCAAAGTTTCCCAGCAGGCGCCGCTTGGCTTCATAAGGTTTATATTCTTTCTTCAGGGCTGTGAATGGTATTATCTTGAGAAGGAAATGTAGATTTAATTATACGTCACCAACACTGTAAGGGTCCTTTAACAGCTCTACATGTCAAGGAGGTCAACATGGTTCTGCTAAGTACCTCTGAGACATTTTTCACTCCCCTCTCCTCCAGCAGCTTCTTATAGAACCTTTGAGTCTGTTCTGGGGTCATTTTGGGCTCATCTTTGGTGAAGAGGCAAACCTCCTCTGTGTCGGTCCGCTGGCCATGAGGTAAAGGGCTGAGATCAGAACAAATGAAGTTAACAGGTATGAAAAACTGAGGAAACAACAAACAGGATCTTTAATTTGACAGTGAAGTAAAGGGATGATTCAGCTTTTAAACACCTGGAGAAACAGATTAGCCGAAGGCTATTGGATCATTAGAAGGAAACAAAACATTGTTCTGGTTGAAAACTTCACAAACAGAAGCCGCATTGGCTCGTTTTACTTTCATCCCTATTTAAGAAAGGGAGACTTAGCAGCTGAACAACTGTAGATGCCATGACGGCTAAATATTGATAAAAACGGCCATTGATATTTTCTTTTTTTTTTTTTATGACAGGGATGTGGCAAAACCATGTAATGTATCTTTCCAAAAAGATATTTTTTATAACTGCGTTTTGCCTTAAAATGTAATCCCAATATTAAATAAAAAAGGCTTCTTTTTTATTCTCCATTTTTTTTTTACACTATCACAAATTAACTCTCTGCCTTTAATCCATCCCCTTGGGGAGCAGTGGGCTGCCATTGTGTGGCGCCCGGGAAGCAGTGTGGAGTTAAAGGTCTTGCTCAGAGACCCAGAGTGGCAGTCTGTGGGAGTGGGGCTCAAACTCAGAACCTCAGGATTCCAAGCTCTACGCCCTAACCACTAGGCCGCCACTCCACATAGTTTGGATTATGGGCTAATATAATAAATAACAGAATGAGCCTTCGCCAGTAGGAGCTCCTGCTGATCGCTCACCATGTTTTTGATGCAGATCTGTTTACATGGCTAAAAATCTCCCTAGGTGCGCAGTGCAAAATTTCTGTCCGCACTGATGCAAAAATTATGCATTTGGGCAGTGTCAAGCATCAACATCAATCAATCATCTCGTTTCTTCTTTTCTTTTTTTTAAAGGACAGACCAGGTAAACGTCATTAATGTTGGAAACAGGACATACATAAAACACTGTACAGTACAATACTATATTTGTTTTATTATCCCATCTGTTATTTCATACACTTTCTAGGTGCACATTGGGAGACCACTTTTACTATAACCTTTTGCTGCTGTAAACACCACAATTATCCCATTGTGGGACAATAAAGAGATTTTCTATTCTATATTGAGCAGATGGGTTGTCAATATCCAACATGTATCTTATTTTATCATTTCCTTCTTTCATAACTGTTGGTATCAGTGCTTTTCATACATTTAAGATTTTATTAGGAACCCTTTTCAGTGGGCCACAGTTTGCTAATCAGTTTTCCTGTTGAGAGATTCTCTGCAGCTCCTCCAGAGTCACCACAAACCCCTTGGCTGCTTCTCTGACTAATGCCCTCTACTTGTCTGTTTTGGTTGAAGTCCGTGTTTTGGTCAATCCTCTGCCCAGGCCTAGAAGATCTATTCTGTCAGATGTTCCACGTTTGGGATATTTTGTAAGACCCTAACCCTTCTTCACAACTTTCTATCCGGCTTCTTGGTAAACAACAAACCGATTGTTCTCCAATGTTCCAAAAGGAACGCGTGAAATGGTAAAAACATCACGAGAAAGTGACTGCCGGCTGGACCATAAGGGTTCATGGACTCACATTCGTATTGTCTGAGTACTCCTGGGGACCTTCCAAAAGGTGAACAGGAGGCTGATCGGTTCCTTCTCGTCCAGAAGCAGAGCCTCTCCGCTGGATTTGGTTTTCAGGAAAGCCTGCAAGGCTTGGACGGCCTTCTTCACCTGTAAAATGCGGTAACTCCAGTTAAAAGCGGCCAAGCTTCACCACCTCCACTGATTACACCAAAAGAGAAAAGGGAAGCTAGCTTCCTCCTAGCCGAACTCTTCAGAGAACTGACCAGTGAAGCTACAACTTCGGAACCGCGTATCGGACCAAAAGTACAAAAAGTTCCAGAACAAAACTGAATAAATGCTTCATTTACGGTAAAATAACGAATGAATCAATAAAAGTAAAGAAAATTACCTGGGCCCGGTCTAACGTTGTTTCAGGTTTCTCCGCCATGCTGTCTGATTCACATGTGTTGAAGTTGCGCATGCGCGTCGATCGGAAAGGCAACCTACGTCACCACATATTTCTTCTTTTTGTTATGTTTTTTATTGGCAGATGGCAACCAACGGAAGGTGTATTTACCGCCACCTACCAGACTGGAGTGGTGTCATCAATGATGTCAGCGGGAAATTATAAATTCATACCTCAATGGTATGAACGAATCTGCATATTATTCATTAATTAATATCCATACAAACTCACATATAAATTAATATGTATATGCACATGCATACACATCACTTATATTCTTACTTTAAATACGAATAAATAATCCAGTGTTTTTTTTTTTATTTAATTAAATGATTTCTAGCAGAATTTGATTTACTTCCTAAAAGGATTATTATTGGAAATCCTTTTTTTTTTCTCTATTTAGTGTTGATTTTAGGAGCTGACGTTCCTGTGAATATTTATCACATTCTAATAATCAGTGTTGTGCACGTTACTTTGAAAAAGTAATAAGTTATAGTTACTTCTCCCAAAAAGTAACTGAGTTACTAACTGAGTTAATCCACAATAAAAGTAACTAGTTACTAGTAAAAGTAACTATTGCGTTACTTTAGCGTTTCTTGCCCCCGTAACCCTCAACACCCGGTCCCCACCTTCTTGCCGTGTGTTTCAACGCTGTTACTCCCATCACTGCAAATAATACATGTTCCACTGTTTTCATCTGATCACAGTAATTACAAGTCCATGTGTCATGTTTCCCTATTTTGAAAAGAGAACTATTAAGTCCAGTATGACCAATTCTAAGGCGAGATATGACTTCCTCTTCTTTCCGCCTTCCATTTGTACAACTATTACCCCCCACAGTCCTAAAACTGTATTAGTAGCACAAAACTGAATGAAGCACAAAACATAAACACTCGTTACCAAAGCCAAAATATTGGTACTCAGAACCTATCCTCACCCTCAGAAATAAAGTATGAGAAATGAATACAGTGTACCTCAACTATAAGCTCAGGCTTCAGCCTGCACCTTATATTATGACATATTTTGCTTTGAGGAAAGTTATACAAATAATTTTTTTTCTTTTGTGTAGTAATGTTTAAACGTGTACTGGAGGATTTTCATAAATTTTTGAGAAAACCCGCCCTCTCCACTTAAAAAAAAAAGCACATGCACTAACATGCACTACCCTGTACCTGCTTCCAAGGGAACGCCTATCAAACACGTGAAAGAGAATGCACAAGCCCATTTCTGTTTTCATCTCTCATACAAGCTTAATTTCCAAATGAAGATTTGCAATTTTTTCACTATGTCAGACTCCCATTTTCACTCACCACCTGTAAGTGAAAATGTGGACGTGCACAACGGCCTCATGGAAACAAATCAGCAGAATGATTGACAGTTGGGAGGGCCACTTATTTTGATGATCCACCCGGGGAAAAGAACATCCTCTACTATACCTTTAATAAATGCAGATGTATTGTATTTTATATTTATTACATTGTTTAAAACAATGTATGCCACAACAATGTCATCTAAATAAGTTTATAATAAAAACAATTATTTTGCAGATAGATTAAATTCAATGCTGCTGCCCTGGTTTTCTCATCTAACTGAACACACCCTTTAAGTTTGTGGAAGATGTTTATAAAATCTGTTTCTTCAAAATGGGGGTCCATATACAAAACAGACCCAACAGATGAATCTAGAATGTCATTGTAGTTCATGTAGAAGTAAGGTAATTCAGGCAATAGAGCCTGTGTTTATCAGACAGATGCAACACTTTCCTATTTTTTTTTAGTTTATCTTTATAAACGAACATGGGGGTGAAGGGATGGAAGGAAAACAGATAAATGAATGGATTAATGCCTGCAATGTAATTTATTTGAAAAATTATGTAAAACTTACTAATAGATCAAATGAATAATAGTTATTTAATTGGTTAATGAATAACTGAATGGATGAATAGAAGATTAGAAGACAAATGTGTGGATTTACAGACTAAAGGAAGATACATTAATTTTTTTTATATATCCAGACCTAGAACATGCAAACATTCCAGTTGGTGTAGAAATCTTGAAGCAAACAGTAAAAGCTATAAACGAGTGTGATTAATTAAAGCAAAGGCATTATTTTCAGGTTGATGCTTTATTTTCAGTTTCCATTAATGTAACAGCTCTGTGCGCCTGTTAATGTGAGGATGTTTCCATCCTGGGATCATCAGAGTAGTTCTGTGTGTGAGCTCAGTCCAGATAACCCATCTCACGTGGAGAGAGAGAACCAAAGCAAAAATTCTGGTGGACCATTCCCTAAAACCAAATCAAAGTGTCTGCAGGATTCTTAAACTCACTTCTAAGGTGGGAGATGCACTCTGAGTATAATAAAGAGCTAACTCTGATGTTTCTGCAGGATATAGAAATCATTCTGAAATGATTCTTCTTTAAACATTAACGACTCTGCATCAGCACCCACCCTAAAACCAAACGAGGTCCAGTCGATAGCCCAGTTGGCCATGGGAGTATTAGAGGGGTGGGGGGATGTTTGTAGCTACATTAGTGGCATAGCTGAGCTCTCAATATGAGAAAGCTGACACACTGGACTTGGGCTCTCATTCTATATATTGTTCATCATAAAAAACTGATTCAGTCTTGTTTTCTTTTTCTTCACGTGACATGACTTTTATTCCTCCTCCTCCCTCGTTGGTGTTCATCTTATCTTCAACAAAGATGTTTTTAAAGAGAGAGAGAGAGAGACAGAGAGAGAAAGAGAGAGAGTAGCTGTCTGAGTCGGCTCTGGCAGCGTTTCCCCGCCGGGTAACAGGTGAAAGAACTCCATGCATGCTGGCGCTGGTGCATTTAGTCCTTTTCTGGAACAAGCTTCAGGACTTTGCCGATGGCGATAGTTTTACCTGGTAAGAAAGAGAATGAAGGTTAGCTTTACTTCAGATCACCCACCCTTCAAATCATAGTTGGATGAATCCACGCTAAGCCAGGAATTATAAAAGAGGCTAAAAACAACACCAGAGGATACTTGTGATACGACACCACCTTGGCAATGGTTCTGTCTGACTTCAACCACACACTGTGCAACATCAGACATCACAAACATTTTCAAATTAAAATTATTAGAATCTTTCAAGCATCGTCTATAAACAAAAATCTAAAATTAAAAAAAAAAACAATTATGAATCCTGATTCTGCTTGAATATTAGTTGGTCTAACCAAAATAAGAAATATCTTTAATTGCCTAGTTTTTCTCACAAACAAAAGCTTGAGTTTAGTTCCACACACACACACACCCAAACACATATATGTACATATAAATGTCCAGACCTAGAAATTGATAAAAAATGATAGCCTTATTCAAGCTTCATAGGAACCCTGCAAGCCTTAGCTTCAGTGACTTTGTTTTTCATCAGTTTTAGAGTTTCTTATTGTTTCCAGATATCGGCGCAAAATTAAGCAGCAACTCAGTTTAAAAAATGTGTCCATGGAAACAGCCAGGCTTACTCCCACCCGTGTGCCGTATCTCCTCAGCCAGTGGTGACGCCAACCAGAAATTAATAAGTGCTACCTAAATCATACTGTAAGTTAGGAAGGAGCTAAGGCTAGGAAGCAGGATGCTACATGGTATCAACTAATTTAGCATAGGGACCTCCTGACATTCCTAACCCCTGCTTGGAACTATACGGTTGCCAATTGCACAACAAAAATATAACTTTTTTTTGTGACATGCAGTCTGTGTGACACATGCTAACATACACACCTTCATGTGTTTTGGGTTTTATAACTTCAACCACTTGCTACAAATTGCAATGTTGTTTTACATCGTTTTTTTTTTTAAATGAAGGCTGTAGTCCAAATTTGACTGGTTGGCATCCTTCATGCACGTGTCCGTCTCATAACGACGCCCGCAAGGATGAAGGCTGTCTGGATTCAGAGCTAATTTCTTGCCCTGGATATTGTTTATACTCTTAAAGGGGAACGCAAAGAAGTTTCTTTGCAAAGAATTGCGGTCTCATAACCTTCCTGTACACAGAAATTTAGGACCTTAAGGATGGATTCTACAATATCGCACTTAACAAATAATTGGTATGATATAATTCTGGAAATAACTGAACATTGTAAGATACAAGTGATGCCTATCATGCATGCGTATCATGGTGTACACAGGATTCGATATAGAGTATGCCGCAATGAAGGCAAAGACTTAAGCCACTATTTGTCAGAGAGACCAGATAACACATCAGAAATGTAAAATAAATCTATAAACTTTATCTGTAAAGCGAAACACCATAGAATAAAGCCAGGCATTGACTGTGTGATTTTTTTCAATCGTTATACTCAGCTACAGCTCACACTGTACGATGAAACCGCAGGGTTTCAAAGTTCACAGCTCCCAATGTATGTTCTCACATTGTGCTGCCCGACGCTCTGATGCGATCTAACTGCCCAATATTCAAATATGAAGCTCACTAGAGTGAAATACGCTGCCTTGGCTATCTGTGCAATTTTTGTGCTGAAAGGCCAAAGAAGAAAAGGCGACAACGTATTTGGACAAAGATATGGCTGAGCAAACGTGGCTACTACGGTCTGTCAATTTTACAGAAATAACTCAATTTAATTTGCACCCCCACCATGCTTCTGGGTTTTCATCTGAGAGCAAGAAGTTTGCGCATACGAACAGCGATTTGCCCACAACCACCTTTCGACAGCTGACTGAATTTCAAAAGTTTGATTTTCTTGATTCTTGATCGGGAGGTGGTTGTGAGAGGCTAATTGCCCCTCGTTACCCCCTGTACGATACATGATGCACGATCAGGCTGAAAGTCAGCTCAATTGATAAATTCTCACACAACTGGAGAATCGGACCGAAAAGGGCAAAAAAATTGTACAGTGTATTCCCAGCTTAATACTGCTGACAACCTTAAAATATTGTAAAATTGTGCTAAATTTCATTTATTTAATTTCATATTTGTTTGGAAACTTTCTGTTAAAGGAGAATTCCGGTTTTTAACACTTTTAGCCCATTTTCTGTAGTGTCCAGGATGAAATCGAATGATCGACACCAAAATTTTGACAATTGGTCCTGTCTCTGCTTTTTGGCTCATGCAGAATCCCCCCCTGGCTGCTTCAGAATGGCTTCCATTGTGCATGTCCGATAATGTCCTTAAAACAACCTTAAACGTTCTTTTTTTTAAATATGCTACTCACCGGGTCGTCAGCGCTGTTCAATGACGTTCCAAAAAAAGTTTCGTGAAGAAAAACCGTTCCTGTCTTGTTTTATTTAGCATTTTGTAAATCCCAGAACTATTTTTTCCGATACATCACAACCGCTTATAAACTTCCGCTTCCCGTTCGAATCTGAAGCATTGCACACTCCAGACCACTAGTTGGCGACGGTATCCTCTACCGTCAAACTCAAAGTCCAATATGTCCTCCTCAAGAATCCACCTTTCGTATTCCATTTTCAGAGTTTTTTAAAGTGTTTAACAGAGACGTTAGCACCTCGACGTCGGAGTACACAGAGTGAAGCAGAAACACTTGGGCCTTGCGAAAAGACTACAACTAAGCGTAAACAGGCCCCATTTCCGTTTCCGGTGGCGGAGGGATATTGACTATTCCAACAGAACTCAATGGGATTTACAAAATGCTAAATAAAACACTACAGGAACGTTTTTTCTTTATGAAACTTTTTTTGGAACGTCATTGAACAGCGCTGACGACCCGGTGAGTAGCATATTTTAAAAAAAGAACGTTTAAGGTTGTTTTAAGAACATTATCGGACAGGCACAATGGAAGCCATTCTAAAGCAGCCAGGGGGGGATTCTGCATGAGCCAAAAAGCAGAGACAGGACCAATTGTCAAAATTTTGGTGTCGATCATTCGATTTCATCCTGGACACTACAGAAAATGGGCTAAAAGTGTTAAAAACCGGAATTCTCCTTTAACTTTCATCTGAGATAGTGTGAAGCAGGCATGTTCAGTATTTAGATAAACAAAGCTGAGTCTTTTATATGTTAATAAAATACTTTTTACGCCTTTTATATTTGTCATTTTTACCCTGGTTATTGAAAACTGTATAGATAATGAAATATCTTCCTAGGTATCAATAATCCAGTTTGAAATTTTAGTATTGTTACAACCCTACATGGAGCAAGGATAAATCTAATTAGCAGAAAGAGTTAGCATTAAACTAATATAGGAAATCCAAATATTAAACTGCAGATTTTTCCCTTTTAGATGTGATCAAGATTCTAGAATCTGGTGGAGAAATAAATACGGTTTTCTGACACATAAAAAAAAACAAATTAATATTTCCCAAAATCCTGCTTTATTTTAAAAGGCCTCAGATTTAAATTAGCTTTCACTTGAAAAAGGCAAAAAGAGAAAACAGACAGAAGTCCACTTCTTACCTTCATCTCTTAGAGTGAATCGTCCCATCTGGGGGAAGTCCTTGAAGGTCTCTAAGCAGATGACCCCTGCTGCCCGGAGCCTGGCGATGCACACCTGATCCTGCTTCACAAAGCGCGGCCGCGTCTTGCTTTTCTCTCCCGTCTTTTTATCAACCAGGCAGATTAATGCCTAAAGTCACAATTCCAAGGCTTTAATAACAGTACACAATGGCCAAGAGAATGATGAACAGCTGTTTTAACTCCCTTTACTCTTCATCATAGTTGTAGTTGCACAATTAAAATGATCATGTTTAAACTGATGCTGTTGTAGCACTGTCAGGGTTTGGTAAAACATGAGCAACTTACTGTGATTTGCACTTCTTCAATGCAGGTGTGGATGTGAAGGACTGCATTGTAACCGGGGCAGATGATCGACTTGTGCTCAATGATGACGATCTGTATATAAAAGGTCAAATGGGGACATTTTAGCGATTTTCAACACAGGTTTCTGCAAAAGGGGCATATGAGGATCACCGGGTCTCCATAGCAACTTGGATTGGAAGCCTGGCTTTTTCTCAGGAGAGACTAAGCTTTGTTTGGCAATAAAATATCCAGAGGGGTTTGTTGCTAAGAGGGGTTATGAGGAAAAGGACCTCATGTCTGCTTAGGGAGCGTATGGTAGAGGATTGGTGATGCTGAAAGCCTGTTTCTCTCTAAAGAGGCCTAAAAAACTTGTAAGATATCATTAATATCACGTAAAGTTTCATCAGGACCATAAACGGTTTGACATTTGACTTTTCCTGCAGGTCATTGATCTGTAGAATTAATACAGCAGCATCAGTCTTGGTTCTATTGAAGATAAATTAGCCAATATGTCACAGAAACAAATATTTAAGAAATAAGATTGTTATATTTTGTATTGTAGCTCCTTTTAAATAACTGGCATGGAGTTTTCTACCATATATTGAACTCCATCATGCATTATTGGTTGTTAGTTTTCTTCATGTGCTGTATATCAGTATTTTGGCCTGAAAAACAAAATATTTGAATCCCAATCATTCATTATATTCCTCATCTCTGTAAAATTGACAAGCATGAGTTTTTAAATCTAAAATTGAATAGATTTATTTCTCTGTGACTGATTTGATTGTTTGATGCTGACCTGGGCATCAAAGGTGCGTCCAGAATGGCACAGATTGTCCGGGCTGCACAGGATAAACCCAGGGAGAATCTCTTCCTCCTCTATTCCTTTCAGCCGCAGCTTCAGGTTCTCCCCAGGCGCCGCATCGTCCGTCTCCACGTCATCACTGAGGAGGCTCAGTACCTCCACGGTGTGCTGCAACACAAACAAGCACAACTATGTGGTCCAGTAACGAAACAGAGCAAGCCCAGCATGAATATGGATTTCAATGTTAATGCAAGTAAAGCACGAGATTAGAATATTCAATAGTTTTTGTCCATCATTAAAAAAAATTATAATTTATGAACTTTTCTTCCATACAGAAACAAATATTAAAAGTTTGCTGATCATGGCTTATAGATAAGAACATATTACAAAATTCAGGGTCTCAGAAAATTGGAATAATTTATAAGATTAGCAAAATATGATATTTCAAACAGCAATGTTAGGTCTCTAAACAATATATTCCTTTCTCTGTTCTCAGTAACTGGTTGGGTTTTTATTTTAAATGAATCAGAGCTTCTGTCCAGGCGGATTTGACAGCGGATCATCTGTATTGTTGGTTCTTGATGGCGTCTCTCCTCTTCCTCTTTATATTACATAGCTTCTCTATTGGGTTCTGCTCAGGCCCATTAAGCACAGTGACACTGTGATTAATCAACCAACTTTTGGTACCTTTGGCAGCAAAGGTTGATACTGATCTCCACAGTATGGGGAGTATGAAGTGCTCCAAAGGTAGACGGAGTTGGTTTTGCAAATCCAGTGGATCAGACCCAAAAGACATTATGTCACCCCAAAATCATCACAGATTGTGAAATGTCCCTTTGCGACTTCAATAAAAGGGGATTCTGTCCCTCTATATGTTTCCACAACCTCTGGGGCTTTCATTTCCAGTTGGAAAGATGACTTTAAACAACTGAGCAGCTCAGGTAAGATGCTTGCAGTTCATGTGTAGGACTGGGCCTGTGCAGAAAGATCTGACTCCAGCCTCAGTCTGCTTCTGTGAAGTGCCCATAATTCTTCAATGGATGTCGCTCATCATATTTTGAAGTTTGAGGTTATCCTCCTTTTTTGTGCACTTTCTCTCAACTTTCTACAATCATTTGCATTAACTTCCCTTCTACCATTATATTCAGTTGTTTTCTTTTTTTCAGTTGTACCATTTACTGCATGTATCACCAAGCAGACATGTTTGTATTTTGTCACTCACCCTGTTTGGCATCATGACCAACTGCTGAGCTTTACTGATAGAGCCAGACTCCAACTTCCCGAGAATGACTGTGCCCATATCCTGCAACACATGGAAGAAAATCACTTTAAGTTAATGTTTTAAAATAGGAAATATAATAAGTACAGGCTGTGATCAACAAAGAGGTGAGGAAGCTCAGAAAGGAGGAGAGGAAGGACAGACTGGAGGGAGAAGGAGAGGAGCTCACAAGCAAGAAGTCCTGGAAAATGTATACAATTAAATTCACAATTTTACATATTGAGCTCATTTAGAGGCTTATTTGCAACTGGTTCTGCAAACAGTATAAAATAACAATGAAAAAAATGTCTTGTCGTTCTTCAGCTCTGCTCACAGGTTGCTCCATTAACTTATAGTTACAGCTTCGCCCAGTTAACTAAACTCTAATCCCATTAGTATGGAGAACACCAGTTAATGCTGCTTAGTGATACAGCTGCTACACAAGCAGTTCTAAAGCCACCAGGAAAAATTCATAAAACAACACAAAGATGAGAAGAAGATTTTAAAAAAGCTGAATGAGAAAGTGAAAGCTAGAAAAATCCCACAGGTATGCACAGCGTGTCTCTTCCAAGACCGAAAACAAAACAAGCGCCAAGAGAGTGGATTATCTAAAGGAGCGACTGCAGCAGGCAGAGGCCTGAAGCAGCATCTGTTAGAGCATGTTTGTGTTTTTAATCTGTCGAATAGAAGAAGTACGTTAGGCAACAAAAACCAGGAGACGTTATAAACTCCGAGCTGATGAAGAAACACCGTAGAGGATAAGCAAAAGATGTCTTCTGCTCACCTTGTATTTGTCCACGATTGGTAGTCTAACGGGTCCGTCGCTGGATCTGTTGAAGTTTGGCAAACTGTCCAGGTGGGGAATAAATGGCAAACCTCTGAAAAAGAATAAATTGAAGTTGTGATCTGGATTCAATTCTTCAATTCATATTTCTGTTAAATGTTTGCTAAAAAAAACTCTAATTACTTTTGTTTTATTTTTAATTTTTACTAGATCTAGCTTGTGCTTTGAGAAGGTTGCAAGTACCGGTTCAATCCCCACAGCCTCCATTCTGGGTCCCTGAGCAAAACCCTTAACCCCACAGTGCTCCCCGAACACCCCACAATGGCAGCCTACTGTTCCCCCCAGGGATGAGTTAAATGCAGAGGTAAATTTCTCCAGTGTGAGATCAATAAAGTTCAGTTAATATTACTATTATGACCAACTGATGACCATCATGATGGGTGGATGGATAGATTGACCAATATTTCTTTTTCCATTCATTTTCTCATATTAATACTTGATTCAGATTTTATACAGAACAGAAACCTCTTCTTGCCGGACTTTAGGGAAGGATTTAGTGTTGTTACACCTCCTCCCTTGTTCCAGTACCAAACAAAGTTCTGCCTAAATTATTCTAGACAAGCAGCTATCAGTAACCCCTGCAGTTAGCTGTTGACTGTATTTACATATGTGTTATTATTGGTGAATTTATATCTTAATTACTTACCACATACATTTCTGTAAGTGTTTAATTTTTTATACATAAGGCTATTCACTTGTTTGCAAATCGCCATGTTGAACGTACAGATGTCGACATAAAACTTTACTAACGCGCAGAAAAACAGGTTTCCCCTTACTGGCAGTTCAGAGTGATTGAAAGGTGACGGTCTTTGGAGATGCTAACCCAACGACTGAAAGTCTGCACTGCTACAGCACTATGCTGGACTATGCAAAAACAGCAGCAGCACAAGAAACGGTTTCACCATCCCTAAGAAAGTGAACAAGACAACGACACCTGAGACAAAAAAAGAAAAAAATAGGATAAACAAGGCCACTCCAGGTGGGAGGAGCTGATGAAGGCGAAAGATTTTAAGTGGAAGCTGGTTAATAACTTTACTTTGGTTACTTTGGTTTAATAAAAGAGTGTGGCTCGTTAGCATAGAAAGCATATTAGTAGCTAGCGCTAACATATACCTATGTTCTTGATACAGAACTTTAGTTTTATGTGGGTTTGGTAGCTTTGAAAACTGTGGTGAAAGCTGACTTTTTGCCACAGTAAATACCGGCTTTTAGAGAACTCTGATTAACATTGCTATATCTGCGTTATTGAGGAGAGCACTGCCACAATACATGTTTGAGGCAGTGATGCACTATGGTTTAGTGTTGGTTTGAGTGAAAACCCCCCATTTCACTACTGGATGACAGTAATTCAGTAAAGAACAATATCCCTTAAACAACATTGTTAGCAACAATAATATGAGCTCTGTTATTTAGGAAGGTGCTACCTGATGTCCTCTGATTCACACACTGAACTCAGTCTTTTTATATTTTGTTCTGTTTTTGTAATTTGCACTTCAGGGACCAAAGCCTGGTTCTATTTTTCAAGGCTGCACTTAAAAAAATGAAATTGTCCAGAGAGCTGTTCTTAACGAAATTTCTTTTTGTTTTACACTTGTGTAACAAAATGACAAATAAATATGTCTTAGTCTAGTGCTGAAAAAAAAACAACAACATTTTTTTAAGTTAGTGTTAAAAGCTAAGAATTTGATAAAAAATGAATAAATAAATAAAAAAAGGCAGAAACCAAAATGAATTTAAGTCGTTGCAAAGTATTAATAGGTGCTTTACTCATCATTCTATCATCCTGAAACTGGTGGTAGTATGAATAAATCCATCTGATGACCTCTGTTTGGCGAGTAAAGTGTCTTTTTACCTAATTGAAGTCATTTCTCACCCTTGAATCTCTAATTTGTCCTTTTTCTTTTGATTTAAATCCCTTTTATCTCATCAACCAGATCTGTAAGCTCATCTTGGACAATTTTTTTTTACTTTGGCTGATCCAGAGTGAAAACTTACGTGTACCAGGGGCACTCAGGCACGGGGTCTTTGAGGTTGGCACCTGTGAGTCCAGAACAAGGCATAAAATGGATGTCCTTCTTAGGGTTGAAGCCCACCTTCTTCAAAAATGGCACCAGCTTCTCTTTACACTCCTCATACCTGCACAAAGGCAACAAGAGGACTCATTTAAGGTAGATATAAAGACTGCATCAGGACGATCCTTTTTGCTTTACATCCAAAGATTTGGAGAACGTCTTGAGGTTGTTATGAATGTTCTGGTGTCTCTGTGTAGGACTGAGTTGAAGAAACACCTCAAACCTGTTTAAGCTTACCTCTCTAGGCTCCAGTTCACAGTGGGGTCATCCATCTTGTTGACCAGAACAATGAGATGTTTTACTCCGGCAGTTTTAGCCAGCATGGCATGCTCCCTCGTCTGTCCACCCTTTTCAAATCCCGTCTCAAACTCACCCTTTCTTGCCGAAATTACCTGAAATAAACAGGATAAGTCAAGGTGAGGCAACAAGTCAAGTAAGCAGATATATACTTGAATTCTGTTGACACAGAAAATAACCTGCAGATGTATTTATACCTACAGACTTCAGGGGGATTTCAGGCGGCAGATGTAGTGTACGATTGTAAAATGCGAGGATAGGTCAAAATGGATGTTCTGTGGACATTTAAAACAGGGTTTGATTTTTTTAAAACTAATATTTGAAGCTTTGAACGTGTCCCAGATCTTTGTTCAGTCCATCATCCAAACATGGTAATGGTAGGAATGTTGAACCTCGTTAAACAGAAACATTTAAACTTAAAAGTTTTCCTTTTTAAAAGTGAAGCTTTGTGATTTCAATGAGGTTGTTGTTTATTCTATTGTAGGTCGGCATAATAAGTAGTTTGCAAATCGATTAATCTGTCGACTATTTTTTTCGATTGATTACCGGAAGTCCAAAGGTTACTTAGAGAAAATTTAACACAGAATTAAACCAGGTGAAGCTAAAACTTTTCCACTTAGGGAGTTCTGGATATTTTTTTTATCTTAAATGGAAAATATTTCTATATATTTATTGCAATTTTGGTATAGTTACTACTTCATTGGTATAAGCAGGTCACTCTGTCAACTAAAGGCAGGTTTTAGAATCTCTACTCCAGTTAACAATTAATTGATTGCTACAGTAGTTGACCATTATTTCAATAAAGATTTATCACAATTGTTTCAGTCCTATTTTATAGCAACATGTAATTTACCCTACACCTTGAGTAGATGTCTAGACAAATTTAGCCTTTATGGAATAAAGTCAGCATTAAAACTATGTCATGCTCACAGCTAAACACGTTGGTGGCAGAGTTATGCTGAGGTTGGAGCAGAACAAACAGCCCAAACACAGAGAATGGTTCAGGTGACAGCATGGCCTAGTCAAAGTTTTGAATTCAAAAGCTATTTTCAGTCAATTAAACTTGAATAATTTTGTAAAGCCTGGTACAAAGGTTTGATCTGTAGATGTTTGAAGTAGCTGGGGACAAAACCTAAAATATGATACTACTGGATCAGCTCAGCTACTGTTCAACTATTCATTTGGACAAAATGTGTGAATAAAATTATTCTAGGAGGTCAAAAACCTTGGAATGGATTCCCTCTAACTCTATGTGAGCAACCTGTGCAGTACTTTGATTGCTCCTCACCAGAACAGCTAGATCAGCCTGCGACGCTCCCCCAATCATGTTGGGGACGAAGCTCTTGTGTCCCGGAGCGTCCAGGATGGTAAAATGTTTTTTCTCCGTCTCAAAGTAAGCTCTCCCGACCTCCACTGTCTTCCCCTTGTCTCTCTCCTCCTGATTTGTGTCAAGAGCCCACGACAAATACCTGCAACGACAGAGTGTAACGATTAGACTTACGTAAAACCATTAAAGAGCTAGAACCAGATGATAATCAGTCACCATGTCTCCCGGTTCTTTTCTTTAGCTTCTCGTTCATATTTTTCCAGGGTTCGCTTGTCCACCATTCCAGTTAGGTACCTGAAAACAGCGACATAAAGAAAAGCATAAAATGGATTGTTTGAACTGTTGACATATAAAAAAAAAACATGAATCCAAAATCAAACCACTCACATGATCTGTCCTCCAATGGTCGATTTACCAGCATCTGATAAAAAAAAAAAAAAAGAAAAAAACGTTCAGATGAATAAAACTAAAGGAAGAAGATGTATTAATATAAACAATCCATACGCACCGACATGACCAATGAAGACCACGTTCACATGCTCTTTCTTGGGTGCATCAGGCGGCGGTGGAGCCACCTTAGGAATGGGTATCTCCTCCTCTTCTTCCTCCATCATCTCATCGTCTTCTTTCCCAGAGGCCCCGGCCTCTTCGCATCCTCCCTCTGTTCCAAGGCCTTCATGTCCCCCACCTCCCTCTCCTCCCCCGGGCTCCTCCTTCTGCTCCCATGTTTCCTCCTCCACTGTCATGTCAGCCTCTGTGTTTCCATTCTCCACTGGAGCTGCAACCACAAAACAAGTCTCTGTTAAACCCCCAAACCATGGTAAAAGAAAATAAACAACATACAAAGTCATTATCAATCATTTGAAAGAATGTTCGATGTTATCATATATTTAACAGGCTAAAAGAATAAAGAGTTTCAGACCTCTCAGGCCATGGCTTTCACTTACAAGCAGCTCACAAAACTGCAAGTAAGCAATCTATTTAGTACTCTGTTGGGAGGGTAAACAATCAAGGTGGTAAACGTCTCCTCAGATAATGTAAAATAGATATCCTTCAATCATGTAGAATGTAAATTGGCCTAAATACAGACAAAAAAAAAATGCTCTCCTGTGGTGTATGTGAATAATTTTTGAATTATTTAGCCATTAGGAAAGATTAGGAACATGAGAGAAACAGAGGATAAACCAGGGGATTAGGGGGAGTGGTAGCCTAGTGGTTTAAGCACAGAGCTTGGAATCCTGAGGTTCTGAATTCGAAGCCCCACTCCCACAGTCTGCCACTCTGGGTCCCTGAGCAAGACCCTTAACCATCACAGTGCCCGCAGGCACCCCACAATGGCAACCTACTGCTCCCCAAGGGGATGGGTAAAATGCAGAGAGTTCATTTCGTTGCTCTGTACTTGTGACAGTGCAGTAACAATAAAAAGCTGGAAACAAGACATGGAGGGTAGGAAGACCCAAAATTATTTCTTTACTTTCAGTAAAATCAATAAAATATAAGAATGACATTGGATGTTGATATTTGTGAAATGGGAGATTAAAAGAAGAAGGAGAGAAATTACTAATACTTTAAGTGTCATTCTGGTCTGGAAATTTGATGTAATTATTCCATGCTGAAATAAACACATACAAAATGTTATAACTCATATTTATAATTAATATTTGTATTTAAAAACAAATTATTTTGTTCTTCATAGTTTTTTAACCCTGGTTTAGATGGTCTCGCCCGTAGACAGCTGGGGGTAGGCACCAGCACCCCTCGCAACCTCGCTTAGGATAATTGGATGGGTGGATGGTTTATAGAGAGCAAAACACAAGAAAAATAAAAACAAAATGTAAAAGTGGAATGAAGTGGTACAGACTTCTATTAGTGACAATTATCAACAGCTAAATGGTTTAAATACAGAAACAGGAGAGGTCCCCAAACGGATCATCTGCCTCTCCTTTTGCTCCAGAGATCAGTATTTCAACCAGCAAAATGAGAAATATGCAAAAATATTTTCATGTTGCTCTGCTGGACACAAAAGAGGCCAAGGCTGCAGAACTTGCTCCACATCACAGCAAGTGTCAACTGGATGTCTATTCTGGGCAGAAAGGTTGCATCATTTTTTTTTTCTACATGGAGCCACGCACATGGACCTTCCATAGGCAAACACCCAAATATGGTGCAGCAATCCACACTACAGGTTGGGTCACAGGGTGATCTAAAACGCGTGGGGATTTAAATCTGGTTGTGAATGAGTGCATCTGAGCCCACGTCCACGCTTGTTATCTGACACGCTCCCAGACAGCGCGATCAGAAACAGAACATGTGGTGGGTCGCATACCGGCTGTGTCTGCCACCTCCATGTTTGCAGCTGGTTCAGGGGGACCTGTAAGGGCAGAAAACAAAGCCGAACTTTCAGAAATATATTTAACAGCATATTTGTCTCATTCTACGTAATAAGCTGGGCGTGTCTCGGTTATAGCACATTAATTACACTTATACAACCCACGAATAAAAAGCGGGCTTGTTTATCAGTGAGGAGAAACGTTGTTATCTTAAGCAAAGCTAACTTAGCTGTATTAGCATGCAAGCTAAGCTGGGCTAACTTCCAGTCAGCTGTCTGACACCAACCCACCGTCTGAGCCCGGCATTTCGGCGTTGCTGGCCTGAAGGAAGCTCGGTACAAACACCGGGGCATTCACATTGGGGACAAACGGCTTGGCGTTGACATTGAGGGCAGCGAAGGCGGCTGGGAGCTCCGCCGCCGGAGCTGGGGCCTCGGCATCCTCCTCCAGCTCCCATGAATCCGGGGCTGTGTCTCTCGGGTCCATGGCTTCTTCTTCCAGAGTTAACAACTTTTCCGCAACCGTCCGAGGTCGGCTGTTTTTTATTGTTCGGACTTTCTTTCAGAAGCGATAAGTTGCTGGTTTGTTTTAGACGCTGATGAACCGGCTCAGTGAAGTTCCCATAACCCTCCAGAACCGGGCTTTGATCGGCATATGGATCTCTGGACTGACGGTTAGCTCTGCACGCACAGCAAGCTGCACGACCTGCAAACACCGCTGGGGGGCAGCATCGCACCACTGCTGGATATTAAAATGAAACCAACGAATTAAACATATTTCACTATTTAAAGTGAACTACCAGAGGCGTAGCCAGAAATTTTGTATAAGGGCGTCCAGGCATAATCACTGCACACTGAGGGGGGGCCGAAAGTGACTAGATAACCAGAACCTCAGGGTCAATCTACACTGTTCCATCAGGAAAATTAAAGAGCAAAACATCCATATTTTCTAAATAAAGACAAACTATACTTTCCTACAGCCTTTGCTAACAAGTAGACACATGTATTTAAATATCCATAATTTCTAGATAAAAGGTATAGTGACAGTTTTAAGTTCTGGAGCGTAAATCTTTTTCATTGTCATTACTTACCTACTTGAATTAATAAACATTCCGCATAAAATTGATATTTACAGGCACTAATATCTACATAAATTGATTATTGCATACATTTTTTAAAAATTGTTATTTATCTATGATTTCACTAAAGACTCCTAGATGACTTGCATTTTCTCTTTACCCCATATAACACAAAATCTAATTCTGAAAAGAGCATGAATTCTGTACTTATCATATTTCATATTGATGTGTATAATTAACCACAAAAAAATAAAATGTTTTGAATATTCCAATTGAGAGTATTACTGCTGCCACCATCTGCATTAGAGGTAAAAAATGGTAGGGGTGGCCACAGAGGTGCCCAATGATTGGCTGAGGGTGGCCATGGCCACTCCTGGCTCCCCATCTAGCTTTGCCCCTGCAGCTAGAGTGTGTTGAATAACAAAAGGGCAATTGTTATTTAAACCTACGTGGTTTTCCTTTTATTCTTTTTATTTAATATAAATTGTGGTGGGTATTAAATCCTCACCAGCTTTGCTCATAAAAAGAAAGAACTTTACAAACTAGCTCAACATAGTCAGATTGAGAAAAGAGAATCGTGAACAGAACACTTATTTTAAGGTCTTGCAACACATTCTCAGCTGGGCTTAGTTCTGGACTTTAACTAGGCAGCTAATCTGATCTGAACCATCCTATTGTAGCTCTGTCTCTGCTTAGGAAGATTATTCGGCAGAAAGGTGAACCTCCATCCTAGTTATAGCCCGTTTTCAGCCACTAGAAGCTTGTATTTCAGGAATATCTAAGATTTACTTCCAAAATAAATAATAATAATAAAAAAAAAATGGGAGTGCATATGCACAAGTGTATATGGCTACTCTATCCTTGTGTTTTTTCCTGCTGTTGTTACATATTTAACTTATTGATATGATGTGAGCGATAGAAGCTAAAGTCAAATCCCTTGTACTTGGCCAATACAGGTGATCTTGATTCCAAAACCATCTTTGTTCCTGCTATAGCATCATACATAATGATGCTATTACTATGTGTAATCATGAGGATGTTGTTCAGTTTTAGTTTTACTCAAAAATGTTTTGTCTAAGAAGATGGCCAGAACATATCTCTATGATCTTGTCTACCAGTACTAACAAATTAGAATAGGGTGTTCCTTGAGATAATTGAGCTTGACCCCCAAAACATTTGGTGTCTAAATGTTTAATCACAAAATATATTAGTGTACTTGTTTAATTACTATTCTTTTTTTTAAGTTTAGTAGTGTTCTCGATTTCAATTACATAATAAAAGTAATTGCTTTTTCATAACTGTTTCCCATTTTGTTCATGAATTCAGATTTGCCCTTTTTTTGTCTTATTGTTGTCTGCACACCTGTCCCTGCTGGCCTGTTTACATTCATATCTAAGAAGCATATAGACACCAATTAACCTTTGCATTTTTTCTAGACTTTTGGGGGTTAGAGAGCCAACACATCAAGGGGTAGGACATGCAAAAACCAGGCAGAAAGACTCCAGGCTATTATTCAAACCCAGCTGTTTTTATTTATTCCAACTCATATAATCCACATGTCTTCAAAGAGCTATTTTAGATACTAATGGCTTTAGTGAAGGATTTCTAGTAGAAGTCAGTATTGCAGTATGCAGGTGAAGATTCTCAGTCAAAGAAAGTTAAAAACAATCCACTGGACTTTGTTTCCAATTTTGAAGACGTTTTGCTTCCCATCCAGGAAGCTATTCCCGACAGTTTGAATTGAAAAAGCTTCCTGGATGGGAAGGGAAACGTCTTCAAATTTGGTAACAAAGTCCAGTGGATTGTTTTTAACTTTCTTTTTTTGGAATCAGTATTGCAGTGTTTGTGGGAACTCTAGAAGCTCTCAAGAATTCTCCTCTGTGTTCTTAAATCAGAGAAATCATCTCAAGTGATTCCAGAACACACCCACCCTTCATTATCAGCTTGTGGAATTTTTAAGGGTAATATGGACTCTGCAAAAATGGAGAAATTAGACCATCTAATTTGGTGTCTGACATACATAAAGTGGATGAACTGAGGACAAGCAATTAGAATTTCCATGGATTTCTCATTAACTCTTGTGGCATATGATGAAATGTCAAGACTAGAAATAACTTTACTAGAGCTAACCAGGGATAACAAAAATAAGATAATAAAAAAAAATCACCCCCCATGTGATGGTGGTCAAAGTATGATTTAATATTTGATCTAATTCTAAGGAAATATATATTTTCAAATTTTGTTTTAAAAAGACATGAGGTTTTAATTATTTCTGGAATCTCTAAAAATATCTATATTTTTAATGATGCAAGTGGGCTGCTCAGTGTGGCAGTGGGTAGCACTGCCTTGCAGCATGAAGGTTCTGGGTTGGATTCCATCCCAGGGTCTTTCTACATGGAGTTTGCATGCTCTCCCTTAGCATGCGTGGGTTCTCTCTGGGTACTCCGGCTTCCTCACACAGTCCAATAACATGAGTGTTTGGTTATTTGGCTTCTCTAAATTCTCCTTAGGCGTGAGTGTGAATGGTTGTTTGTCTCTGTGTTGCCCTGCGATGGACTGGCGGCCTGTTCAGGGTGAACCCCGCCTCTTTCCCATAGACAGCTGGAGATAAGCACCCCTTGCGACCCCACTTGGGATAAGTGTGATGGAAGATGAATGGAACTTTGTCTTTTCCTGTGGATCTTTAGGCCTCTCTAGAACTGCAAGATCCCCCTGAAGTTTCTCAAAGATTTCTGTCCTTCCTTATGTCGGCTTCACCATCACATTTCCAGTTTAGTCTGTTGTCCAGGAGAAATTCCAGATAGTCCTTCATCACCTCCTCTCCTCTGAAAATACTATTGAACCCATTTCCATCCATATTTGTTAGGACTTGATACTAAATAAATAAGCTGAATTAAAACTATATGTGTATTAAAGCAATAAAAATGTTATTATTACAGCTAATCCAATGTGTAGTTTGATGCACAGCAATGTAATTTGTTTCTTTAAATATTTGGATCTTAATCCAAAGAAATGGGGAAACCATTTTTTTTATTCTTTATTTGAACTTGTCAGACAGAAACATCACTGAGTTCATGAACATATAACGTGTTTGTAAAATTACATCAGCTGAACTATTTTTAAATTACTGTTTGGTTTGAAAATACAATAAATAGAACTTATAACATAAATATTGTGAACTGGGAGGATTTGATCATTTACTCTTTGGCATCAGTGACTCCACCACCAGAGATTGCAAAGGTGGCCTCATTCTCCGGCATGTCTGGGCTGCAATAAATCACAACAACAAACCTCATTAACACAGAAGAGCGGCAAACGTTTCTTTATGAGCTCTGAGTTTAGGCTTCGTTTTTAAAACGGGAAAACCTAAGGAGGGAGTAAAACTGGAGTTCTTATCGTTTGAAACTTAAAGGTGCTTCTTGCTTCAGACTAACAATAAATTATCTGAACCGACAGAAATCGATGGATACCTGTCAAATATCTTAGCAATTCTCATCTCTCCACGGCCCTTCCTCAAGCTGATCCGAGTGGTGGAGGCGTGTGCCAGGATGTGGCCACCAATCGGCTTCTTTGGATCCGCTTGAAAACTAAAAATGAATGAAAACTTGAAGTTAAAACTGTTTTTTTTTTTAAAACAGAACTATCCGTGAGCAGGGTGTCTGTTAGTTCTTACGTCATTCCTGCTCCAGGATCTGCTGTCATCTGGTTGGTAACAAACACAGCTACGTTGTACTCTAAGAGGAGGTGAAAAAAAGGAAAAACAGGAAAACAATCAGACCTTAAAGGAATAGTACAGCCAAAACATGATTAGCCCTCATTTTCTTCTCACCCCCATGCTGAACAACACTCTGGAGTACTTTTTTGATATCTCAAATGCATCTGGAGATCTGGGAGGCTTCTTGCTGTCTGCTGACATTCAAATAATGGAGGTCTATGGCGCCCGAGGCAGAAAGGTCCATAAAAGTCCACAAAAAACGTGTCAATATTCCTCCATACTGCTCGTCCAATGTATTCCAAGTGTCCTGAGTGGGTAGCATCCAGAATTTACTCGAAACGAAGTCATTTAGAATGTTTTTAGAGCATAAACAGCAGTGTATAGGATTTCCTAAAAGCGCGTTCACGCAGCAGACCAAACCAGATGAAAGTGCGCATTCAGCTCGGCAAAGAACTCATGCTCTTCCTCAACACTGAAGTCCTCAGACATTTTTCTTTCGTTGTTTCTTTCTTTGCACAGGTAAACAGCACATTTCTTCTTCTACGCTTGCATTATCGGCAGAGTAGACGCTGAATGCGCACTTTCATCTGGTTTGGTCTGCCGGCTTCCGTAGCGTCGTGAACGTGCTTTCAGGAAATCCTATACACTACTGTTTATGCTCTAAAAACATTCTAAATGACTTCGTTTCGAGTAAATTCTGGATGCTACCCACTCAGGACACTTGGAATACATTGGACGAGCAGTATGGAGGAATATTGACACGTTTTTTGTGGACTTTTATGGACCTTTCTGTCTCGGTCACCATAGACCTCCATTATTTGAATGTCAGCAGACAGCAAGAAGCCTCCCAGATCTCCAGATGCATTTGAGATATCAAAAAAGTACTCCAGAGTGTTGTTCAGCATGGGGGTGAGTAGAAAA